TGAAATAACATTAAGATATATTTATTGTTATCTGCATATGAATTCGTTTCTTTTTTAGGATACATGTCCACCTGTCAAGAGTAGAATTGGTTCGAAAGATGGTATATTCTGGACTCCAATTATAATTGGCGACATTACCTGGAATTTCGGAAAATTTCTAATTGATAAAACCGGAAAACCAAGGTATGTGTATATAAAACAAAAATAATATAATCAGAGCACAGCATATTGGTATTTAGAACCACCTCTAGATATTTACGGGTGTACACTATTCAAACCCGAAACAATTTTTGTATAGAATTCGAAGTATTTTGATTAATTTAACAAAGTTAGCCATCCCCGGCGGGTGGCTGGCAGCCTACAAAATGGCAATTTAGTAATGATCTCAATAAAATTGCTTTTTTTAAACTTGAACCAGACGCACGTTCAGACTTACAATTCTCAATTAAACTCAATGTAAAGAATTATTGAAAATTTTCTAGAGTTATCGTGATGTTCTTTCTAAAAATTTAAGGCGACTATACGCAATGCTAAGCCATGTTATGCATCATCACTAGTTTTGCGGTTTGCATTATATCGCTTATTTGCATAGGGAATACCATCTGTTCTCGAGACGACCACAAAATACATTGATGTTTTTGACTCCAGTACATCTAACACTCTGAGCTTTCTAAAGAATATGTTAGGGCAAAATGTTCTATCTCAGGGTGGTCCAATGTTGTCGGCTCCGCGGGCCACAAAATTATTTTTGCATTGTTCGCGGGCCACAATAGTGCCAAGAATTGGTAAACAGTGCAATACAAAACAAACACTTTTATTGTGCAATCACATAGTTATCAGGCATAGCCATTCGATTTTTAGTTTTCTATGATGCGTATATTGTTAGCATATATTCCCGACCAAAAAGCTAGAAAGCCAGATAACAATATAGACTGCCAAGAACATCATTCAACTTTGCTAGTTTCCCCAGCTAGCCATTAAACTATTTAATGACATTAGTGATGACAATATGTCAAAAGATTTTTCTGATTAATTTTATGACGAAACAACACGAAATGCGATTTTTTGGTTACTCTCCGAAAGTGACGCGGGCCACAGATAATGAAGCAGCGGGCCACATGTGGCCCGCGGGCCAGGGTTTGGACCACCCTGTTCTATCTATTTCCTATTTTGCTTCATCTGACATTCGGCTTTTTCACATTTTACAGATATCGATTTGCTCCAGGAGTCTCTCCTATTTCCATAGACAGTTACATTAACGAACTTCTTGCCGAAGACACGCCTACAGGAATCGTTCCTTCCTTGCTTTACAATACCGTATAAATATCTGTATCATGAAATACAAGGGGTCGGTGATTGACATATTATTTTCAAAGATATTTGTAAATTTCCCATGTGATAGTGTTGTTCAATAGGCTTAATATCGAAACTTTATGTTTCTCATCATTATGACGATTCTTGCTGAAAGTGTGATACACTGGCTGGATTCTGACAACAATGAAAAATTGTGTTCTTGTGCATTCGAACGTAATATACATTGTGATGCTGAACGTAATTATACGATATACTTGTCTAAATAAAATTTTACTATAGAAGGTGAAGATACATTCTTTTTTTTTTCTATCATATTGATACATTAACAAGTCGCAGTGATTATTGGTCGTTAAAATAATTTCAGCATGAGGAACTAATTAGGTAAAGAAAACTCACTAAAAAGCAGAGCTGGGAAGTCGGAGAAAATATTCATTCGATTTCATATCAAATATCAAACAACTCTACTCAGAACTTAGGCCCTTCCCTTCGACACTCATTTGTAGGTGCTCCCGTTGTATGGGAACCAATATGGCGGACACCGGAACGTAGTATGTGTACCAGGTTGAGGTTACGCCAAACTTTTATCCAAAATTTTCCTTATTTTAGTTCTACTACGAGTTCGGGGGGACTAGCCAAGTGACTCCCGTACTATTTGTACCTGAAATTATGGCCTAACCTGGTACACATACGACGTTCCGGTATCCGCCATCTTGGTTCACATACTACGGGAGTTCCCATTTGTAAGCGTGCCTAAAGCTATAAGTTTCGAGATCGCTACCGCATATCGAATGAAGCAAGACATGAAGCCAACTCGGACATAATAATAGGCAGCCGTAAGTAACTTTCACATAGCTCAAGTTTCTGACTCTTTTATGTTCTTCGTGGCTTCCTGGGGCACACATAGGTTCTTCTGAAGCTTCATATCGTCAATTTATTTATGGCAGTTTGTCATATCGATATTCCAATTCAGATATTACAGTAAATATATTTTTCGACGGAAAGTTGCAAACATCATAGGTTGGGATGTAACAAAAACGAATAAATAATGTTTCGAAGGAATGTTATGGTTGATTACCTAGGGCTGGGAATTTTAGAAAAAAAACACTTCAACCGGTAATCGAGTAAAATTAACCGGTTAACCGCAGAGTGACGTTTGGCGTAAGGGGTTATAATTTTAGCTTGTTACGTCACAATGGGTGGATACAAAGCAACTTCGCGTGATACTATTCCGGTTTGCAAGAAATATTCATTAATCGAGAGTTTTATGATCGCTCTGCTGCAAGAGATATGCAGCGTGCTTCGACCATATGGAAGTAGTTTAGTAAAACCCGATTCCGTTATCATTTATGTGAGGTCGATGTGCGAATTCTACTTTGAGATATCATAAAGAAAAACAGCATCAAGTGCTCACTTTTTGGATGACATTAAATATACGCTTTTGCAATAAAATCGTGAACAATATATTTTGATCAAAAACTGATTCCGAATTTATCATTGTCAAATTTTCATAATCGGCAATCTTGGTACTTGGTACAATTATTTTTCACATTTATTGGATCCCTACCAATGCAGTTAGTGATATTCTTTTGAACTAAACGCCATAGGAAATAAATTTCGCGAATTTTCGTGTTGTTGTTTATAGAAATTCGAGTCGACTATTCGCCATGCTAAGCCATGTCATGCATCATTGGCAATTTTGCGGTTTGCATTATATCGCTTATTTGCATAGGGAATACCATATGTTCTCGAGACGACCACAAAAAACATTGATGTTTTTGACTTCAGTACATCGAACACTCGGAGCTTTGTTAGGAATATGTTAGGGCAAAATTTTCTATCTATTTCCTATTTTGCTTCATCTGAAATTCGACTTTTCACATTTTACAGATATCGATTTGCTCCAGGAGTCTCTCCTATTTCCATAGAGAGTTACATTAACGAACTTCTTGCCGAAGACACGCCTACAGGAATCGTTCCTTCCTTGCTTTACAATACCGTATAAATATTTTATCAAAAAATACAAGGGGCGGGTGATTGACATATTATTTTCAAAGATATTTGTAAATATCCCGTTTGATATTGTTGTTCAATAGGCTTGATATCGAAACTTTATGTTTCTCATGATTATGACGATTCTTGCTGAAAGTGTTATACACTGGCTGGATTCTGACAAAAATAAAAAATTGCGTTCTTGTGCATTCGAACCTAATATGAATTGTGATGCTGAACGTAATTATATGATACTTGTCTAAATAAATTTTACTAGAAGGTGAAGATCCATTTTGTTTTATTCTATCATATTGATACATCGATAAGTGGCAGTGATTAGGTCGTTTTATATAAGCATTCAGCATGAAGAACTGATAGGTGAATAAAGAAAACTCACTAAAAAGCATGGGCGGGAAGTTGGGAAAATTTTCAGTCGACTTCAAATTAAGTCATTTATAAAACTGACTAACAAAAAGTTCTCACTCCGATATCAGACTAACAAAAAATCGACTTTGGCGAGAAAATCACAGAAACGTATGACATATATGCAAGTTTTTTTTATATTTCCATTGCAAATCAGTTCAATGTATTTTGAGTTTCCGTCAGATAAATTGACTTCGATTAGTATATATCATTAAAAGTTGAATTTTCTACTCCGGGTAGTTTGAAGCTCCGACTCCAATATCAGTTCAAAAAACAAGTCAAAATTCAACTATACCACTGGTCTGCTCAAAAGTGAGGGTGCCAGTGACCGCCATTATAAATATATATGCCCATCATAAAGCAAGCTTTGACTGTTTTAATTTTCGGAATATACTCGTACTCGTTTGGTATCGGCATTGGCAAATTAGCCGAAATATTCTGAGAACAATGTAAACATACTTGAATAATTCGCCTAAAATAATATCACAGAAAATTATATTAATTTTGCAGTCTGGTTTAATTCTCTAAATTCTAATAACAATAATAGTAATACTTAAAATTCTCAGTAAAAAAAGCACGGGTGTTGAACGGCTTATGGCTACATGCCTTTTGGACCTTGAGTAGGCATATGAGCTATAAATTGATTGGTAAAAATTCAAGACTCTGCTATATTAAAAAAACGAATTTTTTTTCTCTTCACAACATAAATTGGCCATTTGGTTGGGGGCGTGGGGGACGTGTAGTTATTATTGTTAAAAAATATTATGACGCCATAGTAGCAGTTTTAACACTATAATGGTCTTTACGAACCCTAGTGCTGTAAAGTTTCATTTCAGTTGGTCCCGTGACCCGTTTTGTTGGCTTGGGCCGATCACTTGTCATGAAAGCAATTTGATCAAGCAGAGCCTCTCTTGGTAATAAATATGTGATAAGTGTAAGCATTTCATTGGATAAACACCTAACCAGTTGATTAAAATCAGTTGTCACTCTCTCGCCTAAGTCTTTGGCCTCATGTAATTATTTATGTATTGAGTTATCTAGCATTCACAATGGCGCGCTAGATTCATCCTCAACAAAGGGAAACGCATTGTTAGCGAAACGTGACCGTTCATTCCAACAGACTCAAAACCTATAATACGCAATAAGCATCCATATTGTCAAAATCGGGCTAAGTCTTTTCTGTTTGTGCCACATTCATGCAATCAAGGAAGTATTAGTTTGCGAACAAAATGAAGCGCAAAGTCTGTTAATTCAGTTCATTAGATAGATTAAGATGAAATTTGTAGCTGTCGACTTCAAACTGCTTTCAACGAACGGAAAGTAATTGAGTTCGTGTTGTATTTATTAATTGCAGATTGTGGCAATTTATTGAAGGCGTCATGACGCGCAGCACGATGCTGTCGCTGCTGTTCGGGTTTATCAGTCTCGTGTACGCAATGGAGATGTCTAAGTGCGCCGATTCGCAAAGTGTGAGTTTATTTAATAAATATTTTATATGTTTTACTTAGACCACGGAACTCACTTAATCTTTAACGTTTTAACGGAGGTACTTATGAATGAGGGGTAATGCGATTTTAATGAAATCATGACTGAATAATAAAACCAATGCCGTAATGTAGGAACAACCTAAATAAAAAGCATCTATTTCCGCACTCTGTTATTGGAAAAGAACTGCACATATGGATCGTTTTGTTATTATTATTTTAGTAGCACTGTGAATGCACCAATTAAAAACTTTGCAATTCATTTTATATCTAGAGGACGATATATGATTTCAATGTGAAGGAATTGGATGGGGAGACAGTATATCCTTTACGTCTTCTTTTGGGCAATGTGGTGTTGATAACTAACACCGCGTGCTTCTGAGGAATGACATCGACCCAGCTTGAGGGTCAGAATGCACTTTTAGAAGTAAGAAGATTATTTTTTCTGTCTCTAATTACTTTACCAGGATTTCTCTTCGTTGACGTTTGTTTATGTTTTAAAAAAAAAAAACGATGAACAATTTTGTTTGTTAAGCTTCAACTATTCAATTCATTTAACTTCACTATTTACGACTTAATGGATAGAGTACATTTTGGAACCCGAAAGTGGGAAATGTGGGAAATTGTGTGGCTTTCAAATTTTCGTGTATACAGTAGATGTTGTTTGGATGTCATTTTTGAGCATCGAGAAATCGTTGGTAACTACTGCGAGATATTGTCGCTGGTTTTTCAAACTTAAATAAGGTTCGTTTTACTACATTGCCGCCGTTGTTCACGTTTTTGTTAGGATAAAAATCGTTGAAGATTTTGTTCATACTGACTGTTCACGTTCACACATTTGAATATTGCTTCTTGCTTGCTCTCTTGTTTAATATCTCTGGTGTAACTACTTTTTGATTGCGGAAAAACATATGGATGTAAATGTATAACCTATTTGAAATGAGTCGAAAATAAGTTAACCACTGTTTCGCGGTTGCAAGTATACTTTGATATATTAGAAAATTCAGATTTCTTCCATTCAATGTAGATAAAAATTGGACATTTTCGGACACTTCAGACATTTGATAACAGCAAATGAAAAAAAGTTCGAAATACCTATAAAATCATACCGAAAAAATGTCTCCGCCACCAAGTCTTTCCTACTAGTCAAGTCATTGCCTCTGACAATAATTCTGTTTCAGAAATTTAACAACAGAAATGTCATCACCGTTGGATTTCCCTGTAATCAGTTTGGTATGCAAGAACCGGGACGTCCTAATGAAATACTCAATTGTTATAAATACGTGAGACCTGGAAAGGGTTGGACTCCTAACTCCCAGTTTAAAATTATGGATAAAATCGATGTCAATGGAGATAACGAACACCCACTGTTCACCTTTTTGAAGGTTAGTTGCACCTTTACTCTCGTATCTTTCGTAGGACTAGTGCCCAGAAATAGGTGTCTGAAGATAGTAGCAACCTCTTGTCGTGAGAATATATTGTTTACGGCGGATATTGTTTACATTTCAATTTGCTACTTTAAAATTAACGGATCTTTTGTATAAAGACCCCACCACTAATACAAAAGTGTGAGATTTGAGAAAAACACCCCCGCCACGTTTTTAAAATATCAAATTAGTAATTATCTAGTTGGGATTAGGGATAGAAATGATTTGAAAATGTGAATTTTCAGCGCAATCTGTATGTCTAACCCTAACTGGATAATTACTAATTTTCTTATTTAAGCGTTGGCGGGGGTGTTCTTTTAGAGCGACATTGTACAAAAGATCTAATATATCTTTTAGAAACACAATATCGATTTGCAATCATGAATTCAATTGTTAATATAGCTACGCTGTATCTAAATCTTATTGCCAATTTTGGCTGAATGATTTTCTTCGTGATAACTTTTCTTTACAAATGACAATCTGTCTTGACCGTAATTTCGTGTTCATCGGCACCAATAAAAGTGATTAATGGGAGCCCTTGTCTACATGTTGCGTGGTGTATCAACCCTCGCATATGAAATAACATTAAGATATATTGATTGTTATCTGCATATTAATTTGTTCCTTTTATAGGATACATGTCCACCTGTCAAGAGCAAAATTGGGTCGAAAGATGGTATATACTGGTCTCCAATTGTAATTGGCGACATTACCTGGAATTTCGGAAAATTTCTAATTGATAAAACTGGAAAACCAAGGTATGTGTATATAAAAAAATTAATATATATAATCAGAGCACAGCATATCGGTAATTAGTACCACCTCCAGATATTTACGGCACTATACCCAACCCGAATTTTTTTTTAGAATTCAAAATATGGTAATCAGTTTAACAAAGTTAGCCAGTCATTATCTTAATAAAATTGCTCATTTCAAAATTTAACTCCAGGATGTAAAGAACTATTGCAAAATTTTGCGACTTTTCTTGTTGTGTTTCATAGAAATTTAAGTCGACTATACGTAATGCTAAGCCATGTCATGCATCATTACCAGTTTTGCGGTTTGCGTTATATCGCATATTTGCGTAGGGAATACAATCTGTTCTCGGGACGACCACAAAATAGATTGTTGGGGGCTCCCGAAGTATGCGAACCAAGATGGCGGACATCGGAATGTAATATGTGTACTAGGTTAGGGTTAGGCCATAATTTTAGGTATAAATACTACGGGAGGCTCTTGGCTAGTCTTCGAACTGATAATAGGACTAAAATAAGGAAAATTGGAAAAAAATTATCGCCTAACCCTAACCTGTTACCCATGTTACGTTCCGATGTCCGCCATCTTGGTTCGCATACTTCGGGAGCACCGATTGTTGTTTTTGACTTCAGTACATCGAACAAACTTTGTTAGAAATATGTTAAGGCAAAATGTTCTATCTTTTTCATATTTTACTTCATCTGACATTCGGCTTTTTCACATTTTGCAGATATCGATTTGCTCCAGGAGTCTCTCCTATTTCCATAGAGAGTTACATCAACGAACTTCTTGCCGAAGACACGCCTACTTGAATCATTCCTTCCTTGCTTTACAATACCGTATAAATATTTTTATCATGAAATACAAGGGGTCGGTGATTGACATATTATTTTCAAAGGTATTTGTAAATTTCTCATTTGATATTGTTGTTCAATAGGCTCGATATCGAAACTTTATGTTTCTCATTATTATGAAGATTCTTGCTGAAAGTGTTATACACTGGCTGGATTCTGACAACAATGAAAAATTGTGTTCTTGTGCATTCGAACGCAATTTACATTGTGATGCTGAACGTAATTGTACGATATACTTGTCTGAATAAAATTCTATTGGAGAGTAAAGATCCATTTTGTTTTATTCTATCGTATTGATGCATTGAGGAGTCGCAGTGATTATGTCGTTTTGAAATAGGTATTCAGCACGAAGAATTGATTGGTAGGTAAAGGAAACTCACTAAAAAGCATGGGTGGGAAGTCGGAAAAAATATTCAGTCGACTTCAAATCCAAGTCAAATATCAAACAACTGACTGCTGGCTGACAAAAGTTTTAATTCCGATCCAGAGTAATACAAAAAAAGCGACTAGTTCGCAACTCCGAGAAAATCACAGAAACTTCTGCGTATACGTATGACATATTCAAGCTTCCGTTACATCTCCATTTACCATCTCCTCAAATGTTCTAGAGTTTCCGCCAGATATATTGACTTCGATTAGCATCATTAGAATTTTGAAATTCCTATTCCGGGTAGTTTGAAGCTCTGGCTCTGATATCAATTGAAAAACAATCCGTTAAAATCCGACTCCACCACAGCTCTGCTCATAAGTGAAGGTGCCAGTGACAGCCAACAAACCCTTCAACACTCATTTGCGAGCGTGCCGAAAGCTGCAAGTCTCGATCAGGGGTAAGATCGGGCCTGAAAATTCCAGCCCGACCCAGGCCCATGGATATTAAAACCGACCCGAGCCCGACTAATTAACTGGATTTGCAGGCCCGAAGCAAACCCGAAATTTCACATTTTATGTAGGAGTTCTTTGAATTGTCGTTGCAAGAGTTTAGCACAGTGTATACAGTTATAGTATATATTTTTTTTATAAACATATATTTAAAAGTCAGCGATAGAGAAGCCCGCCCGATCCGAACGTAATGATTGACATTTCAGGCCCGACTCGGCCTGGTCGAGCTTCAGATCTTAGCTCTAGTCTCGATCGCTATCGCGCATCGAATGAAACCAACTCGGCCATGGAAATAGGCAGCTGGAAGTAACTTCCACATAGCATAAGTTTTTAAAAACCTTTTTCTGTTCTGCATAGTTTACGGAGGCACACGTAGGTTATCCCGAAGCTTTCTATCAGACTCCAATACATACACGTCAATTTATTTGTGACAGTTTGTCATATCGATATTCAAGAACCGATATTACAGAAAGTAAATTTATTTTAGGACGGAAAGTTTCAAATACTATTGATACGCGGGAAAGTAACAAAAACGAACAATTTTTATTTCGAACAAATGTTATGGTTGATTGGACGAAACTACTCGATCGAAAGACCTTATAGTATGTACATTAAGGCATCCAATCAATCCAATTTTTATTTTTGAATGTCAATGCAGAAGCAAACGGAACTGTATGAATTAAAATACGCCAACCAAATTACATACTAATAATCCGTAAATAAAAATATAATCCCCAAAATAGTTTTTCCTAATTCTGCGGAAATCAGAGGCTTGTGGACTGAACAATTACCATAATACACTTTCCATACAGTAATATGAAATTTCCATAACGGCCGTTCGTAAAATATTTGCCCCATCCGAGACTTTTTCTCATCCATGACAAACGTTAATCCGAAAATGACTTTCCGTGTAAGCTGAACGTGTATTTTGTTATTTGACATAGACATTTCGTCATAACTGAGAGAGGAACTTTGTCATCTGGGAATAACGACGTGTAACCGCATTATTTGGCAATGTTGCATCTGGTAATTCGGCGTGATTCGCCAACACGTCAATCACCGTTTAAGCTGGTTATCGTCCAAGCAAAGCTTTTCGTAATATGATATCTAACTCTAGAAGGAATTTACAAATTCCTAGATTAAACAAGGGCTTATTTTGCACAGATGCTTAATCGCATAACTGCCATCTTTTGACACCTTACAATTCTATAATTATACAAAGGAGAGTGTGACATATGAAAAAAATAATTCATGCTTAATACAAAAAGCAACAACCAAGGTGTTACAATCACAGCGTAGCCCTAAATTGCAGTAGTTCTCTGTTCAAATATGGCTCAAGGCTGCCGTAGAGCAAGGTCGCAACGTTTTTGTACGTGCGTTTTCAGGCAAATCTAACGTTGAATGAGGTAACATGTATTATGACGCAGATATTAACAACTTCCAGATCAGGTATGTGAAGTTGGATTAAGATAAATGACATTAAACCGGGGTAACCAATCAGCGCGACGATAACAACTCGCGCACTTCAATGATTAATTGCTGTTTAAAATACTTCAGTTACCTTCAAAGTATAGGGTGACGCGGACATCAAATCCCCGCCTTTAACGCCAAAAGTTCTTTTTGTGCTGTAATATACCACTAAGTACTAACATTGGACAACAAATCATCATTTCACGTTACAACAATGCATTGAATGAATGTTATTTTAAGACCCAACAATCGATCTGAACGTACGAAAACCGCTAAACTTCGACAGGCCGTTCATTGTTTTATAAATCGAAAGTTTGTATTTACGTACGTCAATAACCTAGCAAACACACGTGACATGAAGTACGATCCTGAGAGCGCTTAACGGTGAGCTGGAAGTGTGAAGCAGGCTATATTCAGTTAGCATGTATTGCGTGGTACCTCGTATGGAACGAAAGTTAGGCAATCAGTTTGCAAGTTTCGGTTCAGCTTGGTCATTTATTCGCAACTCAGAAACTGAAGTATTGGGCTAAGAAAATCAGCGGCGTTATGCAAAAAAATTATAAAATATCGTAATTTAAAGCAATCTTCTCAGCCATTGAGGTAAATTAGTTTCTTACTATCACTTCCACAAGTCTGCGTAATACATAGCCTCATTGAGGTATAAACGAAAATATTTTCCTGGTTGAGTTGTGACAGGTATAGCGAATTTAAAATCAATGAAGGAAGCATTGCATCTCGCACAACAGCATACGTTTGTTTACAAAATTCACATATTATAAGATTGTTTACGATAACAGCTAAAACGTAAATGAACAGTCCAGGTTATCGCCAGGGTGAAAAGGTTCTTCTGTTCAGTTAACAGCATAAAATTGACCCGTGAGTCACATCGAGGAAATATTTTGACATACAAACTCGACCTGACCTTGATAGAAATAATCTTTCAATTTAAAAATAATAATTATTTCTACGAAATTAGAAAAATGAAATACTGGTATTCGTAATCCAGGCATGAATCTTGCTTGGTTAACTGGGTATACATTCAGCCTCGTGAAAACAACCCTTGTTGTAAAATAGAAGCAACTTCTTTAGAAAGCTCTAATGAGATTATAATTACCGTTACGCGGAATGCGCTGTTTCGTCTTCGTCGTCATACGAGCTGCTTGCTGTATGTACAAACGGAAGACAGTATTGTGAGCATATTCGAGCATAAGACTTAAGTTTTAGCTATGCGTTTACGCTCGATTTTGCTGTACCAGGAAAATGTAATCTAAACAGGAGCGAACTTGATGCCTTTGTAGGTTTAGCTTCCAGCAATCAGTGTAAATACTCTTTCAGTAATGATGATTACTTCCTTCGTTTCTCAATTTGGTGCTAAAATGAATTGATGTTATTGTTACTGTTATGTGAAATCTTTTTGCAGTAGTTGGCTTGAGTGTTGTTTTTCCTATCTTAGTTAGAAGTGTTTCTCATATCAAAAGGCCACATTTGGTCCAACTTTTTTGCGACAGATGATCTTTCCTAACACGGACCGTAGAAATACATTTAAACGATTAGTTTCAACCGACGTATGGCATGAACTGAAAAATGTTATGTTCCAAGCATGAATCGCAGATTGATATTTGTATACCATGATTGGCACAAATATAAATAAATGAAAACGAACAAATAATGTTTCGATTAGTAGTACGACGTACACATTTGCTTGGTTTCAGCTTGAAGGCGGGAAGTGGTTTGATACGTCCTGAAGTTGATTTTTTGTTGGCAATCGGGCACAAGCGAAGTGCAAATCTGTCTGAGCAGAAATGCCTTTATGTAATAATTGTCTGCATTGAAGATCGTGACCGAGTAAAGCAAAAGTCAAGTTACAGGCAGATGCAGACACGTGCAATGGGGAATTACTGCTCAATCGCCCACTAATCAATTGCATCAATGAGTTACAGGAACGGGAAAATTAGGATTATTTTGTTAGAATTGATACTTCAATACTTCCGCGTTACGATTAATCATTCTCGAAAAGCTCGGCCTATTGACGCCATCCTTTCTCGTTCCTCGTCGAATTTAGGTCAAGTAGGTATTATAGAAGAAATTATGAATATTGAATTAAGAAATTTCGTAGGGGTCGAAATATAAGAAAATTAACAATTTGTATGGCGTTTTTAACTATTGAAATGAACGAAAAGAGCAATGGCTCACGTGAAAATAGTGTAGTGTAGCTACATGTAGTTTTTTGTGACTAGGGAAAAAAAACATTTCTTATAGTCTTGAGAATGAACGTAGAGAAGTAACCGTGTTTTCGTGGTTTCTGCGAGTGACAAACGCGAAGAAACGTTTATTTGAATCATAGTGGGCAATCCATACTGGGAATTGTAATCTTTTTAGACCGACTACGATTCTCTTTGCCATTTAAGTGATTTCAGATTTCTTCAAAGGTATTATGTATTTATTGTCTTAACTATTTTCGCAGTTTTGTTGGCTACAAATTAAAAAATATATATATAAATAATGGCGCCATTAGATGATCTTGCAAATTCGACATCTGCAATTTATGCAAGCACTGAGATCAATGAGGCACAACATCATCCAGGAAAAATAACGATTGGGCAAATGAGTAAGTATCCAATTTTCACAATCATAAATCAGTTTTTGTGTTGCTCCACAGTGTATTCTCCTCCACAGTAAGAATTAATTCTAGGTCTAGTCTACTTCAGTCGAATTCAAACCAACATCAAACAATAAAAATTGGAACACTAACGGCACTGGCCGCTCGTTTGATAATTCCCAATCAGTCGCGCCTCGGTGATTTATGGTGGTGGAGGAGCCAAATTGGTCATATGCCGTAAAGACTGCTTAAATTTGCTGTATACTACCGTGTACTTTACTCAAAAGAAGATATTTTGATTATTACTTTGACTCGCTTGATATCTCTGTTGTGTGTTTATGTGTTGGGATGTCAATATAACCTCGAAATAATTTCGTTTACACTATTTGATCTTGGCAAATATTTGTTATGTCTACTAATTGAAATATCTTGCTTTGTTATGGGAGAAATGTCGCCAGCGAAGTTGAACTCTTATCTGATTACAAGGTCAAACGACAGGATGTTTCACAGATAAGCCAACGTTATTAAAAAAAACATGTCGTCGTGACGAATTTATTTTATGCTGTCTGTAATCAATAATATTAATAATAAAATAAAAGTTGGGTACATTGTATAGTATATCATTTTAATATATGATTATAATTTTGTCCTTATGTACGGTATTGTCTCAGGAAACCAGACAACTGACGTAATTAATCACTTTGATAAGACTATATATGATAAAATTGATTCCGCCAATTGGATTTTCGAGTAGATATAAAATTGCAGTACGCCGAACGTGTTGTCCGGTAATCACACTATGGCTTATAATCTATAAATTTTTATATAAATAAAATGATTCATATTTTGTTCATATTTAAAATAAAAATAAGGAAGACATATTCAAATGAATTAAAAAGGGATTATTTTCAGAAAAACTCAATGCATTTTAATCGTAGTTTCGGTGTCTATACATTTTGATAGGAAACTTTTTTGAAAATCATATAAATCACCCATCAATACCACAAGCTGTCTATAGTCTGATTCATTCGACCAATAATAGATTTTCATTTTCGAGATGTTTTGGATTTGAGCCTAAAACGAAATGAAAAAAAAATCTCAATTACCTTTGTAGTGTGAATTGTTGAGTATTCAATATATCAAACTCTTCATATGCGGTACCGGTATCGCCCAGTATCGACAATAACCACGCAAATACTCAGCCGAGGATTTTGATCTCATTTGTTAAAAATAATGATATCTTTTTTTAATTCATCTACACTGGCTCTTTAACCCATTATTTATTATTACATCATATTTTCGCTTATTTTAATAGAATCAATTCTCGACTTCGGAATTTTAGTTCTTTTCCATATTTGTACGCCATTTCAGCTTATAAATAAAATTTAGTATATTTTTTTTTATACCGAAGTTTTGGAAACCTTTTAGCAGCATGATTTAAACGAAAAACAAGGTTTTCCCGCGTCTATTGAATAATTGAAAATCTTTAGTAATTCAGTTTTCTCAGATAAATTCAATAGCGGTATGTATAATTTAAGTATTTTCGCTCACGAAAGCAAACGTTACAACAAACAGAGCATAGTAAAAAGTAGAAAATTAAAAACCCAAAGAAAGTCACATTCAATCATTTTTTATATAAACCTTTTTTCGAAGACATAATTGCGTATCCAGCAAGTTCACGGTCAACTCAATAGCTCACACTAAAATAACGGTCAATTTTCGTAGTTAACTCAGTGCACTGTACTCAAATCACAGTACAGACACCTGTAAATTACTATTTTTGTTATAGTGTGAAAGTTTGTTTAATATATCACCTCATGCGGGGATACTGTATAAAATGTATTTATTTTTTCATATATATTTTTATTTACCAGTGTTCTACACAACTGCCGTTCTCATTGTTCTTGTATTGCTTTACGCATCGATGGTGATATGCAAAAGAACATTCACAGCAAAGAAAGTTAAGAAGTTGGCAACAACCATTGGCAAGTCCACACCACTAAAGTAAGAATTTATACACATTGCGCAATTTCAGGCCATGCGCTGCTAAGTGTGGCGTTAGAATTATGTATTTTTTTTTGTTTGGACAGGTCTAGATTTCGGATAATTTTGTTGTAGAAGAAGGCGTTTATTGAGGTTTAATGGGGCTCGTTTTGTTTTACATACGTCCATAACAACGTTGCTCTAATCCGTTACGCAAACCAGGTCACTGCACACAAACGTAAAAATGTCACCGTGTTTTGTAATATGCTGTATCCACTGACCCTTTTCCCATGACGATTCGTGGTATTAGGACTGTCAAAACAACTGCTTATAAGTTTTTTCGTTCACGCAAATATTTGCAACAGAGCAAAAGATGGTTTGCTATTTACATTAATTTTTTAGTGATTTAGCTATAGTGATGTAATAGCTGTATACTTTGACAAAAGCATAGTTCGACTATAGATAAGTTTTATTATTCCTATCAATTAAATAAAAGGCAACGTCGAATGACAATCCACGAAAAAATATTTGGTAGTCGATTTAAGCTCACACACAGTTTTGAATTTGACTCCAAAGATCACATGTGGGAGTTGCTGTCATGATATTTTGTTACAAAAGCTTTTCTAAGAAATTCAAGTGGTAATTCTAAACATGTTAACCTTAAAGTAAGTCATGCGTTATTTTTACTTTGCTCTCTGTTCAACTTTGTTTCTTTGCTACCAAATGTCAGCATTGTTTGACTCCAAAATGCCACAGGATACAATACAAACTTGCGGTGAAAATAAAAAAACGAAAATATTAACACAGAAAACAGCGAGGAAATAAATCTCAAAACCCAAAATATTATTGTAGGGGTTTCACGTTCAGCGGATAATGAGCGATGGATTATCTCGTTAACAGACAACGGGAAATAGGCAAATACAACAAAATCGATTATTTATTTTATTGTTTAAAATTCATTCATAGCTTGTAACTTGAATTAGTGTCGATTTCAATCGTATGATAAATACATCGTATGATTTCGTGTGGTGAATAAAAACGTGGTCATTGACACGTCTTTCATATCCGACTTTCCTCTTTCTAAAAATAGCTCAATTTTTGAAAAGTCGGTTGAAATTTTTTACACAATTTTTATTCTGGTATTTAACGGGTAGAGCTGCCATTTTTTGAGAAAAAGTCTAAAACTCTTTGCCCGTTTTCAATTTCTATGCGGCGAGCTAAAAAAAGGAAAGTCTGTTTTATGGTCCTTTGGGACACTTTAACCTGATAATCGTATTGAGACAATTAAATCGAAAAAATTCAAGTAAACTATAAATTCAATCGTTAACTTTAATTAAACCGTTTCGCATGTTGTAAAAAATTTGCTGTTTTTAATACATGGTTTTAAAAATTTTGTACTCGAAGGTTAAGCGACAATCAATCATCGATATGTTTATTATTATCTGTATTTGTATATTTTGCATCCTGCCCGCAAAACCAATTTAATCTTCCTGGAGTCTTTCAGCTTTTTACTTTTAAAAAATAAGTGAGCACAATATGCGTCACTGCGGGTTAATTTTGAAATAAGGTAATAATATAAAATATAGTCTTCATAATTCGAAAATTTAACGAATTTATCCACGTTCCACGCCACTATCGAACCCAGGTCTAACAAAATAATTACATTTTTGAATCAATCAAATCATCTATATCAATGCGATCTACTCGTTACAGGTTAATTATCCTGTGATTGGGTGTAACGATAAATCATATAACTAAGCGATTATGTATTTCCAGATTTGAGTTGTGACGTCTTTATCCTGTTAAATAGAAATTGTTGTGTAGCGTGGTTTATACAAAGTACTACAAATCACTTGAAATCTTATTTAATTAAATCGATGTTTACTAAAAGGAATGAATGTTCATTACTCTCGCAATAATAAAGGTATATTATTTAATGTCAAACCATAAAACAGTACGTTATCTTCAGTGATGCTTGTCATTTGAACTTAGTTAGACGACTGTGACATTACATTGCACTGAATGTATTGGATCGAAATTTCAATTTTTGAAACATGTTATGCAAGATTTAATCTGTTATGTTGGATATTATACAAAACGTCATTGTTATTAAAATGAAAATTATAAAGTAAATTATCGATAAATCAACGAAATTGTGTCAAATCCCTAAGAAAAACAAACATAAGTGTAACAAACATGTCATAAGTATAAGCTTTGGGCGCCAACAACATTGTAATACAGCCATGACGTATTAAACTATAAGGGATTGGTGAATTATCTCTAATACTCCGAAATTCGACATGAAAATTGTGCAGTGCCATGAAGAGAATATGAATAAACTTGCATGGTCCATGTTTAATTTTTCGTGTGAGTGTTTTAAATCTCGGATAATTCCCCAAAATTGCATACGCGGCTACGCCACAAACATTAAGTATTGAATTTCGCATCATTTGCTTGTCTAACTGTTCGGAAAGGTTTTGTAATAATCTAACGTATCGGCATTTGCAAAAAGTATTTTTTATAGCCCAAATATTTTTTCATCTACTCTATATTGCTAATTTCATTGCAGGAAGTCTATTTCAAACTCAAACTATACTCAAGTTATAAATTAACACGGTATCGCAGCAATTTCCTAAACCTTTGATTCTGGTCTAATCCAAGCACGATCCTTTTAAACTCACATCCGAATTCCAATCAATTTATCTTGAAAAGCAGGTGGATTGTCGGATAGTATAGGTAGTGCACCAGACTGGAGAATGTTTTTCTCAAATATTATATATCTATATGAGAGGAAATACTTTATTGCATTGTATATTGTGTTATAAATATACTCTTCTCAGTTGTAGCGAAATGGGATTGACTTCGCTCAAAGATCAATCTTTTTCATTTCTGAGCAAAGTCGCTTTAATCTTGCTTTGAGCTAGTTACTTCGAAAAAATTCTCAAACCATTACAGGGCATTGCAACCATTCTTTTTTAAAATATATTTCCGAAGTGGTCGATGTTTGCTGGGAGCCAATGTCAAGAATTATCCAACCATTGTAATTTGTTATTATAACTTTTATTTGCAGGAATTTCATTCAAAATCCGATGACTGTACACGTGATCGACAATCGTTCTGATTTGGAATGGGACATGGAAGGATTTCACGTAGACAATGATTCTTCTAAACATCACCAACTATATTTACACCCTGATTGTTCGAATCCAACTTAAATTTTTTTGTTTTTTGTTTCAATGTTCCATGAACATACTCGATGTATCATTCAATTGATCTCGGTTAATTTGACTGATCGAGTATAAATTTTCAATTTTTTACCTATATTCTATTGCTTTCAAATATTCTAATGTGTGTAAAATACACTTCTTCATTTATATAGAAAAAACTAGTTTTCATTATTGGTTTTTCGTTTTTCTTGTGAGAAAAGATTCCCGAAGTTTTCAATTTTACTTCGGGCAGCGGCATACTTCAAAGGGTGTCTAAAATATGTCGTGTCACACGTATATCCCTTGTCAAGAGAGACACGTGGGGCAAGGGGGATATGTTGGACAAGTGGGATATCTAGAAAAAGTGGGAAACGTGCGACAACAAATGGGATACGTGGGGTAATGGGGACACGTGCGTCAAATGGGACTTTTTCGAGACACGGGACTTCAAGGATTAACTATAGAAACTAGACTGCTCCAGAGTGTCGCTGTACTACAAATCATGAAACCGATTCGGCCAATTGTGGTATAAATTATAAATGTATATAGACTGGTTAGTAATGTGAAATCGTCGCTCGTCAATATCCTCTAGCTCCAATCTCCATGCCTATCAACTATAGCGATTGAGGTAACTTGCTGAGCGGTTTTAATTTCTTTGTTTTGGTAACAAAACTAGGCAACAGATATTCCAACAAGATATGTTCGAATTAATGGACACGAAAGTTTCGCTGACCAACGGTGTTCTATATGCCTAAACAACGGGACAAGCTGGGAATCTGAGAAGCGCGAGGAAAAACGTTTGTTTCTCCTTCAATGGAGAAGTCGCTTCAGCAATAGGACTAAAAACAATAACATTAACGACGATTCCAAATAACTTCATCAATATAGTACGTTGATGGTTGTTTATAAATTGATTAGGATCTATGCGGTTTTCCGCATTATTTTTCAATAATTATTTGCAATAATTTCAAAACAATACACTACTCCCTTGCGCCGTCTAGCGAAAATATGAAATCTCTAACATTCGTTTCATCAGCGAAGGCCCGATTTCGCTATAACGAATACTGTATAGAATTTCCATTGGGTACGAAGCGTACAGATAGATTGTTTTACAAACTGTCATTGTTAAAGTGTAATAGAAGAAAAATACCTTTTTTCTCCAAAACTCATGATGGACCTATCGACATCAAGTTGATAATAGTCATCCAAAGATGAAACGAGAGGCTACTTAACTTCTACTTTTTTATTTTCTACGAGGACTGATATTTCGTCCGCTTTTTCATTTAAATTGAAAGTATTAATAAACAAATTTTAATAACGTTCCGTACAATACTTAGAACATGGCTTTAAATTAATGGTTGTCATTTCATCAGCTAAAAATATATTAAACTAAATCATTTCGCAATTACCATTTCACTTTGCCAGGAAATGTTCTATGTGCGTAAGATAAGCGTTAGGTCACGATTTGTGGTCTTTTATGAATTCTGCTACTATAGCATTGAACTTAAAGAGGCGGATACTCTAGAAACGTCAGGCGACGGCGCCGCCCTTCTCAAATAAACCAACACATTTTTGAACGAGCGATCTTACGTTTACGTCGTCAATCATGCTGCTGTTACAGTCATTATATAAAAAATGATTTTTTTTTCTGGAATATATTGTAATTAACCCTATGTATATCATCCAAGGGAAATCTACTTACAATTTAGATACAACCTATATTCGCTATTGAGCATAATCGTAAAACCACGAAAACCCTAGTACTGAATTTTACATTTTGGATATCGCTGTTAAATTTACTTATATTTTATACAGTATAAAATATCAAGCTTAAAATGTACGACCCTTTCACGGTCCATACTATTTCTTTACAAACTTCCCAAAAACTTTGACACAAAGCAGATATTTGCTTAAAGACTGGCATCATTGCTTTACAAATCTCAATAAGACGTAAACGCCTCATTGGTACATAATAAACCCCTGGATAAATTTTACAGCGTTCAATGTTTATTGAGAAAGGTGAAAAGGAATATATGGCAGGTGGATGTTGATTTGTGATCCAATACGGATTCAGGTATTGCGTGGTCTTAATGCAAGTCGGTAATACACGGAAGCACAAGCAGTTAACTTGTAAAAAGATATGAGAATGAAGTCGGTATTGGATATTACCACTCAGAAATTGGAATGCATTCTCTTATTTCAAATTATATTTTAAAACTAATTAGCCAGTGAGGATTTAATATAAGCCAATTTTACATTTAACAGTTTAATTTTATCTCTTTAACAAAAAAACTAACGACAACTTACAATGAAGTTTTCTGTGACGGCTGGGATTGCCGTTCTCGTTCTTGTTCTACTGGGTGAATGTAAGTATATTTTGTGGAATAATTAACAATTGCATACTCAATAGGCGAAGCAAAGCTAACCGTAGAAAATTAGGTACTCCCGTAGTGTGTGCACCAGGTTAGGGTTAGGCCATAATTTTATTCCGATTTTATTTTTATTTTAGTTCTATTACGAGTTCGGGGACTGACAGTGTTAGCTAAGTGAATATACCCCCTGTCCATAGGCTTCAATTCCTTTACACGATTTGATGTAAAGAAGACGAACAAAATAGTTGACTCCATATTGGTACACACACTTTTGGGACGCCGAAAATTATGTATAGACATATAAACTAATTTGTTGTAACAAATGCTCAAAGTGAATACCAATAAAATGCTTCGACTTAATCACAAACTAATAATAACATATAAATTCCTGTATCAAAAAGGCGCTATATCTCCCAATACCTACCTTTTCAACCTGCCTTATATAGTCCTATATAAATAGGACTTTTTCTGCACGTGGTAAAACTAGCACTCATAAAGCCAAAACAGAATTAATACTACCTTAATTGTTTGCAACAAAATCAATTATTATGTCAAAGTTCAAAGCTTTTTTCCCCCATGAGCTTCAGTTATATACCGTGTTTCCCTGAAAATAAGACCTAGCCTGAATTTTAAAAATCATTTTAATATAAGCCTTTAAAATAGGACCTAGTCAATAGCACGAAATTTTTTTTTGACCTAGTCGATAGCGAGAAATCTTTCCTGCACGTTTTTAGGGATTGATAATCTATGTTTTGCAGTTATTTGGAATAAAAACGTGATATTTATAAGTAAATGGATATCGGTTTCCATTTTTTGTATATTTGAAAATCTCGTAATACTCTACTTTGTAATTTTGTTTTTGATAAATAAAAATATAAGACATCCCCCTAAAATAAGCCCTAGTGTTATTTTTCGAAAAAAATTGAAATAGGACCCAGTCCTATTTTCGGGGAAACACGGGAGTAGGCTATTCAGTGTATTCACTATTGCTCAGTGGTTTTGCATTCGCGTTTTGGCTTAATATTATTGGTCTTGAGAAGATAGAAATACTGTAAGGTAAAAATTTAAAGTTGCTAGTTATTGTTATAGGCGCCGCATTGAAGTGCAATACGTTCCACTACAACTCTGTCCATGGCACGAATTCCACCAAAGTCACACCTTGTGCCGAAGGAAAAACCGCATGTGCTTCTCTCCAGTTCACTGCAAGCCTGGCATCTGATGGTAATTATGTAGGTCTAACTGTAAAAAATGTGATTGCGCTGCTAATATGTTAAGAATACTCCCGCCCGCTATATTTACTGTGTAATTGTGATATTACAAGGAAATAAACAAACAGCAGTGTATATCTTTTCTTGATACGTACAATATTTCAGTTGTGTAAGCCAGTGGTAAAAAAACTTAATGAAGAGTACATATATGTATGGAAAATTCAGATTTAAAACTGCAGTGTTGTCCATTGAGAGGTTTATTAATTCTTTCAAATTTTGACATCTGGCAACCTTTAATGTAGTAGGCTACATCATTAAAACGCGCATTCCCGTGTATATTGTGTTGTAAACAACGAGAAAGGTTAGTGTTAAATTTATTTTTAACGTTTTCAGGATCTCATGTGAAATTTCATCAAGGGCTCTGCACGACTCCTAACTTGTGCGGAAGCTTTTGTGCAAAAATGAGCAGGAGCAAAGAGATCGACGCACATATTTCTCAATGCCAGACTCAGTGCTGTTCATCCAATGACTGCAACAAAAGATTTCTCTAAATTACTCTCCGATTAGATATGTGGAATATAACAGCTAAATGATTTGAAAGATTACTAATAGATTATACCCGGCATATACAATAATTATGATATTAAATTAAAATTTTTAAATCGTATTACCCTAAATATAATTTTCTGCTGACAATAAATAGGGGTGATTGGCTTCATTTTCGATAAACGTGCAGAAGAGACGAACTTAGGTGGAAACAAGTTATGTTGTCATGGTGATTTTAGAGACCTACAGTGTGGAACTGAAAGAAGGATTATATAACAAAAATTACGCCTTGCCAGATTGTTTTTGATTACACAAATATGAACCGCACCAAATATCTGGTAGAAAACCAGCAGTAGCCCCAAAAGGTGCACTCGACAGAACCCCTCTCACGCAGCTCTTGAAACGACCAGAGTTGTTCATTAGACGCCTGATATAAGCAAGATTGCATTTAATAAATATTCGGGAACAGTGCAAAATAGGTAATATCATGGGCAATTGTGGATCGGATTAGGAACTTGGATGGATACCAAACATCTTTTCACGCCTGTGTGTAAGGGTATATGATGTCCAATGAAGATCCCTCTTTGATTGGTTGCTTCTGTCCATGGTATTTGCGAACTGCACAATGCACGTTTACCCATAGGATGTTAATAATCCATTCATTCGACCAGGGACGACCCAATCATAGAATTGGCCATAACTTTCAGGAATTCAGATGCTTGGGCGTTGCTAACAACTCCGAATGAGTGAAAAGCGATCATAAAAGATTTATATTTAATATCTTTTATTCAAATGCAAATGGAAACTTCAGGAAAAATAAACATACAAAAAGAATTCATTTTACACTCAGTCATTTTACCTGCTCAAACTTAAACAGACATGGATATGTAGAACAAGAAAACGAGTTATTCACACTTAAATAATAATATTTAAAAATTACAAGAAATTGGTTTTATAATTTTTTAGAATTCTGTAGAAATCCAATCCCAGAGTTTGGTCAATAAAAATCATAAGCATCTACCTTCAAAAGTAGTGACAACATTACAGTAACAAAACATGCAAAACGCATCGATAATAAGAATATCAATCAAGCAAGGTACCTGCAGAGATAATAAAAATATCATAAAGTTAAGGTCGAAAAATGGCAGTACAGTCTCTTGTGACTCATGTCACGCAAACCAGTCATATATTTATTTTCAGTAAGATTTTAATATCCAATTGAGATAAATGATCACTACCAAAAACATCTGAGACTTCCCTCCACATATATATATATATATATATTGTATCACATGTTTTCAAGCCTTCACACAGAATAATGCTCTGCACCTACAGCAGCTGATACATAAATAGTCACAGGAATCTTTTCATCTAGCGTTACCTACACAATTCACCACACCTTAGGAGTTATAACCCGCCACTCCGAAATTGTTAGATATGCAATTACCGGTAGATCGTCCGGTACTCTCGAGTATGTGAACCAAGATAGCGGACACAGGGACGTAGTATGTGTACCAGGTTAAGAGTTAGGCAATAATTTCAGGTACAAATACTACGGGAGTCACTTGGCTTGTCCCCAAACTCGTAATAGAACTAAAATAATGAAAATTGGAATAAAATTATGGCCTAATTCTAACCTGGTACACATAATACGTTCCATGGTCCTTCATCTTGGTTCACATACTTCCAGAGTACCGATTATCCAGCTCTTGCGGATGATAGTCAAACCCAGTTGAAACATTCTAGCATAAAATTAGAATTGATTTATAAAAAAAACTCACATATATTCATCCGGACAATTGGGACTTCTTTCGAGGTAACTTTTTTCAATTAAAGATTCAATCGATTTCTTGATAACGGAAACACTTGGTGAAAATCTGGCCCGGGACAGTGAAATCACCTGAAAAGAATATTACAATGAAACAAGGGCAACCTAATAGTTAAGCAGACCACTCTTATTTCATAACTATTTTTTAATCAATTCTTTAACTGAGAATTGATGCAATAACGGAGCATCGCACAAGACCCAAATCACCAAATGATGCAAGTAAATGAATAAAACCCAGTGAACTAGAACAATGGCCCTACCAAATTATAAGGCAATTAAAAGTAGTCTGCCGTTAAAGAAAAATTAACAAAGGGCAAATATTTGAGTGAATTAAATTAATTCACGATACATCGCAATAATGCAATAAAGTCAAATATCATCAAAACGAGATCATGGAGAGAAGCTATAACGAATGTGGTTTGAATAATAAAGGTGATGAAAAAATTCACCAGTATTCATTTCCATAGTGATTATTTTGATCCGACTTTTCCTATAGCAGGAGCCTACACAAAATATTTTGGCGGGCTACATGCGACCCGGGGGTTGTAAATTGCCCATCCCTGATTTATATGAATTGAGTATAACTGATTAGATATATGAATTGAGTATAACTGATCGTCTACCAACCTCTTGCATAAGTTCATTGTGTCGAAGTGTTTTTCTGGCTTTCATAATTCGAACAATTGCTGCCTGAAATTGAAACACACTAAGATCACACTTTCATTTATATTTTGAAAATTTTTGTATGAAATACTGATACCACAAACATGTTTAGCTCTCGAAAAGATTCCTATCTCCAATTTTTTTATTTGAAATATTTATTATTAGCGTCAACATATTTGACTGTCAAGCCTCAAATATTTTTGCGCAAGAGATTTTTCCATACCTTTTCCATTGGAATAGTCTTTTGAGTATAGGATTTAGTAACAAGAGGTCTTACCTGGAGATACAATTTTCTGTCCTCAGCAATTGCCGAATGAGTTGTCTGGACTTCTTGCATTGTATCTTTTTGTGTTGCCGCGGCGATTTTGAATCTTGTGCGTTTGTTAGTAAAGTTGAAATTAATTGAAAATTTTGTATCATCATCATCTCCTTTCTGAAAATTATTAAAAATATAGTTTGAGCGTGTACATTAGGTGAAAGGATACATGCTTATATGCAAAGATCCCGAAATAGCTTTCATTAATTACTGTTGCGATAAGTGACAGTTCACAATAACCATGTATGAATAACATTAGAACAACTGATCATTCCACGATTTTACACAACAAGAAATAGTAATGTTTCAAGATATTTTACAATCACAGATGCAGTAATCAAAACCAGCTTTATTTATATATATGAGCTGTGGGGCTAATTCTGGTAATCTCTCAATAAACCATAATTGCATCAATCAAAGTTGGAACAAGTTGTTAGAAGTTGTTACATTAATTATCTACCTGAATTTTGTTGTTTTTTATTTTGAATGAGTTATATAAAAATATTGCCCGATTCTGAATCGTGTTATCTCTCCTGTGTGTTTTTTATTTTTACTTTGGTGAGAACGTACTCTGCACAAGCAGTCATTGCTGAGTAAAAATCTACTATAGTTTGGAAGGACAGGAATTTCTCTGGTTCGGCAATGCCTACCCAATTTATTACACCATGGGTGAGGTGGTAAGCATGAGATTCGAACCTGTGATGCCATCGTAGTTAAGTCTAATGCTTTGACCACTAGGCCATGGGCCAATAAGTTATTGATATTTTAAGATTTATAGAATAAATTGAGGTAGAATGCATTAGGAATATTCCCCAGTTCAGAATTTGGAAGATTGTGTCAAAATGACTCACTTACCAAAGCCCCCCATGATGGGTATAGGGATTTACCTATTTCAAACACACTGACTGGAATACGAAAACCAAAATGATCCAAAGCCCAAGATACCTCTTTTATTAGTATTCTTGCATCCGAGAGCAAATTTATTGTTTTTTCGAGTTCTCTGTCTCCCAGTCCTGTTGATTTTACAATAAACGAAAACAAAAGGTCTGGAGATTGGTTGAATAATAATAAGATAGATAGTTGATATGTGGACATTGTTACCTGAAATATGGAATAAAAATCTTTAAATAAATTTAAAAAAATAATAAGGGACATGTTGGAAAGAAGTCAGATATGCAATGAATGGTCAATATGCCAATACAACATTTTTTATGGGTTGACTATAGGGGTCTTTATCATTTGAATGCTATATACAGACTGTTATTAAAAAATACCCAGTGTTTGTATAAAACAGTGGTTCTCAAACGATTGCGATTCCATCCATGTATTTTTGAAATGTTTTTTAATAAAACATACTTTTGTCTTACTATCTGTTATTTGTAGCTTATTGTTACCCAGTTATTTTTGGGGTGGGCACGACCGCATGAGACTTGACAAATTCTAAAAATGGGACGAGACTTGAAAAGTTTGAGGACCACTGTTATAAACCATCTAATTCTATAATAGAAGGAGTAACAATCATCTCCTAATTATTATTGAAACCCATTAATAAAAACGTTTAGATCGGCATTAGATTCAAAAAACTATATTTTTCCAGATTTTGGTGACTATTACCCCAATGAGCAGCTGAAAAACAACTTACAAAATATGTCTTGCTTGTTATTTGTACCCTGACTTCGGCTTGTGATAGATGATGTAGCCATGATAATTTCCGACCGTTAAAATTATCTCCATAGAATTTTTCAAACTGAAATGCCAAAATTAGAATACGTCAGAAACTGATTTAATAAAAACTAACAATGGTAAAACAAGAATATCAGTCAGAGACCGAAGACTTATCGATCGAAAGTTAGGGGATCCCCAAAACAGCACTCTTACTCCATAGTGACAACTTGTGTCCCATCACTAATTATCTAAGAACTCGCTAATTATACTACATAATTCGCCCAAAATCAATAGGCTTCTGGTCCGAGATATGATGAACGTACATGCAAAATCTGGAACAGATTCAATCTCGCTTTCGTGAAATATCGCGTGCATCTATCAGACAGACATACAGACAAATACCTATCATCATACTTACCGATTAAAATCGATAAGTAAAAACTGATCAATGCTGGTGTCAGTGGTAGATGAACAAAAAATCTTACTTGCAAAACACTTTTAGTTAATTCTTGAGGCAGGTGGAAAGGTGTCTGAGTTGAGTTTAAAGGCCATGCACCAGCCTGAAACAAACAAACATATGTTCAATAAAATGTTAAAATAATGATTCCTGTAGTGGAGTGACGTATCACACATTAGTTTTGGATATACCTGAACTAAATTGATACTAACTGACTAACCATAAGTGTGATCATATTTCTCACCTGTAACACATTAACATTGAAATTAATGTTCACATCTTCGTTATGCTTCGTCAAAAAATCAGAAAATTTTGTGTTGAGGTCAGCACTGAGTCTCATATCATTGTACATTCGGTGTAATTTTGATGTGAAATCGTATCCGCAAACACTCTTCAATCTGTTTATCATTGATTCCTCAGTGTACATGGAACTGCAGAGTCCGTGTATAAGACGCTTGGCAAGATTTCGGCTGTAAAACTGTGATAATAAAGGTTTATCATTTTTAGTAGACCTGAGAATATTGGAAAATTTCAAACAAACCCTGAAACAATCAAAAAATGACTTAAAATCTTGAAAATAACCATTTGAGCAGTCTCAAAAAGTACCACAATCAGTTTTTTTAATTTAAATTCCCACTCCAAAAATTGCTAAAACTAAAAAAAGGTTATGTTCCCCCAAAATTTTATGAAATTAACTGCAATGAAATTGGTAACCTAGCGTAAACAAAACTGTTACTGGAAAGAAAAGAAACAGAGAAACACCTGGAGGTTATAGAAATGGGAAATATGGTCATTTTTCCAGGTTATACTATATTCCATGCTAGAGACAATTGGCTTCGATCAAGGCACCACTACATATTGTTTGCAAGCAAGCTCTTTCCTCACTTCAGTAATTATCAAAACCAATGATAATGAATAGAATACCATTGATAATTTGAAGATACACACAGTGACTTTTCCAAAATTTATTCAAAACTTGGGAGAAAATGGATAAGATGTATCACATGGGCCATGGCCCACCAAGACCTCTTATCTGTTGAAAATCCTATCAAGATAGTAAAATGTACATAAATACTTTTTGAAAAAGATCTTTGTCTTCAATGTATCTGAAAACTGTAATACAGTTCTTTAATCGTTCATCGATGTCACTATCTGTTAGTCCTTTCACACCTTTTCTCAATAAACTGTCAGAATATTTGCTCACCTGGATAAAAATAACATAGAATGTACAAATTTCTGAAGATTTCCAAATACAGACATAAAAAAGTAGATGATGTAGATAGTAGATGTGTTTAAAACTTCAAGAGATTCGAAATAAGGGATGTGTGTTAGATAGACTCTTTGCAAGAGAGTTTGAAGCATTAAATGCAAGCAAATGCTCCAATTCACACCAATATCAAACTAGTAGTCTTGCGTTGAATAGAGGTATGATATGAGCAATTGATGCGGACATAATAACTCGGTAGTGACAAAATAGAAAATTAAATAGACTATGTTGGTGTCACAGCATTCTAAAAATATAGTAGTTCGTGGCTACTTATGTAACACCGGATGTTAGTCCAGACTCCAGAGATTCATGTGGTATGGAAAGGTAACACATGAGGTAAAAAAGGTAAAAAAATCACCGCCAACTCGGACAAAACGAATCTCTTAGATCAGTGGTTCCCAACCGCCGGTCCGCGAAGCTTTTTTGCCGGTCCGCGAGAGATTTCCTCGTTTGTTCTATATGCCGTTTCAATCGCTTAACCGAAGCCAAAAGTTGAAGTTGCGTTAGTGTATACGCAATTTCTTTTCCGCGTCATATTGCTGTTTGATAAGTGCCGCCTGGCGACATCTTGGCGCCGATTGATTACCTTTTCGCTTTCCCGATTGCGATCCACCGCGAGAGCGCTCCGTTAACCCTCTCAAGATTCAGAAACGTAAAAACCGGCTCGGTTCTGTATGCTTTTGCTGCTAAATATGACCATCCAAATAAAAGTTTATGAATATTTCTTTGTTCATACCTGACGCCATACAAAAACAGTCAAAAACAGTATAATATACCACGGCTTCGTCTTGACATCCATCCAGTAAGATATGAACTTGTTGCGACCCTGCAGGTGGTCACGAGACGCGCAACAGTAGCATGGGCCGCAGAGATCTTTTCCAGGTGTTACACAGCAGGATCTTGAGCCTAGTGCCAAGTTAACGACGACCTTGTCATTGTAACGCAAATTCATTTTGTTTGAGGCGTCGATCAACTACAGAGAGATTAATATGAAATCAGCCAACCAACAAAGTATTTTGATGTTTTTCGACAAGGAGAATAGGTCTTTTTCAGGATCAGATAAATCTCAAAAAGGAGACGAAGCGAGTACAAATAATGCAAATGTTAAACGAGCCAAGAAAAGAACATGCCAAGATACGTTAACTGTCACAAGAGAAAGCAAGAAGAAAAAGTTCGAATTTGTAAGGAAATACGATGAAAAATACATGGAACTTGCTTTTACTGTAGCTCCTGGTAGTGAACAATCACCACGGCCTTTATGTTTAGTTTGTGCCCAAGTTCTTTCCAATGATGCTATGAAACCTTCTAAACTTGCTCGACATTTTCACTCAAAGCACAGCAATCTCAAAGGCAAGCCTGTTGAATTTTTTGAACGACTTCTCATCGACATGAACAACCAGAAGAAGCAACTGAAAAATATAACAACCTCAGAAAAATCTCTTCTTCGTGCATCATATCAAATTTCTCTTCAAATCGCTAAAACAAGAAAACCGTACACAATTGGGGAAGAGTTAGTAAAGCCGTGCATCTTATCTGCAGCTGAAGAGATTTTGGGCGCGGAAGCAGTTAAAAAACTGAAACGCATACCACTCTTCAACAACACCGTTCAGCGAAGAATTGAAGATATGGCAATAGATATCGAGCAGCAGGTTGTAGAAGAGGTAAATAAGTCACCATGTTTTTCGATCCAACTCGACGAATCCACAGATCTTAGTAATTGTGCCATTCTTCTTTGTTTCGTGAGATATATGGGAAACACGGATTTCAAGGAAGAACTACTATGTTGCATTAGCTTGCCAGGACGTACCACTGGGCAGAGATATTCAGATTTCTTGACACATACATAACTGCAAAAGGAATAGACTGGGGAAAATGCGTCGGGGTATGTACGGATGGAGCTGCAAGCATGACTGGCAGTCGCTCTGGCGTGGTCACAAAAATAAAAGAAGTCGCAAATGAGAAAATGCTGTATACTCATTGCATCATCCATCGAGAGCATTTGGCATCAAAGAAACTCTCTCCCGAGTTGAAAAACATGAACAACGCTGTAAAAATTGTTAATGCGATTAAAACTCGTCCTCTGAATTCCAGACTATTCAGAACATTGTGTGAAAGTATGGATTCACAACATCAACACCTTCTTTTTCACGCAGAAGTTAGATGGCTATCAAGAGGGCGAGTTCTCACACGCCTTTTGAACTCCGAGAAGAAACCAAACTCTTTTTAATTGAAATTGGCTCCTCATTAGCAGAATTCATGACGGATGAAACGTGGTTGTGCAAGCTTGCTTATCTGGCAGATATATTTGGTCGCTTGAATGAACTCAATACATCCCTACAAGGCGCTTGCACTAATATTTTTGTGCTGAGAAATAAGACTGATGCATTCAAGAAGAAGCTGGCTATGTGGAATCGTTATGTACTCGAAGAAAATATAGTCATGTTCCCAACTTTGAACGATTATATGTCAAGTGTTGATGTTAATAATAAGGAGTTGTTAAGCATTGTTGGTCAACACTTGAACGAATTGCGGAACAATTTTGATCATTATTTCCCGCAAAATGAGGATCCCCGACAAGGAAATCTTTGGATCAACAATCCATTTTACGAAGATGTGGATACATGTAACCTCAAACCTGATGAAAAAGAAAGTTTGCTTGAACTGTGTTGTGATTCTACTTTAAAGTCCAGATTTAAAAAGGAATCATTGTCACAATTCTGGATATCTCTTTATAACGAATACCCATCGCTAAGTGATCGAGCAATCAAACTGTTGTCCGTATTTTCAACCAGCTACTTATGCGAAAAAAGGTTTTCATCCTTAGTTTTAATCAAAACGAAGCAGAGAAATCGACTGGACGCCGCTGCAGAGCTACGTGTAGCAAAACTTCTTTGATTCCTCGTTTGCATCTTATATTAGAAACGAAACAGCAGCAAAGTTCTCATTAAAGTTTAATTGTATTTAATATTTTTTTTTTCATTCAAAAAGTTTTCTGTGTGCCTTTATTACGTATAATGGGTGCCCAGCACTGCATTTTATTACGCAAATATATTACGTCATTGTTTTTTTATTGTTATGTTCCATCCGTTTCAATTTTTGGCCGGTACATTATTATTTATTTGTTTTTGTTTTTTCATTTAAAAGGTTTTCTGTGTGCCTTTTTACCTAGAAACATAGTGAGTGCCCGTCAATGCATTTATTACGAAAATATATGTTACTATATCATGTTCCATTCATTTCAATTTTTTGCCGGTCCGCGAGTACATTTTGTTCAATTTTACCGGTCCGCCAGGTTGCAAAGGTTGGGAACCGCTGTCTTAGATCATGGTTCTGTACAGATCGACTTCAAAATCAATATTCATTAGATTAATTATCATTAAAGTTTGCTCATCTTATGATTTTAAACATAGTTCAGCTTACCAATTCAGGTGATCTGCACGGCTGTCGTTTTTCTTTATAATTGACAATAGTCCCGCATGCCTTTTGCAACGCTCTTGTAAATTGTTTGTCATCTTGAAAACATTCTGTTATGGTTTGCGAAAACCTGTTATGAACTTGGATGATGCAATCAACGAAGCTTGCTGCAATCTAGAATAGAAAGAATACAATATGAAAGTATATTATTTTGACCAAAACATCATCGCTATCGCTTTAAAGCTGGGCCATCGAGTGCCCAAAATTCAGGGAATTACACAGTAGAGGAAATGTACAAAATGAAACGGAATTGCTAAACATCAACATTTTAGTCTCAACAGTCCCAAACAATGGACAATTACAATTTGCAGAGACTTTGTACCCTACTGAAAAAGAAAAACAACATTTAAGGTGATTGTAATTGTCTGATTGTATTGACAAGTGAATATGTCAACCAGGTATAAACAATAATTGCTCAATAATGAATACTAATTAATTAATAATGATGATTTGAGAACTTACACTGGAATCATCTTTCAAATTTTTCACCATTGACAAACCAGTTTCTTCAATATGTTGTTGCAATTCATTACATACTTGTACTAACCCATCGGGAACATTTTTTAGTAAAGTGTATACATGCTGAAGATCTAAAATCAAGCAATTGAACCTCAATTAGTAATTGTTATAGATTTAAGGGTTTCAAAAATAACTGATATCGGTTATAGTTTACATTTGAATTTTAAAAGTTCCAACATAAAAATTAAGAAGAAAGTGTAAGAGCAACAAGACAGATTCAGATTATCAGTGAGTGAGTCATTAGTGATAATGAAATGGACTAAGCCAGGGGTGTGCAACCTTCAATATAGAAGGGCCAGATACAAATAACTGGATGAAACTGCAGGTCGTACTTTATTTACAAAAATTTTGGTTACTCGCTTCGCACAGGCTAGCTGTTAGGGCCTCGGAACGCCATGGGCATAGATAATAAATTGGACTCAGTTATAGGCTTTGCAACGCAAATGGATTGGAATTAAAAACTCGTTTCATGTGCCGCGCACTATTCAAAATTGGCGTTTCTCCGCAGGCCGCATACGGCCAAGATTTGAGATAGGCTACTGATCAGACATGGGTATGTGATTTTTGATATTTTTAATGATGAGGTGGATGAGCTTGGTGATTTTCAACAAGATCTTTAAATACTTGGAGACTTTCTGGCAAAATAATTCCATATGCGAAACAATTTGGGCAATAATGTGACTTTTTGAAAAAAGCTTGTTCGTCCCCTCTTGTTTTTTCTCCATGACCATGAAGTATCTGTTTCGACTCCTGGGGGCAATATTGCCCACTTTAACAATAACTATACTAAATATGAATCTAAACCTGTAATCTGCAATGTGATGGAATGAATGATCCAGCAGGATCAAAACTCAGTAACAGTTGCTTTCAGTTTTGATTTAAAGAAGATAACGTGTCACAGTAAACCAGCATGCAATGCCTTTTTGTTAACAACACAAAGAAAAATAAATCAATAAAGAATGATGGAGAATTGTGACAACATACCCGTTTGTCTATCCTGTTTTATCATGTCTTTGCAATTTGAATGTAAGAACTGTATATGGTCAGATACCATACATTGACGGCATTCCTTTCTGACTTTCGGATATGATGAAGAATTAAGGAAATTTGAACTTCTCATTTCTTCTTCTGTTAGTAGTTGCAAAACCTTTTTATCGATAACAATAATATTAATATTAAATTGTACAAATACTGAGCAGATAGTTCTGATATTCAGACTCTGAATTGGGTAATTTTTTTCTCAAAATCTCAGTTTAAATTTATAAACTTGAAAATGACTTGACTTGATTTAATTTAAACCAGATGATTACATCATTCACAAGTTGAAAAATCTACAGTACGTAGTGCCTCGTTCCAATAGACCTCTGAATTTGAAATTGGTTGAATTTAACCCAAATCATTCATGGTCACACTGGAATGAATAATGATAAGAGGATTAGATGACGTTGGTATGAGAGGTTAAAAGCCTTAAAGGTCCCAAATTCAATCATATGCTAACCACCTTGTAACCAGGATGTAATATTTTGGGTAGATATTGACTAAATGGAAAAATTTATGTCCTCAATAAACATTAGATGCTTACATACCAGTGACTGTTTGTAGCACCTTGCAGAGAGTAAAGTAATGAAATAAAAACCATTTTTTGAAATCGAGTATAACATCTTGATACTTAATACTGAAATAACAATCAATCTACGAGTGTAGAGGCAGCATATATCGACGCATGAAATCCAAATTGGGCTAAGTCCATTTTTCTAGTTTTGAGAAAAACGCAAAAAACGTTTTTTTTTTGTTTCTTTTTTTTATTTCTCTAATACCTTACATTGAGGATGTCTAGTTTTTATGGTCCACCAAAGTTACAATGAAGGCCATGTTTAGATGGTATAAAAAAATTTGTGCTCCGCCCCAATTTTTTTTGAGGGTTTTTTTTTTGGACTTAACCCTTTTTGGCTCTCAATTTTCTGGACCAGAAACAATTTTATTGGACTTAGGGCCTCTTTATTATGTTATTATAGAGGCTGGTATGGACTTAGCGCTTTGTATTATATTTTTTGAGAGGAGCTATGTCCAAAAAACGGACTTAGCCCCAACTTACAATGCAGTTATCCAGAGCTAAGTCCACTATAGTAGACACAGCTCTGTTTAGTTCTCAAATGCCCTAAAAAAAGCAGAGTTATGTCCATAGCTGTCTTGAGATCTAGAGCGCCTAGAGATAAGGCAAATAGACCAAAATGTAGAGCTAAGTCCAGGAAAATCAGCAATTGAAAAATGTCATTTTTTGGAAAAGTGGACTTAGCACTGTTTGGTTTTGAGGTGTCGATATATTCGATCCCATTCCACATATAAAAAATAAATATTTAGATAAGCCACAAAAATTCACTCACTTTTTCCATATACAGTGAACAATCCTCGCTTTCAATGAATTCACTTGCTTTCATTTTGTAATATTCCACAGATCTTGCCAAATACTTATCTTCAAAACATTCTTCATAAAGCTGAAGAAAAATAAAATAAAATGGTCATCTTCGTGGATCCTAAAAAAGTTTGCTATTGATTCATGCACATTTTTTTTTTGTTTCAATGAACTGGCGAAGTCCCATCTGACATCGTAAGCTGATAATTATTTTCCAGTTGCAGCATGAAAATAAACTACCTCGATAAATATTTGATGATAAAACCGGCTGTAATGCATAATTATAGAAAACATCCTATACTTGAAAGTTGAGTTCAATGGTAGTCACACTTTCGTTTATTATATAATTTAGGTTCTTTTGCTTCAAAGACAAAATAACAAATTCTGTTGTCAATGGCAATGCATCATATTTATTTACTTCTCTTTATGAAACTCTGAACATCAAATATTCAAATTAGAATGACTTATTAATTGTTTTGACGCATGACTCATCGATTGGGCCTCTTCCACTAAAGTTTTGCAATATTATTTCTTACCTTCAAAGGTTGCTTCCTCCGATAATGTTTGACCAAGACAAACGACTGAATAACTCCATTTATTACGGCTTTGTCCACAGTGTGTTTCGCCCGATCTTCATCAATAAGATTTAAAAGAAGTTCAACGAGTCTGTCTGATACTTTTTCTATCATAACCGTGTGCCATATATCCAAAGCAAGCTAAGGTAAGCAAATAGAAGCATTTTAGTAATTTGGTGCTTTGGACTGGACTTGGCGACAGTCGCAAACTTAAAAAAAGTGACATCTTGTATAAAAACATGTTAGTATCGAAGTGGTAAAACATGAAATTATATACATTATATTTTCTTCTAAAAAGTAGTCCACGAATTATTTCTACAGGTATCATTTAAAGTTAGTATAAAATCAATTATTTCTATGTCTAACAAACAAACATACCATATTTAACAATGCACATATTTATGTACATTTCCGCATCAAATACTGTGAAACTTGGTATTTGAAATTTGAATGTATTCAGAACAACACAACTAAGACTATTTTTAAACAATCAATACACCAGATATATTTTGAAAATGACTGTTTTTACGTACTACCGAATTTACAGAAAAAACTGTGATTTGTAATTGAAAATGTATATTCACCTCTCCAACCTCCAGCATTGGATCTTTCACATCGAATGAAAATTCATAATCGAGATCAGCCGCAGTTTGTTTATATTTTTTAACATGTTGTTGATTTAAATATCTGAATAACTGATCAAGATATTGAGCTCCTCTGCTATATTCCACCCAATATCTATAACAGAAAAATGTACAAATTAATGAATTAACTTTAAGATAAAATCTTGGCGCTCAAGAAGTGGGTGTACCAATATGGAGGTAACTAATGTTGTTCGGACGCCTACTTTACATCAAGTTGTGTGACGGGACTGAAACCTATGGGCAAGGTATATTCACTTGGCTAACACAGACAGTCCCCGAACTCTTAATAGAACTGAAAAAAGATAAATCGGAATTAAACTATGGCCTAACCCCAACCTGGTACACACACTACTGAAGTATCCAAAAAGATACTACTAATAAATTTCTCACTTGTAATATTGTCCCAAGAGATTTTCAGATGCGTTCATTTTCTGAATAGCAAAAATAAGTATTTAAAATACATGTATTATATATAAGACGTACACTGATAAAAAACAAACATTTCTTTTTATCCATGACCCAGACTCTGGGTTGGTAAAATTTTAATTAGTTTATAATATCTTTCTAAGCATTACCATATTTCATACCTCATATAGTTGTGAAACATGATGCTCCAAAAATTCTTTAATTCCAGAATAAAGTTCATTTGTCAATGGCTCAGGACGAGCGATGCACAATGCATAGACATCCCTTATACAGTAAATGCAAAATAATTAAGGAAGATAACTTAATTTAAAGATGTAGCTTACCACATTAAAACTCTATGACTCGGAACAACCCTGAAAAGGGCCCAAGCGATTGCACTATTATTATTTTAAAAAGTAATACAGGCAAGCAGAATCAAATCGGATGACGGACAATAAAATCCCATAATAAGTTAAAATATATACCGGTATTATTACCGGTATGTTACAATTTACAATAAATGAAGAAACTTATTTTTGATTCAATTATGTTATAAATAGCGGGGGCGGGGAGTCACTGTAGCTCCGGCTCTCAAGGTTTTTTATGTCTGACCATTACAATGTAACAACACAAATTTTCACAAAAAATTACAAAATTAAACTTTAAAATACATAAATCTAACTTAAAACTTTTGAATTAATATTAAAAATGAAATTTAGAAATAAAATATAAGTTGGAAATAGCTTCCCAGCTCTTGATTAATGACAGGAATACAGGATTATGTAATATCTGAATATTATATAAATACAATACATTTAAATATTTGATAAAGGATACATAAACATTTCATTCCATGTTGAACGTTGAACAGGATTCGAAGTAACGACATTGTTCATTGTTGCTGACAATTTCAGCCATGTTGAATTGAAATCAACAGATCTTGGCTTCAAAGACATAGTTCAGCATTCAAGCAGAGGGTATAGCAGTGTAGATTTTGTAGATACCGTAAACACTACTTAAGGCAGTAAGTAGTTCTGGAAAAATAGTCTATACAGATGTATCACCGGTAAATAAAATTACATACAGGTTCTGGGTGTGGACGGTTGCCCCGCTACAGCGCTATCAGCAACATATGGCACTGCTGTACCGGTACGCTTTCAACCTTATGATCAGCACAACAGACAATACAATACAGCAATACAGATAAAAACAAATAAATAAAAACCGATTATCGATTATAGAATCACTGAATCAGGAAACCAGTGGTACCGGTACCAGGGTACAGAATTTACCCAGGTTTTGCCGAAAAGAAGTGAAAGAAAAAAAATGGAGGCAGTTAAGAGGAATTAAATCTACATCTGTACTGGTACCAAATACAGAAAATAAACAAAAAATGACTAAATAAAAAAAAAATTACCGACACCCTATTAATAATTTTCATACCGGCTGTCAAATTGGATTTTGATTTTATAAACAAGAGTCAACAGTAAAGAAAGATATTTAGTAAAACCACAGAAAAAGAACTGTGACAGATTTAACAATAGCCTACATCAGTACTGCAGTACATGTCCCCACAGCACTTTGGTGAAACCCAAACCTTACTCTGCAAGAATCCTATTGGTCCCTTGCGCCACTACGCCCTCTGCACACCGCCGTTTGCCCATGCCTCATTACTGCATTAACGGGCTACATGAGAAACCATGTCAACACAATACGCCGGAATACCTAAACTTTATTTTTCCGCGACAGGTGACTTGTTTAATTTAATGGACCTTTCCCCGAGCATGGAATTCCTTGTTTACTTCGTGACATTGGCCAATCAGCAAGATGCAAAAAGTGACGTAACAATGCCCCCTTTTCGCATTCGCTCAGACACTATTCTCACTCAGACAGATTTTCAAGCGTGATTGTAAACATTACCTCGTTTTTGCGTTTTTGAACTCTATTCGTTAGTTTTCAGTTGTGTTTTGGGAACTTAAATAAAAATCAGATAATTCAATGATCACTCTGTCTTTCTAGGAGTTTTAATTTAATTGCAGTAATAAAAATTAGGCTGTGATAGACTAGCCTGAAATTCTTTACCGGTACTTTTAAAAAACAGATTGTTGTATGCGATGAATCATAATGATGGTTTGAAACACATACCCCATTTTACAGACGCCAACTCGCAAAAGCACTCTTAAAATAGCCTTGACAAATTTGCAATGGTAAAGTATAGGGAGAATTTTCCGAGGGTCAAAGGTCGGGGAAAGATCCATTCTTGTTTAATGGGCACAAAGATTTTATAAGTATTTCATTTCGTATAAGTTGCGCTGGTGAAAAGAGAAAATTGTCATAGCAAGAATTGCAACTGGGAAGACCAAAAAATGAAATGACGTCTCAAAAACGTTGATGGCTCAAGTTATTTATTACCCAAACTTCATACTGAAGTCAGATGCACACAGAAGCATTTACATACGGTAGCATTTATTTACGGACAGCGGCATTTTTATTATAAGAAACCAGCTTTTAAGGTTAGTCCAAGCGCACTTACTCAGAAAAAATAGACCGATCCCTCAGGTAAAAGAAAACGACTTCGACTTGACGAAAGTACAATTTGCGTTAATCTAGTTGTTACATTGCTATTGTTACTCCATAATGGTGTCTACCGTTGCGAGCTGTTTCGAGTCACCTGGAAATGCCGGAAATGGAAGTCGAGTGCAAATGTCTTTGGTTGCAAAAGTAAGTGAGTGCCAATTTCCATGGATCCAATTTGTATGCGAATGCTAAAATCTGTCGATATGAATGTGATCAATCAATCAATCATTTGTGATGGGTGCAATTGTCTAATGTCCGCGGAATCAAACGTATACAGGTGAATTTTCCTGGGTGCATGGCATGAATTAGCCTATATACCTGTCACTGACATGCACACTAAAACTTATATGTGTTTATTACAACTTTATACTTATTAGTACGTTCATCCCACGGCACAAATGGGAATACATAGGGTTGTAAATGTTCGCGGGTGCAATTATCCATGAGTACAAATGTCTGTGATATCAAAATACCATGGGTGGAAATGTTTGTAGGTGCTAAAGCCTCAATAATATATTTCAAGCTAATTTGTTGTTGGTTGGATCTTTCCTCGGTCGCCAGACATCGACAAATATCAACTGCCTCGACTGTTCAATCTCCCAAAGTCTTTGTTTGACACACTTTAACGAGGCAATGCCTTCATTATCAGCATACGATTATAGTACAACGATACGATCGCAATACAAAAAAACAAGAGAGCTATGCTCAAATATATGGACACGTAGAGTCACATAATTTTGATCCAGCTGGGTCCGAAAAGATAAAAAATCAGTAATATTGAGTAACTTATATGCTGATCACTAATAGATGAAAATGTACTAATCAAGTATGGAACATAGATAAATTATATTAAAACTGGTTTGTCAGTAAGAAATGGCTTGGGGCTATTCAAATCAATTATGACCAGTACAAAACACGTTGTGGTGGTTTATATTTTTAGGAAAACTAAATTGACTAGTTTTACGACGATTCATATTATTGATTTGAGAAATAACAGTAAAATGTTACTAAAATAACAAGATTATCCCTATAGTGCAAATAGGGTTGCCAACTATGAAAAGTCTCAATAAAGGACATAGATTACCGTCATCATTTATTTTGTAACTTGCAGGAAAGAACAATATAAAACAATGAAATACAAACTATATACAAGCTAAAAAGATATATCAAAAAATCTTCATGTGTTTTTCATTTAATGTTTATTTAACATTGACGCAATCAAACTGCATTCTGTGAACAGTTTAGTGCTTTGAATCGTGCCAAATTTTATTTGAATGAGTGCAACTTCATCAAATAGGTCAAACATATTCAAATTGAGTTTGTCTTTTAGCTTCAAATGCTCTACAATTTTTACAAGTGTCTGATATTTTGGAGAAAGATTATCCAAAAGAGATAATTTTCCAAATGTTGAATTTTCATCAAAGTCAAAGCTTTTTTCCAAATACGTTATCGCAGAGTTAAGAAATAATCTAAAATGTTAGAGAACCAATTATACGTAGAATTTTCAGTTATTGAACTAGAATTCACTCAAATCTTGGAGTGTTGCCACTATTGCCATCTTCGGAAAATTAATGTAGAATATTTGAAATTGTTAATAAAATTGGTATTTCTTTGGCTATTTGAGCCGTACCAATGCGAAATGAAAAAGAATAATTAAAAACTTGCAAATACATAAACGGAGGCGATTTAAGAACGAAACAATGTTAAACACAGTACTATAACTATCGGGCAAAACGACGTTGAAAAAAATAAAGGACAATTATCATCTTAAAAATGACAAGGACAAAAATCTCAAATAAAGAATTGTCCTTTGAAATAAAGGACGGTTGGCAACCCTAAGTGCAAATGTCCTTAGGTGTAAAAGTACGTGGGTGCAAATGTGACAGGTATAAATGCCTGTGAGTGTAAATTCCTCGGGTACAAATGTAGGTGGGTGCAAATATATTGCAAAAATGAAGTAACGGTCATTGATAGCCCTTCTAGAACTTATATCTGTACGAAAATACTCATAGTTAACGTAACATAGGATTGTTTCAGAGGACCTTCACTGACCTGGCCTAGAACCATCAACAATAGCCTGGAGTTTTTTTGGTATTTATCTGAATAATAGAAAATCTGATGAAACAATTTGAATACCGAGCCACAGCACCTGGACACGGAAATAACTAACTCAACGGACCTTCCCCGACCTTTGAACCGCTGGAAATTCTTCCTATGGACCTTTCCCCGAGCATCGACTTCCTTGTTTACTTCGTGGCATCGTGCAAAAAGTGACGTAACAATACTCCCTTTTCGCATCCGCTCAGACACTTTTCTCACTCAGACAGATTTTCAATTGTGGTCGTAAACATTACCTCGTTTTCGCGTTTTTGAACTCTATTCGTTAGTTTTTGGTTGTGTTTCGGGAACTTAAATATAAATCAGATAATTTAATGATCACTCTGTCTTCCTAGGTGTTTTAATTTAATTGCAGTAATAAAAAGTTAGTGTAGAAATAGCTGTGATAGACTAGGCTAAAAATTCCCCACCGGTACTTTTAAAAAACAGATTGTTGTATGCGATGAATCATTATGATAATTATAAACATATACCCCATTTTACAGGCGCCAACTCGTAAAGCACTCTTAAATAAAAACTAAAAATTTTGCAATGGTAAAGTATAGGAAAATTTTTCGGCGGTCAAAGGTCGGGGAAGGGTCCATACATTACCATTGCAACATTTTTGGTGTTTATTTTAAGAGAGGTTTCGCGATTTGGTGCCTGTAAAATGGGGTATTTGTTTCAAACCATTATTCTGATTCGTAGCATTCAGCAATCTGTTATTTAAAAGTACCGGTAAATAAGTTTTGCCTAGTCAAGTGGTTGGTAAACTGGGGGGCGCGAGATGCTCACTTGGGGGGGCGAGAGGTCATGAGATGGAATCGTAAATTTACATGTAACGGTCTCCGCGTTCGGTAAAAATACCGGCTTTTTCGTGGTATGATAAATTTTTCTGTCTCGTAATAACTACAAGAATTCGAAATGTCTCTCTATTTTAATTCGTTTGTGTTCAGGGTAACTCGCGGTTGCGGCGACTCATGTCAAAATAAACTCATTACCGATCTAAATACCACGCCAATCCGCGGACATATTGAAGTGTGATCAACTGCCCGATTATATTTAGTTTTGATATATATTGCACTCATGCGAATTCGTTGTCTCCATTAGATCTGGTATAATATCCCAGAAAGTATACTTAATTTAGTACAATTAAAATACATATCCATCGACTCGGAATCCCCGCGGTACGAATCCTGAGTCAGTCCTCGAGATTACGCCAGTCGTTATAAGAGCCGACTTTTTCAACGGATATGTAATGGTTTTCGTGTTGAATAAAATATGCAATCCATGGCCGATAGACTCATTTAAATGGTCGCTTTATTCATTTAATTGTGATAAATTAAATCTGCGATTGCGTCGAAAAAATAAAAGAACCACTACTCCAAAATACCACGGTAGTCCGCAACCATAAAAATGTGTGGCAAAGTGCCCGATTACGTTTTGATTTGTATTCTTGCCAATTTCACCATTATGAGCTGTCCCTGCAAGTCTTACTCCGTTCTATCGCAATGCTCGATTAATTTTAACAGCGTTACATAAATTCTTTAGTCTGCGATAAAATCCCACGGAGTAAAATTTATTTCAAGTCGGTAGTTTTAGAACACTACTGGTGTGCCGCAGGCACAAGGAATCTATAAGAGTTGCAATGTCTAAGAAAGTGTTTTTAATCTGTAGCGGTCCACCACGAAACAAAACTCATGGTGTTTTCCGTTGTATTCTTAGTATTTTATAATCTCGCTTTTACAATATAGAAATATTTGGTTGCAGATTCACTACTTTATTCTATCTATAGCATCTCGTCGCTGATGATTATATAATAAAAACTAACTCGTTTTCCTCAGAGGTGTCAGGGTTCTATTCGAAAACAGAAACAGTAATTATAATTGTCTTCGCGACACAAAAATATGTCGAGCGAAATTTCTGATTTGGGGAGAATAAACACCAAAATCAAGTTTTTTACGGCTTAAATAGCACGCCACACTTACGAAAACAATCGAGATTTAAACAAAATGCAATCGCAAACGCCTTGGCGACTTTATTTTTCAGCGGCCAAGGGCCGGGGAAACGTCCACATGCATAATAACTATTAAAAAATGAACTGCTTTTAAATTTACATAAATTCATTTGTACTTCTCCATTTTGTTTGAAACGCTAGGCACGCCAAGAAGTCTGTAATTGTTGCTTATTTTTAACACACTGTAAATAATTTTGGCATCGCTCAATAGTGATGAAGTAAACAATTGATTGAAATGTTACGTGTCTTATGTGAACGTTTAAGCAGAAAATACATTAAAGCATAGGTTTATTGCGTGTTTAGTTTTACTTAAAAATTAGTTTGACTTTGCCAGGTATTGCAAACTGAGGGGAAAAACGAGAATGTATGATGGCCAACCAATATTTGGCTTTATACATACGACAGTAAATGGCGAAGTTGTACTCCGAAGCATTTTATGTCTAAACAATCTGAGCAATGACGATATGAGACCAACACTCTTATAGCGCAATCTTAATATATAGCAACTTGCCCATAACAAAAGTATTTTTTGAAAGCAAAAATAGGGGGGCGCAAAGTCTGTTAAATTTTTCAAAGGGGGTCGCGGCTCAACAAGTTTGAGAACCACTGGCCTAGTCTGTTACTGCTAATATTTCCACACTAATTTTTGATTCCTGCAGTTAAACTAAGACTCCCAAGAAGACAAATTGATTATTGAATTATTTGATTCGTATTTAAATTTTAGAAACACAACTGAAAACTGACGAATAAAATTCAAAAACGCGAAAACGAGGTAATGTTCCCCGACCACGCCTGAAAATCTGTCTGAGTGAGAAAAGTGTCTGAGCGGATGCATTGTTAGGTCACTTTTTGCATCTTGCTGATCGGCCAATGTCACGTAGTAAAAAAGGAAGCTGATGCTTGGGGAAACATCCATAGATCGCCCCCTACTCAGAATTCAAATATTATCGAGGATGAATTTTTGTTTTAGCTCTTCCATATAACTCAAAAGTCGAAGGACAAGATTATCGAGATGAAACGATTAACCATAAAATGACATATCCTTTGCATTTGATTGATTCATTCTTGCAGGTAATGTGTAAAAGTAGAATTTCTAATAAAATAGCAAAAAAGCTCAGAACTTTTTGTAGACTTCACGATATTTTGGCAATAATTGTATCGAAGTCCGTTTACTATCATTTTGGTAAGTACTGTTTGCCTTAAATCAAGTATCATTTGTACGTGTCCTGTTGAATATTGTAATATCTAATCAATTCAAATTGTAAACAGTAACAGAATAATCCTGAAAATAAATACATATCTAGTAGGAAAACAGCATTGCCGTGCGCTTACAAGACAATAGTGGAATGTTCATAAAATTAGGCCTCATCTCCATAAAAATTTCAAATTTGCTTCCTATGCCACCATATTTTAACAACATAGCCCAGCAATGGACCTCTCCCCGACATTTGACCGCCCAAAAATTCTTCCTATACTTAACCATTGCAACATTTATGGGGCTCTTTCAATAGTGCTTTTGCGAGTTGGCACCTGTAAAACGGGATATGCGTTTCAAACCATCATTATGATTCATCACATACAACATCTGTTTTTTTAAAGTACCGGTAAATTTTTTTAGCCTAGTCTATCACAGCTATTTCTACACTAATTTTTTTATAACTGCAATTAAATTAAAACTCATAGGAAGACAGAGTGATCATTGCATTATCTAGTTCATATTTGAGTTTCCGAAACACGACTGAAAACTAACGAATAGAGTATAAATACGCGAAAACGAGGTAATGTTTACGACCACACTTGAAAATCTGTCTGAGTGAGAGAAGTGAGCATTGTTACGTCACTTTTTGCATCTTGCTGATTGGCCAATGCCAGGAAGTAAACAAGGAAATCGATGCGCGGGGGAAAGGTTTTTGTATGCGCCATATTTGTTTCTTATGCCAAATATGATAACGAAAAAATTTAATCTCTACTGTCCTTGATGTTTGTATGGTTTTAACCACATGCGTGTACCGTGGTTTCCCGAAAACAAGACCTAGCCTGAATTTTCAAAATTCGATAGCAAGAAATCTCTCCTACACATTTTAAATGATTGATGTTCCATGTTTTGCATTTGTTTTGAATAAGAACGGGGTATTCATAAGTAAATGGATATCGGTTTTATCTTTTGTATATTCGAAAATCTCGTAATTCTCCACTTTGTAAATTTTTATTTTTAATAAATGAAAATATAAGATATTTTCCCGAAAATAAGCGCTTTTGGATGATGATAAACAATTCTAAAATTTAGGAGCAATTTGGAAAACATTTAATTAACCGGAAAACTGAATCTGGCATGTCGCTCTCGGTCGCTCTACTGACCCACGTGAATTCCCGAATCAAATCTCTCAAACAGTACACGGTGCGGTGTGCAAACATCTGATCTCCGCATTGGCATTGGTTTCTGTGTTTAGACTGTTAGTGGTTACCGGTAAGAGCATTTTAAACCTGAATATAAGTGAGCATGATGGAGATATGAAAAAACCACGTGGACATTTCAAAAGTTTAATACTTGTGTTCATTTAGTCAGACAGGGCAGTGGTAGGCTACAACTCATTCCAGCATACAGCCGCATCTGCGCATAGGTTTCTTGTTAAATGTGGCTCTTATAATACTGTAATAATAATACCCACAATAGACTGATACCGGTACAATTTCATGTGAATGTAATATTACTGTAGGCCTATCTGAGATTAATAAAAATTAATCTGAATTCTTCTTGACTTCCAAACTCATAATAATTTTTAGATGGACTTTCAGGCTTTAGGGAAAGCGCGGTCCACAGACTGACAGAATTATTGCTCTGCTTGAGAGTTTGTCTATCAGTACCGCCATACGCTGAGAATCCAGATATCATATTCGTAATTTGAATTGATAAATTGTTGGTCATTTAGAAAACCAGATAGGCTAGCTGTTACCATATTTAATAAAATAAAATTTTATTACAGTCAAATGAAACTGCCAAACAGTACACTTTTAACTCATAATGGATGATTCTTGGAAAACTACATGTCCCCTGGATAAGGGTCAAGTAACGAAGGCTGTGAAAGCCTTGAAAGAATACATCGCTAAAGCACAAAAAAAGGAAAATGAAAAAGCTTTACTTGAGGAACATAATTGCATACAGCTCCAAGTTACGCTGCACAAAATTCCTGCTGTAAAAGAAAAGTCTGTATATATAAAGTTGCCCCATGAATTATATAAAGACTCTGAAATATGTCTTTTCACACCTGATTTCGATGAGGATGATGCTGAAAAATCGGAAGAGTATTATAAAAATCTTCTAAATGAAAAAGGAATATCTGCAATTACAAAGTTTATGCCCATACGTCAAGTGAGATTGGATTACAGACAGTATGAATCGAGAAGAAAATTGGTGGATATGTACGACCTATTTCTTTGTGATAAATCTATATCTCATCGTTTACCAAAATTACTAGGGAAATATTTGTTTGAAAAACGAAAACATCCGTGGCCCGTTGATATAGAATGTGATGATCTTCGCAAGGAGATTTCCGATGTCATTGGAAACACTAGATGGTTTATGTCTGGTAATGGATCATCGAGCATTATGACAGCGGGGAAAATGACTTTCTCAGTGTCACAAATTGTTGATAATATTATGGCGTGTGCAGTTGAAGTTGCCAAAAGCGCTCCGAGGGGTTGGAATAATGTTTGCTCGTTGAATATTAAAACTGATAATTCTCTCGGACTTCCAGTGTATTACAATGATAATCATGAAGATATCCGTGATATGGACATGGGCGAGTTGGAGTATCTGCGTGACTGTAAAAGGAGAAGAGAACAGAAAAAAGCAATGTGGAATATGGTTGGTTTGGGATCACGAAATAAGTCTAAAAAATTAAGGATATCTAGTGGAAAAAGAAAGATCAAGTTGAAGAAAACGAAAGAAAAAAAATAATGTTTACCAAATAGTTCTTCATTTATTGTCTCTGGCGACTGGAATCGGCCGCGATTGAGATCATAGATGAAATAAATATGGTCTTCTCTAATCAAATTTGTACAATTGACAAAGAATTTCAACGTGAGAGAAAATTTCAGAATTCGACAAATGCTCTGTTCCATTTTGTTTATACATGGCACAATTATCCATATAATAATACAAACATACTGTATACCTATTTGTACTGATGCATATTATTGAAACGCTATGGTAAAGGCAGTGTGCAACAAGTAGCTGGTATTTATTGGTGCTTGATGGGCGTCCCTAAACCCAAATTGCGAGTCACTCTGGCCTGGCCCCACAAGTACTTAGTGTTTGAGTATGAATCAATTTCATTCAGATAACTGGAGTCTTTGATAAATTGTCGCTCTAGTCCTGACATGGGCAAACTACGGCCCGTTGGCCAAATCCGGCCCATGCCAAGGCAACACAGAAACCAAATTTTGATTTATCTCGCTTTTGTAACACTGTAAATACTGTTCATATAATGTAACTTTTTATGTCACACTTACATGGCCAACAGTCTATCTAGTTGGGCAAAAATTTTGGCCCCTGGTCGAAATACCTTGCCCACCCCTGCTCTAATCCAAACTCAATTAAGTCGGGGCTCCTGGATAAAGTTTCATGTCAGCACTATCTTAAACAGGTTATATCTACATTTGTAATTTTGAATGTAGTGAGCGAAAGAGTACTTGCACTAATTACGCAATCCTGACCAGCAATTATTATTAAAGTGTGTTCAGCGCACTGTACCAGCCAGAGCAAATATTTCAACAGATATCAGACAGACAGTAGGAGGCTACTACGACTTGTAAAAACCTAACGTACATTTATTGATACAAGCACAACTATTCAAAATTTATTGCACTGTATCAGGATTTATAAAATTTTTCTCAACATCGGTAGCACTCACGACCATAGCTGAAGCGATCGCATCACACTGTCCATGGCGTGTCATTATAATTCATATTTTAGAGATAGGTAGTCCAGTATGTCCTTTTTATGTTTGAGGTTGTTAAAAACTTGCTTTTCCCACTTAGGGGTGGTGTATTTTTGCATATATATTAAGTGATTATGAAAGTGCTGAAATATGGTTTCAAACTGTTCAGTCACAGATAGCCAATCTTCAATGCATTGTACAGGAGTTTTTTCATATCCACCAAACATTGCTGGATTGTTCAATAAACCTTGGGCGACCATCACTCCATTCACACCTAAAGATATATAGCGTAACAAAATTATTAGGAGGTGAATCTGGCATGCAAGTATCAAAATTTAAATTGTCTTAACATATTTACAAACAACAGGTTCCCTCATTTAAGTAAACCATGCCAAACTAGTAAAATACCAAGATCCTGCGTCAAACACCATCTGATCTGTCTGATCACCAATGTTAATTCTAGAAATTTTGAATAGGGCAAGAATTATATTACAATGGGTGGATTTCCCTGTCTCAATATTGTTGAGAAATGTGCCAAACCAAGTTTTTTGGACATACTTTTGTGTACTCAATGAAAATAAATCTACTGCCAAATTATTTAGAAAGGGAAGGCTTCGGATACCTGTGATTTCATGTATTCTTTCAATATCGTGTGGAGTTTTGATACCGCCGTTTGCGACGACTGGAATATCTACAGAATCTTTAATTGACTTTATGATATCATAATGAGGAGGTTGATTTCTTTCTTTTGTTGTTCTGCCATGAACAGATATATAAGATGCGCCAGCACTTTCAAATTGCCTACACATGTCCACCGTTCCTTTTTCAGTTTCAAGAATCCTTATCTTGACTGATATTGAAAAGTCATTACTTGGGATTCTATTTCTTGTTGTTTTAATGATATCTCGTACTAATTCAGGGTTTTTAATCAATTTAGCCCCATATCCTTCGGCCATTGCCCAGCGTTGTGGGCAGCCACAGTTCAAACCAACTCCGTCCACATCTGGAAAGACGATTTCAGTTGCATCCGCAAAGTCTTTTGCATTGCTTGCAGCAAACTGCACCACCAAGGGTCGATCGAGTTCATGCGGTTGAAATTCATTATCTCTGCATTGTTTCGATTGTGCAAAAGAGTTTGATATGATCATCGGTGTGTATGCCAAATCACATCCATATTTTCTCACAAGCATTCTAAATGCTCGACGAGAATATCGAACCATAGGTGCACATATTTTTATTATTCTATCCTCATTCAACAAATCTGTAATAGATATTCTCTCGGTCATGATCTTAAAACACGCTATTAAAAAAATCAAGGAGTTGATCTGAAATTGAAGCAATATAGAAACAGTTAAGTATAAGTGCACACACATGGCTACTATTTCACATTTGTTGCCATTTCCTTGCTTACCTAAAATGTACACTATCAAAACACATTTTGTATCATATTTTAAAAGATTTAGCTCATTTATGTATAATGGAAAAAATGAAAACAGATAAATAAATTGATAATAGTTAGTACGATGCGATTTATTATCTGACGCAATATGTATGATATAATTCCAGACAAATGAGTTTTTGTTTGCAAATTTCTGTCCTTGTGAACTAGCCATCACTAATGAACTGCAATTGCTGAATTTGAAAGTAATAATTAAAAGAGTATATAGGTCAAGTTTCTATTTGGTATGGGTTTTCAGTACGTGTATCTCCTAACTCTTTGCTTGGAGAGAATTTACATCCATATATGTTTTGAGGTAATCTTATGTATTAATCATCTCCTGTATGTATTTAGAGTTATTGTTTTGTCTTTCCATTTTTTCTTTCATATGTAAATTTTGAGATGCAGGTTAGTTGAACAATGTGGAATAATGTATTTTTGTGGATATAATTTTCCGCTTATTCTATTCTTGCTCCAGTTCAAGTAGAATTCCATCACAATCTTTTGGATGACAAAATATTACTGGTTTGTTATGAGCACCTATTTTAGGTTCTTGGGTAAGAGTTCTAATTCCATTTTCTCTCAATGCTTCCACAGCTACGTGTATATCTTCCACTTCTATGCAGATATGATGAAGGCCACCACTTTTGTTTTTCGACAAAAATCCCGCTATGGGGCTGTTTTCACCGAGTGGATGTAAAAGTTCCAGCTTCGTGTTTGGTAAATTGACGAAGACAGTGGTAACTCCGTGCTCGGGTAGATCCTGTTTATTGCTTACATCCGCTCCTAACACATCCTCATAAAGTGCTGTGGCTCTCTCTAAGTTCGGCACAGCTATTGCGACATGATTGAGTTTACCTAACTTTAAAAGTTTTGAAACAGAATTTTTAGTTGCCAAGCATCTTTGTGGTGCACACCATTGTCTTAAAGCACGATATGCTCTGTATCGCAACATGATACAACCAATTACTCTGCGATGAAAAAATTACAAGTTTAGGAGTTGTGTTGAACAATGCAGATAATTATTATGACTGTAAGATTATTGCAGTACTGCTTACACGGTGCTCTTATTCAATGATGATGAAAAAAACTCTATACAGCTATAAGAGTTTTAGTGGTGAAAACAACTTTACCCAGTTACCCATATTGCTATAGCTCTTATACGTTTTTCAGTATGGTCGACTGTCTTTTTTGCTATACGAAACAAACTTTCTTGTGACAAAATTGAATTTCAACCTCAATATTTAATGTATTAATAATATAATCGTTTTTTTTTTATTATTTCAAACAAGATTAAAGTAAATAGTAGTTGTAGATTCTAATTTTGACCTGTCCCTTAGTAAATCATACCTATTGCTGTATTGGAAAGAAATTACATAAAATCATTGACTTTAACTTCGCCATGAAACAAAACGATTGAACTTGAAGCACCGTCAGACCGTGGTCGACCGTTATATAACTACAGAACTGTATATTTCACAATGACTTATTAAAGACGCTCGCCCGTCCAAATGTTCGTCTTTTTGTGGTAGGTGATTCCCCTGTGATGATATGAGACAATATCCGACTTGTTAATCTAAAAGGCATACCGGTACTAAAGATAATATTTTGACTTTACAAGTGTGCCTTTGATTTGGAACAAAATTGAAAGATTTTTAATCTCTTGTTGTTTCATTTTGTTTTAGCAGTTTTAGTGCGTACGTGTGTGAATTATTTCATTACCACTTCTTCGACAGCACCTTTAAATCTAAAATCTGTACGCCTCCTCAAAGCTAAGCTACGGTTTTGTCCGCTCTCCCAACAGCGTTTCCCGTAAACTCCTATTTTATTATAGCTTAGACCAGTATATATTTACGCTTAGACAGACAAATTAGGTTAATGGACAGGTTGTTAAATAAACACCTGTATAAGTGAGCACTACCAGTCTAGAAATACCCAGTTACAGATTATATTTTTTTTATTAATAATTATACACACAAAAAGCACCCAAGGAAACCCGAATTTAGCACTCGTCGCTAGAAGACGTAGTCAGTATGCATATAATAATCACGTAGAAACAACATAAAAATAATACAACATAAATATCATACGACACAGTTCGGTGGACCAGCACGTGTAAATGCTATGATGTCATTAAGAATAAATTCGCTAGATCGAAGAAGATCATCTCTTTCTGGAATTGAAATTCCCATGAACAGGATCAATAACATTACAGACAACGTTGTCACACCATAAAATATTTCGTATAACACTCCAATAATTGTGCATCTAGTTCTCCTCCCAAAGCTGTGCTCCCATAACCTGTAGATATTTGATGATATGATATAATTAGAGTCTTAGACGAAAATGCCAATCAAACAGCCACCACACACAGAACAGATTTAATCGACATTCAAATTACCAGGACATGATATAATTTTATCATATTATGTAAAGAATAGTAAAGGGCCCATCGAGCACAGTTTATTATTTTCAGCCAGTAAAATTAAATCGTATATATGAGAAATAAGAAAGTCATACAATCTCTCGTTTTTTTTTCATTATCAGTTTTATGAAATTTTTATACGGTTGAGTTTCTGAACAAGCCTTCAAAATTTAAAAAACATCTTGAAAACGATATATATACAGTATATATATATTATTTCCAATTAAATATCGAGGTCTCTGTAAAATTTGAGGCTCCTATCATTCAGCCCATTTGCCCAATGGCAAATCCGGGCGACGTCAATATAATTCATTAGCCCAATAGGAAAAATAATGCAAGAATTCGTAGTTTACCGTTTTGTACACTTGCAAGACGAACATATAATATGTAACAACTTCGATTGCTTAAATTGACCAATTCGCAATCTTGTAGAGGAGAAAAACTTCTGTATGCAATCTGTATTCATTGATGAGTGTAGGCAACTTTTATATGGCGTACTTTGTTCGCTCGATTCTTTCTTCCTGCCAATACCACGCATTTTTTCAAATTTTTCGTCTTCCTCTCGATTCAGAGATTGTAGATCCAAGCGTGGTACCACCGGCATAGTTGTACCTAAAGAAATTCAAAAGGTGATTAATCTCTTTCCGAATTATATTTTAAATAAACATGTTCAAATATTCGACAAAATTACTTATGATCCAAAAGAAGATGAGTACATAATTGAAGTTCAGCTAGAACAATTGGCTTCGAATCTTGTCTTGCCAAAGTTATGGATATTCTCTTACCGTTTGTAGTAAACCAACCACTTCTGCCAAAAAATCTAATCTGAAATATTTGCTATCGAATCCTTTTATGATAATGCATTTACCTTTCGTCTCTGATTCTTTTTCTAAACTGGCGCAGGCGTCAAGAATATATCCGTCAACAAGTTTGACAATATCATGATACAGACTTGGTACTTGACTACAAAATGGATCATTGCCATCTTCTATTCGTTTTTCGAACAGATCAACTTGTTCACGTATTCTTCCCTTTGTAACTGGTACGTGGTCTGGGGATTCGAGATTTGGTATTTCAGTATTCTTAAATTCATTTGAATATCTATGAAGTCGGTCCTTTACCAGAGAATAATCTGTGTCGAAAGATAACTCAGCAGACAATATGTCTTGTTTGGGACTAGTCATCATATTTTGGTTTTCGATTGCTGAATTTTCAATTAATTGCGTGATTTCCGATACGCTGCGGCCAGTTTTTATGTCATCTGCATCAAAAAGCGTTTCAGGAAGGTCACTTTCGGAATGCACTAGAGACGGAGAAGAAATACATTGTATGTCGTTGTTATCGTACTGATTGGTGTCATGGTTCTCAATCTCTTTCGCGGTGCTGCTGCTCCCCCTTGGAGATACTATTCTTTCTCTGTATGAACTGCCTGGATCTGATTCGTAAATTTCATCGGCAGCATCTCGGTTTATCCACCTCCAAGTTGCACTTGCGCTACTGTCGTCGCTTCTTCCTGTAGTTACCTCATATCCTTCGTCAACTCTAGAAATTTCACTCCCAAAACCAGTGTCGATTTCCGAAGAGTTTACTACAGTTTGCGATTCTCCATCATCGTGCGTGTCAACCAACGAATCTTCTGGTGGCCGCGGGTCATTGTGTGGTGTAGTGTTGTTATCAATTTCAGCGCTAGAGCACTGGTCCTCAAGCGAATCTAGGGCAAGCCGCGTTTCCCCTCGAATGGGTGCGATGTCGGAAGAATTAACTGCAGCTTCCGATACTCCATCATATTGCGTGTCAACCATCGAACCAGTGTCGATTTCCGAAGAGTTTACTACAGTTTGCGATTCTCCATCATCGTGCGTGTCAACCAACGAATCTTCTGGTGGCCGCGGGTCATTGTGTGGTGTAGTGTTGTTATCAATTTCAGCGCTAGAGCACTGGTCCTCAAGCAAATCTCGGACACGCCGCCTCCCACCTCGAATGGGTTTTGGGACATTTTCTCGTTTGATTTTGTTGTGTGGTGAAGTTCTCTTGTGATCAATGAGCGACTGTTTGAGTTTAGGCGCTGGAGATGATGTCTTTGGATTGTCGTCTGTTTTTAAATCTTTTTCATGTACATCTTTTCGCAACGTTGAATGACTTTTTCTTGGTATTCGACTTCTTCGGGCAACTAGTATCGGTCGTTGGCTGTGAGTCTGTTGCATGTTTAATTCAGATTTTAGACCTTTATTCAAATAATTTTCTAGACGTCTTTCAATTCTTCCGTCTATTTTTGTTGGAATGCTTCGAGAACGAGTATGCAAACCTACGTCAACTTTTAAATCGGGATAAGTTTGTTTTTGCAACACTGAATACCGCGGAGAATTTGTTGGGGTACATGAGTCATCAGAATTGGTTTCTTGTTTATCTGTGCTATTTTCAGAACAGCGTGCATCCGTAGTAAATGTGTCATGCAATATGTCCGAGGTAGCTTCTTCATTCAAAACTTTTCTGGCAACCACCCTGCTGTATCTTCGATCACGTTTGCGATGAATTGACCGTGGTGGTCTTTCGCATTGCGTTGGGTATTCTGAAGCACAAAGAGCAATGTAGTTTTACCAACATAATTACACCGTACATAAGTATTTTTATAAGTTAACTGTAGAGCAGATAATCCCCTATAAAAAGTTAAATACCAATATATATACTGAAGAATATCACAAATCATCATACCACAGCTGACTTGCGTTAAGACAAACTCGTAAAACGAAAGTTGCTCTGTACCTGCAGGGATGTTGAATTTGGGATTTTCAGCAGTATTCGGATAGAGTAATTTATTTGAACTTGTTGAAGATAATTTGTTTTCCGCTGCTTGGCTGAGATAGCGCTGGTTATGTACACTTCTTGCTCGAGCTAATGGAACCGGTAACGAGCCACATCGCCTTCTGTGAAATAGTAAATTGACCAAGTTTTTTAGAACCCAAATATTAAAACTATATACAACACTTTTGATTTATATAATATATTGCTTTAATTAATCGGGTGATGGTCTGTTATAACATATCAGTCATCGTATATATATATATTTCTATTGCCAACCTGCGCTCTTCTGTTCTGGGTGTTGGTAAATCCGGTTCAGAGTTGATACCCGCATCAGGTTGTTTTCCTCTATTCGGTGATGGGGACTCCCTTCTTCTATCATTTCTGAGATGTTTTTCGACTGTAACGTCACCTTCTCCGGATGCCCCCCCGTGATTCTAAAAGAAATATTTGTGGATAGTGTCTAATATATCGGATTTTAGCTCACATAATTGACAGATGTTCATGATTCTAATGAATCCTGTTGCACAGCAATGTTCCCGGCGAGTCATTATTCAAACATCCGGATTGAGTATTGATGTCCCAAAAGTTTTTATTCATCCGAATTTTAGAACTTTTACTTCATAACATTTAGTTGCCAAAAAACTTCTTGGCATTTCAGTTAACCTTGAACAGGTTCAATACTTTAGTTCTAACAGTAGTAAGAAGTACCAAACTACTATAACACGGCTCTTGTTTCATAAACGTTTTCTCGATATGCATGAACGTAAAATATTTCTCAGGAATTCCTCTGGCTTGGCTAAGCATGTTATATCCATTTCATATTCTCTAGGATCCCTAAAATCGGAGCATAGTCTCCTTACCATCCTGATATTTTTACGCCATAGTTAGTAAAAATTGTGCAAGGTAAACTAGTAACGGATTTCTAATTTCAATAGCATACAGAATTTATAATTAAATTTATGAATTCCAGCTGGTCGTAACATTGAAACCATTTCGACAACATGAGTTGTTGTCGAAATAACGATGAAAATTTTGTTTTTCTCTGTTATTGGCAAGCTACAAATTTAATGTTCCCCCAAGTTTGGATGTGCGTATTAAATTTGGTGCGATGTGTTCCGATTCACAAACCTGATCTCGATCAGCCATAGATAACGTCGCGACTTTGTTTCTGAGACGAAGTCTCCCATACGGCACAGGTATGTGACTGACATACCTTGATGAAGGCGTGTGCCTAAACAGAAATATATTATCAACAATAAGATTTAAAACAACGATATGGTAAATTTGGATCAACACTTACATAAAACTTCAATTAAATAATGAGGAGAGAAATTTTGATCATACTTTTGATTTCACAATTTAAATTTTGTTTTCGACAGTTAAAGGTTAAATAACCATTGCAATTTTTTTTATATTACAGTGTCGAGTAATATATATATTTTTGATGTACAAAGAGAAAGTGCTGTCATTTCTTCAGCCATAGACCCTTGTATATATACAAAATTTTGTACTCATAGTTCCTGTTAACAATTCAGGTTCATTTGCTCTTAACACTTAAACAGATAGTGTTATGTTTACAGTCAGATACTTTCAAAGGTTGCGTCAATACGTTTTCGTCAGCAGTCGCTATTTCATAAAGCCTGACTGGATGATGATTTCGATTTATTCGCCTCCTTACCTGTCTTTCTCTTCATCCGTGTGATTTTCAAGTTTTCCGACTCCACAAGATTGACTTCTTTGATGGTGACGTACCTTGCTTTTGATATTCGTCAAATTCAACCCCACGCGATCAAGAATTCCGTGAACTTTCTGAAAAGGGTAGATTACGGCCTAGGTAAAAAACTCAAAAATATTTGAAATTAAATAATTGCAATAATTATAAGTTGCTTAGATTTCTACCTAGATGATCATTCTCCGTAACATTAAATATCTTATGTTGGTGAAATGCATGACCAACCTTTATTTTTGAAATAACGTCTCCGAACTCTCGCGGATTTTCTTCGACGTTTCTCTCTTCCATCATTTCTGTTAACCTAGTAATTATTTGCGTTTCTTGGGAATAAGTTTGTCTATTGTTCATTATGACATCACAAATGTAGCTAAACATTTCTTAATATATTTATAATATGGTCAAGTTGCTGCTCCTGATTGCTGATATTGTACTTTCTCTGTGTCTACGTGTTAGTGAAACCCCGTATGCACCGACAGCGAGAATACTACTACAAATAACAATAATCAAAACGGCTTTATTAAGTGGCTATTAATGTAAAATATTAGGTATAATTATTTGGAAACAGTTTCCATAACTATGCCTTTTATGTACTCTTTGTCTCTTTCATTCTCGTCGTGTTCTGATTTCATGTGTACAATATACATAAGTTTTTTGGTGATAATATGTTGATTAGGCGCGGCGGTGTGGCTCAACGGGCTAAGCGTTAGGAATACGCTCGCCACCGCACCTCTAATTACTCTGCGTGGGTTCGCAGCTTCGAATCCCAGGCAGAGATGGTTATTTGCGAGAGGATTGCTGGACTCCTCGCCGTCGTTGGGTGGTTCACGTAACCGCTGGCCGGTTACGGCTTCCTCCACCACCAAGTTCATGGTTCCGAAAACAAGCAATATACCCAAATCCATACCCGACTTGGAATGGTAACCGGATGAGAGGCCGTGGTTCGCCATATGGATAAGCCGTCTTATCGGCTTTCCTCTCCCCCGGGATAAATATGTAAATCCTATCCTATTAGATACTCACTGTCCATCGGCTCGTCATAATCACAACAAAGCCCACTCTGTCTCTATTAGCTTACAATTATGCTGTTGTAAAATTTACTACCGTAGTATATTTAACTACAAGTCTTTTTCCATTCCCGAGTTAGATATACTGAATTGAAATGTTCAGTTGTATTTTATCGGCTATAACATGCTTTCACAAGCATGTCAAATCGACGATTGATTGATTGTGAGTTACTGAAAAATGCCAGTAATTTTGTGCGTTGGCAGTATTAGTATTAGTGCCTAGTGGCGTGGTTACTTGCTCTTGCTCATTCGATTCTGCGATTGCTGTTGCGTCAGGCCAGTACTTCTTCGGTCAGTTCTCGTGGTGTTCTGATGACTGGCCATTATTGAAGATTGTTGTATTAAACCTGGCTACAGTACCCACTATAGTACGACTAAGCGATGCCTTCAACAAAGAAAGGCAAGCCTCAAGGTGGAACTTTTGAACAAGAGAATGTTTTACAAGCTGTTGTTGTAGCAGACAGATTCGATGAAAAATTTCAACCTCTTTCTGATGACATTCCTTTGGTGAGTTGTGAGTGGTCGCCAGTATGATTACTTAATTGAAACTGTAAATTTACCACTTATAAAAACTGAAATATGTATAGCCAACAATTACATATACAGATATAATATAACTTATGAAGACAACACATCTCGAGTTCAATTAAAAATGTTTTTACGAGTCACAATTTTGCGTTTGTTTTGAATAATGGTATCTACTAATGAAAAATTAGAATATGAGGTACTCGATGTAGACGTGACACGAGAGGTTTTTCTCACTGATTTGAGGCTTGACTCGAAAAATGCAATGGGCCATCAGGTGTTCAAATATTCTGAGATTTTGTAGATTCATTGTAGCGAAATTTGTGTAAACGATTATCAGGATGAGCATAATCATTTCTCACAAGTGTTTAAACATTTATGCCCCTAAATTATCCTTTTCTATTTTAGGCATTGTTCCCCTTAGCAAACAAACCATTGTTGGATTACACGCTAGATTTTCTGTCATCAAATGGAGTTCAACAGATCTATGTTTACTGCTGTCATTGCTCTGGTCTGATAAAGGATTATATTGCAAACAGCAAATGGGGAGCCAAGTAAGAAAAGCAAAGAATTCATCTCCATTATGTGTGATGATCAAATGTCTTATTAATATTATCAATAGTATTTAGTGAATATTCCAATTCATTACAATTTCACCAAATTTGTGCAATAGATCAAATGAACAAAATATGGAATAAAATATATGAGCATTCCTACTGGGAGAGTTCCATCCACAAAACTTTAACCCAGAAAATTTTGAACAAGTCCAAAAAATATAACACAATACAAAGAATCTATTGAAAAAAGATCGCACACTGGAGCTTTAGATAAGATTTTAATTTTGTCTACATATTTCACGAAGAAAATTTTCCATCTGAAACTTCCAGAGGGAGGAATTTTTTCTTGAAATTTTCCTAAACACCAGCGGTGCATATTTGTATTTTTTATTCTTTGTTTATTGTTTGATCTATTTTTTATTCAAACATATGTTGTCTTACAATTGAGCTGAAGCATGGCGTTTCTTTTGAATTATAAGAAGCTTGCATATTTTAAATAAACTATATACCGGTAATGAAATAAACAATACCTTTTTCAAATAATTCAATATATTTATTTTTTACCATTAGATTGCATTTATATATTTATATCCAAATATATATATCTTTGACAAAGTTAAGAAATTATCTACCAAGTATGACAAATATGTGAATACCTTTTTCCATTAAATTTAATTTTCAAGTTAGTAGCTTCCCGCACATTAGTGGATGATTCTCTAACGCCTTGTTTAGAGCAAAATTGTGGAATTTTTGTTCGAAATTATTAATCATTGACAAATTTTATTCCAGATCCTCTCAATGCCGAGTCACTCCTATTGTGTCATCAGATTTTACATCATTGGGTGATGTATTGAGAGACATCGATCAAAAATCGTTGTTTGAAACAGATTTTCTTCTTGTAGCAGGAGATCTGATATCGAATATGTCTCTTCAGCAAGCTTTAACAGAACATAGGTTGGTATTTGCGAAATATCTCGTCACTAAAGTAGGCTATGCTAATTGTGTACGTAGTCACAGACAATTGTTTAAAAGCTATATTGCTCTATGGAAGTTGTGTTATTATTCCTATGAAACAATATAAAATATAATGCATTTGTGCGCTCGATAGAATTACTTTAAAAGGAAGAAATCATATGAATTGGATAATTCACTGAAACTGGATAGCATTTGTGAAAGTGCTGTAATTCCTAGGCATGTAGTTTGATACTCTTAACTAGAATGCTCAATAAACGATGGAAAATTAAACACATATTTTTGAATAAACTTCCATTTGTTCAATAATGCTGTATAATTGACTTAGCTTAGAATAGTGTGTACAAATTAATATTAATATTGCCTCATTATTGTTTGGCAATTGAGATAATAACAGCAGTGTCTTCTCAGTCTTCCTAATAATGAGTAACTTGTATTTAATTCAATAAATGTGCAAGAGGAATTCTGGTCTCCTTGCTTTCATAGGGAGGTTCAAGTAACCGAAACCTGTTACAAATTTCTCCACCATAAAGTCCATTCATCTATAAAAAAAAAAATAGCACAAAATACACAGCATGCACTGGGAACCGGATGAAAGGCTGTGGTTCGCCATATATATATATATATATATCTTATCGCCTTTCCTCTCTAGAATAAATATGAAAATCCTATCCTTCAACAGGCAAATATAACCCTTTTCACTGTTTATATTTTGCTTTCAGGGATAGAAGGACGAAAGATAAAAATAAGCCGTTGATGACACTAATTTTGCGTAGTTGTCCTCCCACTCATGAGATGAGATCAGCAGATGATGACATCGTTGTTGCTCTCGATTCTCATACTCAACAAGTTCTTTATTATCAAAAAATCGGTTTAACAAGGAAACCTAAATTTGAGTTCCCATTGGTAAGGCCACATACGTTTAGCATTCCGAATAATTTTAATGAATAGACACAGTTTTATTCTTGTGCCATTTGTTGAATCTCCATTATTATTATTATCAAATATCCTCGTTACTAAAGCACATCCAATCTTTTGTTCTGGTTACCAATTTGCCGTACTGTGAGTGAACACAGTTAAAAATCTTTTGAAAAGCTTCCAATTCTGTTTCGTATTTCTATTTAATTCTGTTATGGTGGAAAACTGATGGTTGATTTAAATGTCCAATTTGTTTATACGATATAAAAAAATAAATTCGATATAAATATACAATAAGATACAGTAGATCTAAATGACAAGAATAATAATAATATAGCAATGCTCAAGAATCAAGATCTTTACAGAGGGCGAGCGAATTGATCGAAATGCTTTGTGAATTTTGATTGCTGGAATGTTAATAAAATTTGAAATATTATATTTACACTTTACAGAAAACCCTACTGCAGAATACTTGTTCCAATTTTGAATTTCGGTATGATTTATCAGATGCCGGTGTTGCTGTCTGTTCCCCCCAAGTTCCTCAATTATTTACAGATAATTTTGATTACCAAACTAAAGAAGATTTCATCAAAGGAATTTTGATAAATGAAGAGGTATGCATCAAATTTTTTTTTCTTCATTGTTCCAACTGTTCATTCATTTCAGTCTAGATTTAGTTTTCAGCATTTTTAGTAGCTCAAATATCATTGCGGTCAGTGTTCCCTCTAAGGTGTGCGCGTGTGCGCGCGCACACAGATTTCAGAGGCTGCGCACACGCATAGATTTACTGCGCACAGACGTATTTCGATGTAATGTAACAATGTTCTCGATTGGCAGGTTGAGAAAGTTTGTTGCTGGCCCACCCATTACCCGGTTAGAACGCCAAAATTTCTTTATCGGTTTTTGCACAAATATTAGTCATTTCCAAAAAAGTGCGCACACACCAAAATTTCTGCGCACACATATTACAAAAAATTAGAGGGAACATTGATTGCGGTATAATCACATCACTACCAAAAATGTCTAGTCTCTAATCATTAGAAAATTGGAGACAAAATGGCAATAATTTAACAACTAAAATTTACGGTACTTAACCCTTTCCATGCGATTTTTATTTTTTATTAAATAATCGTATTTGCTACGCCGATTTTATGCATTTGTACCCCCTCAACTAATCGATCGACTAACGAAAAACTAATGATCCTCTGCTGCCCACTGACGGCTCGTTGGAAAGCTTATTTGAAGAGCTTGCAATTGGCAATTAAAAAAAAGTTTTTTTAAAAGTGGTGGTCTGAGTCACAAACCGGATAGAAAAAAGGTATTTTTTTTTTCTTGGGAGTTGAAACTTCAAACCGTGATAAAAAATAGAAATATTCGCTTAATCCTTTACTGTTACCGCTTCGTGGTTGGCAAACAATAGCATAATATTGCTGTAGCAATTTCGTGATATAACTCAAAATACTTTGGTAGATGGAAGGGATAATATGGGTTCTATTACCACCCAAAAAATTTGCATAAATTCCAAAAACACTCCCTCGTTCCGCCGCAAATAAAATTCCCGTCGTAAAGGAAAGTGAGATTTACCGTCGCTTATGTTAATCTCGAAGAAGACTACTTATCAATAAACTAAAACCCGGAAAAACTAGACCAACAGCTTGCGGCCGATTGCTAAATGAAACAGTGGAGTACATCAACGTACCCGCCGCAATCTAGCGAGTTTTGTCGTTGGTAAGTATACGTGCCTACCGCACGGAAAGGGTTAAAACTAGGTGGATAACTGCGGCATAGCAATGACCTGACTTGAAATCTGGAAGGTTTTTTATCGCACCCTGTATATAATGTCTTACTAAATTTTCAGTTTTTAGGAAATCAAATCCACATTCACACAATTAAAAGAGATTTTGCAGCGAGAATTTCTACCCTTCACATGTATGATACGATAAGCAAGGCAGTTACTTCAAGATGGATTTACCCTTATGTTCCTGATAACGATTTCGAATCTGGAGAAAATTCAGTTTCTGGAAAAAACAAGAAAGGTATATTTTTAGTGGAAATTGAATAAAATGGAACTGTGTTTGCAGAGACGTCAACGGAAATATAGCTCAATGGAATTTAGATTTCAGATGATTAGTTGAATTAATAGGATTCATATATTAATCCCGGGGGGAGAAGAAAGCTGATAAGATAAGCTGATATTCAAAGGCGAACCACGGTCTCTTGTCCGGTTACCAGTCCATGTCCGGTAGGGGATTAGTTAGTCGGTTATTTGTTTCAGATGCAGGGACTTAATAATATGCAGTCAATATTTTTTCTTAAGTCTGCCAATTTTGCAATAAATTAGATTTAAAATAGATAAATAGAAATAAATAAATGCAATAAATATATCAATTAGAATATTGAATATTGAGATGAATTTTAGATAGGGATTTGCAGTAGTAAATTATTTGATTATGATTGTGTGAAATTGTGTCAACATAAATTCAGGATTTCCTCCGTGAATGACTATTAATTGGGCAACTCAGTTTAACAGTGCTATACTTAAAGACTGGCAATTTGCATTGCTAATCTTTAGGGAAAATTTTCTTAAAAATTCATTCAAATTAAAAATTGGTATCTAGAAAACTCTTTCAATACATACTTTAGCATACAACTCATTGCCATTTTTTACCCTGTAATTTAAGTTTTCTATCCCCAAGGAGCTGACAAATGCCTCAATCATTTTATTTTGTAGATACCACTTTGGCCTCCTCTCCAAAACTGTATCACCATCTGCGACGAAATGTATATATTGGGAGTATAAAATCTTTGGGGAAAGATAGCTCAATTGAGGATAATTGTGTGATCGGACATGATACTATTATAGGAAATAACTGCCGAATAAGAAACTCTGTGGTTGGAAATGGTTGTGTTATTGGTGATGATGTTTCTATTAAAGGTATGATGTACTTGTTGTTGTGAGCATTTATGATTTAAAATTAGCTGGAAGACAATATTATTGTTACTTTTTCTCATTCCATCTTTAAAAAAAATTCTCCAATAGCATGCAGTCGCATAAAATGCTTCAAATGGTGGGTCAAAATCAAATGGCATGCGACTCGTTGGCTATGGTTTGTCTGATAGTTAATAAAGAGGTTTCCTGTAGCAACAGCCATTGCGAGAACCATGAGGAATAACAATTTGAATTCAGTTTCGATTCTTCTGCCTCTTTTTCATGCTTCATATGGCTATTTTTCTTTACTATCCCTTACAGATTCCTATCTTTGGTCTGGTGTTACGGTGAAAGACAAATGTACAATAGACAAGAGCATTCTGTCAAATAATTCAATCATTCATGAAAATACTAAAATACCTTCTGGATGTGTATTAGCAACACAGGTAAATTATTTTTCATAATTTTTATAATTTATGAATCAATTTTCTTGTAGTAAACACATTAGAACTAGAATAGAATAAACATTTGTTCATAATCACAAGAGCATTCTGTCAAATAATTCAAGCATTCATGAAAATACTAAAATACCTTCTGGATGTGTATTAGCAACACAGGTAAATTATTTTTCATAATTTTTATAATTTATGAATCAATTTTCTTGTAGTAAACACATTAGAACTAGAATAGAATAAACATTTGTTCATAATCACCAGTTGGTTTGGCCCCATAGAAGCCATATATGAAAAAGATAGGTTTTATCTGCAAAAGATAGGTTTACCTTTTTCTTTGATATAGCTTAAGACTTGGTTTTAATTTTTGATCTGCCTCACTTTATTATTTAATTCATTTGTAGGTTGAAATTGGTCCGAATATAACGTTGAAGGACGACACTGTGATTCATATTGAAATTGATGATGAAACTTTTGCAGAAGGAGAAAATATGCAAAAGAAGGTTTGAGATTTCTCTGAAAAACATGTAAAAATTTCTTTCAAGTATTTTAGTTATGTCCGCTATCTGCTGGAAGTCTCGAGTCAATTGTTAATCGCTGGTGCTCAATGTACAACCGAATATTCATATCATTTCAGAAGCTCCTGGCATTTAAGTGTGTGTAAGAATGGGCATTTTGAATCGAATAGTAAGTTATTCAAATCGGTTCAGACGAAAATTTCGAATTCCCCACCATCTCGTTGTGTTTTTGTCCACCTAAGGTCGAGGTAAATTCCTCGTTTTCTTATTGAAGCCATATTTTTTTTATTGTGTGTGAACGCACAGCGAACTCTCTGGGTCATGGACTTTGTGACTTCAGTAATTTATGTGTCTGCAGGACACATTACAATAAAAAGTCACATACAATTACATATCTTTATTGTATATATCATATTCGAGATTCGATTCGAAAAAAATATTCAAGTCTGAAATCATATATATTTGAAAATGGTAACTTTAGTGTTTATACATAACTTTGCTCAGAGCTGAGCCTCTTCGACTTCTCAGTGAGTGCAGAATGCTATGATTTGAGAAAATTCATGTATTTAACTAAGTAAGTGGTTTCATATTTCTACTCATTGTATCAAACTTGTAAAAATAACCATTCTTACTTTTTAAAGGATACTAATCCATCTTTGGTTGGTGAAAGAGGTCGAGGAATATTATGGAGTAGAGTTGAGGATATAGATAGTGATATGGAAGATGAAGATGTTGGAATGGAAATCATTCGTGAAGGAATCTGGGGTGATTTAACTATTTTTTTATAGGTTTTGGGTATTCGAATTGCATAATAATTGAAAGTATATTTCAATTTAGGATGTTTCATGTGCATTACCAGTTCACATTATTAAATTTTAATTTCTTAATTATTTATTAAACCGAGCCTGGATCATTATATGGAAGCAGTAATGTAAAAACTGGGTAATCTATGGGTATGGGATTAGTTAGCCGTTATTCATTTTTAGATCCATGGACTTGACGGTGGAGGTAGCCGTAACTGAACACTGGTTAAGTGAATTACCCCCCACAACCTTTGAACTCATACATGGTAGCCTGATGCTTGAACACGATAAGCCATACCACCGAAAAATTAATAAATTGTGTAATGATTACCGTTATCACAGTTAGCATCAATATTCTTTCTTATTTAGGAATGTCTCTCACTGAGAGAGATAAAATGTTCCCAACATATAGTGACGCGGAATCATCAGAAGATGACGATATTTCAACAGATGGAAGTGACATGGAGGATTATGAGAATGAGGAAAATTCAATAACATGTGAGTTTTCATTCCAGCGGGTAATAGAATGATACAGGGGTCAGGTTAGATAGTTTTGTTTTAAAAAATATGTAAGATGGTGTCAAAGGCAACAAGGAAATCTTTTGTATTCAATTTATTAACAATTGGGAATTTTTTTTATATTAGTGATAGGCAACGGTGTGTCACGGGGCTAGACAGGGATATTTAATGATGAATCCGTGAGTTTGGGCTTACAAGAAGTGTATAAGACGGCATCAATCCATTATGGCGGTCTTGTTCATTGAATGTATTACCAATGTCAATTGTTTCTCAAAAATTTATCAATGTATTTAAAAATCAATGCACTTATTAAATTTCTAATCTAAATCTATATAGTTTCGATAGCATTTCAATGGTCTCTCGTAACTTTGCTCAAAGATGAATCTTCTTCGATTTTGAATGCATGGACTTATTTGACCAAATTCTCTTACAGTGCACACACATTAACTGTATACATAAATTTTTGCATCATCCACTTTTAATATAGGTTTTGTTTTGGTAACATAAACCTAAGCTAGTAGTTCACCTCGCTTGCTTTTCCATGTTTTTATCTTTAACATTGATTCTTGTATGCTCTATCTTTTTAGTATTTTTCAAAGAAGTCAAAGACAGTTTATCGCGAGGAATAGAAGAAAGTATCAAGTGCGATAATTTAATTTTGGAAATTAACTCATCAAAATATGCTTACAATGTCACGATACAGGACGTTATTCGAAATGTTACTAAAGCCACATTTGAGATTTCTTATTTGAGATGCAATGATGCACCATTCTTTCCAGCTTTGAAAAAGGTACTAATTTTTTCAGCATGCAATACAGTAAAATTATCGCAAATAGAATTATGATGTGCTAAACTTTTCTTACATGTACTATTTTTTGGACATGAACTACATCTAGGCAAGGATGCAAGCCGTGCTAGGGAATTGGGTGAAAATTTCAAGCAGTAAACACCATCAAAACACTTGATTTGACTAAATAATTCCTCTTTTCAGGTTCTGTTATATATGTCTCCAGTTTTCATGAATTATAATAAAACAAGTCAGTCACAGATGGAATGTATTAATGAAATTGAACAATATTGCTTATGCAACAAACATGCTTATGATTGTCTTATCAAGGTATATTCTTAAGCTTTGTTCATTTTTTACATATTGTTAATACTAATCATAAAATTGTTGATGCATCATGCTAAACGTTAGGAATACACTTGCGATCGCACGTCTGATTACCCTGTGTGCGTTTGAATCCTGTGGGTGATAATTATGTGTGAGAGCCGAGAGGATTGTTGGACTCCACACTGCCACAGGGTGTTCACTTAATCACTAATCGGTTACGACTTCCTTCACCATCAAGTTCATGCATCTGAAATAAATAATAACTAGCTAACTGATCCTGTGTGCCCGACACAGACTGGTAGATGTGGTAAATTAATATTACCGTAACTTTATTATTTCTGACTAATGCTAATAAGATAAAAAAAATTCCTGAGTTGGATATTCGATGACTAATTTATATTAAATATTATGAAGGCTAAAATTAAAATCTTCAGCTGTGATTTAGAAATATTACTATGTTTCTAAGTATTACTGTGTTCCTATTCTAGATTTTGATGTTATTATATGAGAATGACATCTTAGCAGAAGAAGTAATTCTATCATGGCATAAAAATCCTTCCACAGTGCAAACTTCAGAAGTTTCTGATGTAACTCCCAACCAATTACGAAAATCAGTAAGTATTCTGATATTTTTTTTGGCTTAACAGCTCTTCGATTTTATTTTGGGTGGTAAGAACTTATATTTGAAATTGGCTGGTTCTTGGAGGGACCTAACGAGGTATATTTCGCTCCTCAAACTCACCAGGTTATCAAGCTCTCATCATTCACTCAACTTGAGTTCCGGTGTTTGAAAAAACATTGGCACGTGATCGTTAGGAATTGTAATAGTGGAAATTCTTTCTTTCAGGTTACCAAATTTATTGATTGGCTACAAGAGGCAGAAGAAGAGTCATCTAGCGAAGATGACAGCTCATGACAAAACTCAAAAAATTGTGTAAATACTTTCTGATAAGAATTTATGTTTATTGAAGCACAGATATTTTGCTAAAAGTCGGATAAAAGTTGAAAAATATGTTGATATTTCTCTTCACATTTCAATATATTGTTTTTTTAGGGCTGCTTGGTAAAACCAGATGTGGAAACTGGTAGAGGTTTTGGGTGAAATTTTTGTTTACTGCTTGTATGCTGTGATATTTATCATCTATAATGCTTGTGTTAACCATAGCCTAATCGGAGGTAACTCTGTGGTTTGTTTGTCGGATTTCCTTGGGCAAGAAACGGAAGAATAATGTTTTGTTTTGACGAAATATAAGATGATGGACGGAATATTTCTTATTTTTGTTGATTTTTTTATTGGGTCTGAGTACTGTCATGTTAGCATCGTTAGTTGGTTGTTGTGTGTGGGGAACATGACAAAGCCAGTGTATAAGGTTAATCGTGTGTTATTGATTCCTTTGTGACAGACTCTAGAATATTTGAAACCACATATGAATTTCGGAGGTTTGTAAACGCTCATGATGCAGGGCTTTGGATCCGGGGCCGTGTTTTCAAAATCTGATTCGGAATTCAGAAATCGTTAAAGGTAAGTTTGTGAGGAGATCTTAATAGTCCATTGACGAAGCCTCGCTTACGTAATGTTTTTGGTATTAAACTGTAATTTTCTTGGAGTCGGTAGTCTATAATATTTATAAATTCAGTTTTCCAACTCGAAGTTGTAGATTTTCTCCTACTCCATAGCCTTGATATGAACGGCCCAAGCGATTTTGTATCCCGTCCGATAAGTATTTACACGGATTATTTTTGATAAGATTTCGTACATAAGGATATTTGACACAGTTGTTGGCATATTATTTTTTTATATATTTTTTTCAGTTGCTTGAAAAAATCATTCTTTAATCTTGTTGGACCTGTTAATTCACTTGAAATTTTGCTGTTTAATTCTATTTTAAGGGAATACTTTTTCCCTAAACTCGTTGCTTATCTAGTTCGCGGCCTGCGTGTTCATATATTGCAGCTTTGCTTCGCAGACTTTATTAATTGTCTTTGTCTTATTAATATAATACTTTATAAAACAACAAGTATGTCACAGTATTACAAACAGAAGATTAACAAATACGGAGCTTGAACGACATCAAAAATACACTCTACATATAGCAATTTGCATGCGATGTATAGGTGAACGTCATGGTAACCTAGTGTGGCGCCCCGGAAGTGTGTGTACTAATATGGAGGTGACTAATTTTGTTCGCCTACTACAAGTTGTGTAAGGGACTGGAGCCTGTGAACAGAAGGTGTATTATTTACTTGGCTAACACAGACCGTCCTCGAAATTGTAATAGAACTAAAATAAGGAATAAAATTATGGCCTAACCCTAACCTAATACACACACTACGGAGATATTCTTAGTGTTGGAAGTTCCATGTTGGCATTGATATGTAGCTGCACCTAAGATATGCATTTAACGATAATGTATACAAGTTACACCAGCTGTATTCATTTAGGGTCGCTAACGCCACTTTCTGCTTCGTGATATTTACGCCCTATTCCACCAAGGTTCAGTGTCTTCGTCTTCTGTCAAGTCTGTTATTGATATTACTGAAACTTGAACATCAAAACTAGAATTTTGTTGATTCGGATCTCGATGTAGTAACCAGTCTTTGTTACTAGACGCGTTTTTTTCGACTGCTGGTTTCAGTGATAGCAAAGGCATTTGAATTTCGGGTTGTCTTGCAACTTGTCCCAGATCTAGAAAAGATAATTACAGTTCAACATTTTTTGTGGAGTCCATTTCGCATGTTCAAATTTTTTTCTACTGTCGAAGTGAATTACCTAACAGCGTTGAGTAAAAAAGAACTTATATACGAAGCACAAGGTGATAAATACACAAATCATTTTTTTGCTAGATTAGAGATTAGAAAAGGCAGTAACCTCAATGAAAGGAAATAATAAGATTTGAAAGCGAATAAACTCAAAAAGTACCATCGACATGGTGACACTATACATACATAATTGTCCCAACAACGTCACTTATTTTTTATTCATTATTGATCCAAGACACGTTCAGTTTGTCACGTATGAGTGGTAGGACTATAACTTCCCATTAAAGTGTTTTTTACATACAAATTGGCATATTATATATCTGATATTATCTTTTCCAAAGGTTAGTGCATGATGCCCGAGAAAATTGTTCAAAAAGAAAATGCTTTATTGTACAATTTTGTGGCTGTGTAGGCGTTATCGCACAACTATAAAAAGGTTACAATTCATCCCACAAATACATGTTTGTACCTTCAATATTACTGTACGAGTACTCCCTCCCTCCAACCGAAGTTGAATATTTAGCAAAACATCTTCCAACTTCTTTTCCGTGCATTTTCGTCCAACAGGAGATATCAACTTCACATTTTCGTGAAGTTTTTCGTCGAATGGCCTTACTGAGTCCAAGGCAAGATGATACATCTTTAATATATCCCTTGACGGCTGTAACAACAATTTTAATTTGTAAAATGAGAAAAATAACTCTCCATTATTAATATGTCCTAAATATTTCAACTTTTTTGTATTTATAAAGAAACTGTTATTTCTGAATCTTTTTTACTCAAATTTTTTCCGTAATTTTATTAGGTAAAATAATCATACTAATGTTTATGTGAATTTACTTAACTATTGAGACATGGCATGACTAACTAACCGCTTTAAAACGCAAGCCAGCATTAAAGGCCGCCGATTTTCATCTTTAATATCATCGGAATTTCAAATTTTACTTGTTTTCATACTATTTAGTCTAACAGTGGTTTTCTAACGGTGGCGGTCTACAAAGAGGGCGTAGACAATTTTTTGAGAAGACGTGAAGCTTATTAAAAATGAAAATATTTGTTAGATTAGATCTTGCCCGCCTTATTTAAGATTTTTTGTTGTTGGACATTTACGTTCCATCCACGTATTTTCATCGTTTTGATTTTTAATAAAAACTACTTTCATCTTACTATCTGTCATTTGTAGCTTATTGTTAGCTAGTTTGAGGCGAGACTTGACAAATTCTAAAAAAGGGGCGCTGCTTAAAAAGTTTGAGAATCACTGGACTCTAATATATTATACTTCGAACCTAACGTCGGAATTAATTACTGTCAATTCTTTGATATTATAATACCGCATTACTGAGTTATAAATGAAAGGCCTTATTCACAACATTTACTTGAATTTGATTTGCATAATGTCATGCAGATGGATCCCAATATTCCATGCTTCTTCCGCCAACACCGAGAGTCTGTTTTGCATGTTGATCCCAAGGTTACAGTTCTTCTCCAGGATAATGCAGTGCAAGTTGAAACACATTTCATTACATACTGCATTATAGGCTGTATAAACAAGGTTGCTGCAATAGAAAAATAGAGCGCTATAAATACGCCAGTCAATTAATATTCATCGAAAATAATGGTCGTTAATTATTCAAATTGGAAGGGTGGGAAAAGTGGTCTCGCGTAATTCCTCAAAACGTACAAAATCTGTGAAAAACCAGTAAAGACGTATCCATGTTGTATAAATACTTTTTGTTACTACTTTTCATTGACTTTTTTTGATACGGATATTTGACTCGACGAATCCCACCTGATTTTAATTCAGAATGGCGGGCCGTTAACTTACGAAAAAAAAATCGAGCAAACTGTGCAACTATAATTCATAATTATAAACTATGTAACCATACAACTATGTGGTGATTTTACTTCAAATATCAATACAATTATCTGAGATCGCAAGACCAATTTGTGTCCTCGCGACTGTTTTAAATTGAATCCGTGAATCACTATCTAATACTTCCTGGAATTTCAATGCCGTTGCGGGCAAAATGAAAAAAAAAATGGTGTCGTTATACCTGGTTGAAAACACCAATAAGAATTTTTGATTTTTTCACTATAGCAGCAACCTCTGTTCTCACAAATTACTTTTTTAATACTAGGCCATCCACAATCCACGCGGTCACTAGAGGCGACAGCACAAGTCCTCAACACAGAGCCTTCAGTTTCTACCTCTGTCAAGTCCGAATCTAGAAGAAAGTATTTGCTGATTTGAAACGCAAGAAAAAAATATATAAATTTTGACCGAATACATTGTGAAGCGCTATGCGATAGTTTTAAAGTCAAAACAAGATACCTCGTTATAAATAAATTGTGGTTTTGACTTTTTTCGTTTACGAATTTAGTTACTTTATGAATACTTCTGAAATTATTCATTGAAAAACGACTATTTGGCTTCTTGAAAAAATCATTTCCAAATTTCGTCGACACTTGCAAATGCCATTGGGCAATTATTTGCTCTTTTAATATTTTTTTTTACATTCAAAAGGGATAATATCGCATCTCAAAACAGATATCTATCGAATGTATGTACCACATCATTGTTCCATAAATATACAGTTGAATACAAACATTTCCGTTTCTGGCACCACAAGCGATTGCTTTTGTACCAGATATAAATATACTTATAAAGTCGATATATATAAGGCCAAAAGGGAAATTTGAATTTAATTTCCAATTTAATACTTATTGATGCAACCAGTCTCTTTAGTTTATGTACCGTTATGTACATTGTAACATGCATCGCTAAATAACCAAAAATTGACTTAAAAATGAACATGATTACATAAAAACGATTTAGGTTTAAAGATTACACACGCCAATCCTCTTGTAATCCACAAGTTGTGATCAGATAATATAATCAGATCATTCCGTAGTATTTCTTGTATCGCGGGGCTCAAACATAATTATTGCTTGTGGCATTTGTTCTGGCAATTTATGATTTAACATTTTTTCTCCCACGCATTAAAGTTTCAATCCAGACTGAGTCATATCGGTTTTATATGGTATCACAATAATTGTGCTGTGTGAAGCTGTTTGATTTTTATGAATGCTAATCATAAAAAGTGCGAAGTGTCGCTAGAATTCAAGTACCAAAATACAATCAGAATAAATAATATTAAATATGTACATATAATATCAGTGTAATTGTGAAAAAAATAAACTTGATCCCAAGTACGCATCGCCACAAAACTATATTTGGTAGCATGCTTTATTAATTATTATGGTAGGCATACTTGTAGTTGCACTTCGATTCTAAAGTTTGTATATGCAATGTAAAATAACTAATAGCTGTGAAATTTTCGGCCACTGTATATATTATATGCACTTGCAGTTGTCCTGCTGAAAAAAGCTCGTCAGATGCGTTTTGATTAATCTCCATCTGCTGTCATTTTTACAGTGCACAGCTAAAGTAATCCAGCAAGCAAGTGAATTTTTGTCTACGAAAAGAATAAGCAATGACTCAGCAAAAAGTTGTAAACCCGAGATAACGCCGATCTCTTTTTCGCAAATTCCAGTTTTTCTAGTTCGTGACCTAATGGAAATGCGTTAATGACAGAATGTGAGGCAATTAAATTAGCTGGTATCAAATTTTCATATTTTAGGCTTGAGCTTGATTTTGACAAGTTTTGTTATATATATCGACTAAAATCACTCACATTTAAAATTATCATTATCCACACCCTTTTCATTTGAAGATTAAATAATACAATAAAAAAAGGATTACACTCGAAGGAATTTATGCTACTGTGCATATTTATTAATAAAATCAAAAGTATAATCCTGTCACATTACACATATTATTGAATAATTGTTCTCACATTAAATAAGAATCAGAAATGCGAGGCTTTATCATTAGGCGCAGCTGACGCATATTCAAATATATATATGTAATCTTCTTCAATCAAATAATTTAAAAAAAAAACGGTACATTTCCGGAAAGTTCATTATAAATATGAAATTCTATTTAAATGTCTGATAAGATCCTAGATAGGTATGGCAGAATGGAAATCTGCTCAAGGCTTAAAGTATAATTAACTGCACACCGACTGACACAGTGCTGTTCTCCGCGGTGGTTCATAAACGGTAGGTATCTGACATTTTTGTTGTTAATTCCATCAACATTTAATTTTTTGTGGTATTTAAAAGTAAATATTCAGTCAGAATTCTATTTGTACTTGGAATCCCGATATAAATAGAATACTTTTTATATCGTGAGTATCTGAAATATTTTGTTATCTTTTGATACTCATTGTCTTTAACAAAAATCAAAATACATACTGTTTCATTTGATAAAAATAATTATACACGGATAATTATCATGAAATTAAGTCGAGTTTTATTTTAACTCCAGCTTAGAAGACTTCGGTTTAAAAGTTCCATGATAGCCGAGTGCGTATGTGATTGAGTCTTTCTGTCTATATAAGTCTCTGCATAAAACACTTTGGATTTTTTTTATAAAAAGTAATAAAATTCTACAATGAATTATGCATTTAGAGCAACGTTGTGTACTCGATCCAAGGATTAAAAAAAGCGTTTTAGTATTGGTTTGTCAACTGCTATACATTCAATTAATCTAACATTAGACTTAGATTTGATATATTGTTAGGATCAATAAAGTACATGTCATATTTAACTGGCACGCATTGCAGTTTTTATTATCACCCTGTAATCTAAGGTCGTTGTCAAGTTGACGTTTCTTGTGACAGTACGCTACGCGTAGTAACTGTTTTTTCAAGCGCACACGCCTTCCAATTCCGCGCCAAACCTAACATTCGTTTGATCAATTAAAGATAACCGCCGTGCTGGGGGTTAGGCAAAGCCGCTTTCCGGCACGTATTAGTTTTGTACCATGTTGTGTTGCTTTCAGATTTTATTTTCAGTTACTCTTAATAGCAAGTACTGTAACTATTACAAATCTGTTAAAGAAGCGATTCATTTGTTTCAGTTCAGAGCGTCCATAATTTTTTTCACGTCCAAAACAAGGTCGGGCGTAAGGGCATGACACTAGGTTTGTATATTTTCGGTTGGGTTAGCTGTTTATCATTTTCCTGCGGCAACCGAGCAATGTTGTGAACATTTTATAAGCGGTCGCCATTATGAAATTACATTTTCCACTTTATTGTAGTCCGATAATGTGTCGGGAAAAATGCCGTATGTGGAGACATACAACTGTTTGGCATACGTGTAGCATTACTTCTACTGATTTCCATATTAGAAACCATTCCAACCACATTTGAAGATTCCTATGTCTCTTTGGATATATCTTTAAACTTCCAAGTTGACAAATGAATCGAAATAAATTACAGTTTGTAACAAGATACACTATCCAGAGGCCCAATAACTAACCTCAGTACCGTTAGCCTACGCCAATTACACTAAAATACGTTACCGGATGATTCAAAGGTTTTAAATCAGAATTGCAGAGTCAGAGTCCCACCGCAGCAACAAGTCATAACGGTACCGGTGAGATCGCAACTGAGCAGTGGTTACTGCGCACCAGATTGTCGGACTCAGAAGATGTCAGGCCTGTCTGACGTCGTTTCAAATCAAACAAATGCCATCCCAACAAGGCAACAACAATAGCAGTTTAGCAGAAACGATGCATGTGTACATTTCGTGCGCAATCAAACTCCATTCACTACGTGATAGAAAACCACGCACCACATGCCATTTAAAGAGACCTTTATCGGGTGTAAGAAAGTTGTACAATGATGGCTTTGCTTACGAGAGTAGATTGTAATCTGTAATGCTCACTAAGCTGTAAATACACATATTGTTTTTCGTCGTACTTAGTGTACTTTCAATAAAAGTAAAAGTTAAAATAATTTCTTACAGTTACTCATATAACGTTACGTGACGGCATGACGGCGTGACAAATTTTTTTGGTAAAGTTTAAATCATGCATTAATCTAATTCTGAATAAATAATTCGGGATCCGTTTTTTTGTAAAGGTATTTCATGTTGTAATAAATATCCTGGGGAATACAATGATTTTAATGAGAATTCATTTGTCAGATTTCACTTAAAAACGTGAAATGTACTAAAATAATAAGCGAAATATGTGTCGAACGGGAGCGCCCTAAAATTTTTCAAAGAGATTATACATATATAAATGGAAGAAAGCAAATCGCTTTTTAATTGGTTCGCAACTATTGGACATTTAAGAATCTTTCGACACAAACAAACAAGAAACATTGCTTGAAAATATTAACAAGACCGACTGAATATAGCAAATCTACATAATCAGTTTGTTGTTTACTTTAAATTTGTTGTCAAAAGTTTTACATTTTGTTTTTTGTTGTTGTGAAGTTTACACATAATATTATTCTGAGATGATCTGATAATTTAAAAGTTTAATATTAATAAACAAAAACAATGTAAATTATTTCTCGGTATGAAATTTTTTATCATTTACAAAATTAAAGTTTCGCTTTCGTTCAGTGCTTTTCACAGTATAGAATAAAGTAATATATATTGCATAATATCGAAACATAAAAATATGACAAAATGACATAATTCTTCATAAAATAAGGCCACAAATTAGAGAGGATCATGTTTGATTTACGTTTGACAGAAAACATTGTAGGGATATGATTGATGAAATAAATTGTTTCCTGTTTTAACGAATTTTCTGACACGAATAGCAACATCGTCAAGACGAAGACATCCGGTTGCAGTTTTGACATATAAAGACTGAATGTTAATTCATTCTGAACAAAGTTTCTTTTGGATTAAAACATAATATATGAGATCCTGTTCAATAAATTGTTATTGAAACCAAGAAAATATATTTTTCTATGACGTCACGATTAGAAACGTTTAATTGCGAAGAAACTAAATTAGGAGAAATATCCAATTAATCGATTACAACGCTGACGGCAATGAAGGACACTCAAGCAGTAAACATGTTTGAATAGATTACCAGGCACAGCACAATTTACGTAACTTAGTACGTTTCAGTCATTATCGTGTCATGGCAATATAGCTCAATTCACTTGGTGCCGTTAGAATGTCATTAATCTCATTTGCAACATTGAAGTGCATAAACAGGATTTCATTTTTTTGTAGAATATTTCAACTCGATGACGCTTTTGGCATATAGAGAAATTCTTTATAAATGATTTATTACATCATTGGGAACCGCCTCTAAATATGGCTAACGACTCAAAAGCTAAATTTACAAGATGCAATTAAGAAAAGACGGGTTGCGAAATTTTTGCCCATATTTTATCGATGACTAACTTTTAACTAACTAATACAAAACCGTCATCGTTTCTTATCAACTTTTGAGTCATATTTTGGAATTTAAAAAATACTCCCCCCCCCCTCCTCTAACACACAAAACTAAAACCTAATTAAATTTTTATTAGTACGCATGTTTATGTTCATATCGATACACCAATCGTCAATGTTCATATCGATACACGTCCAGCATTTACATGTTGTGTTATGGTATCCAAACTCTAGAACTGACTTTATTTATTTCTCATTTTACCAACGCACGTCTATAGATAACCACAAATCTTGAAGGCTTTGAAAGCAACCTGTTGTTACATCAATTATTCTGAGGTTGTGATATCGAATGAATATCATTGATTATAATTCTCGATAATACTATTTGTATCAATTATCCCAGTGAAAAACAACAAGAGCCAGTTTTCTTAGGAATTAAAAAACGAATGTGACCAATGTTTATATCCTAAATTAATATATAAAGTATGCGGTCACAATATGTGAGTCATAAACAGACGAACAGATACTTCATCTCAAAGCATCATATTGATGTTTTTTATGATATGCCATTTGAAATAGGATGAAAGATATTATAAATTATAATATTATATTATAAACAATATTATATAAATTAAAATTTGAGTGAGTGGTTGCGATAGTTCACTGGAAATCGAATGGGAAATTTTAAAGCTGCCATACTAAATGAAAATCAAGGAAACACGCAATTTGTCGCTGATGCATATACATAATTTTAATTAGTGTGCAACCTTTTTATAGGCTGCACGCCCATAGAAATACTAATTTACTTCAAATACTAGAAACTTACCTTGCGTATGTTCCTCTTTTTTAAAACACCAAAGACTTTTCATGTATCTTGAATCATAGCAACATCCTTTAGCTTCGCAAGATGCTCTTCTTATGCCTGACCATCCACATTCAATTCGTCGCGCAGGATGAATTTTTTTACAGGAATCTAGAAAGATAAATTTTATCAATATCAACATATAATCATTTTTATTACCTTGGCTTCAATTTTTCGAATAAAATATTTGTATGAAAATGTTTTGCAACCACAGTACTAAAATTGTAAATAGGTAGATTGATTTAACACAAAATTAGTATGATATTTGAAATTATTAGTCTATCTTCCGACGCACATAACTGTGAGCGTTGATTTAAACATTGAAATTCGACAAATATTTATCAGATTTACATAAATCATTAGCTAAATTTACCTATGTTTGAATATGATGCTTCCATGACAACAATTAAGGACGTGACACACAAAAGAACGGATTTCCAGAAGTATTCCATTGTTTTAAAATTATTAAAAATATCTGTGAAGTTCAAAGGTTGAAATTGAGATTTTCGCCAAGCTCATTATATATAATTTTAATGCACAGAGCCAAAGTACTAAATGCATGCAAGACGTTTCAGCGCAAAATGCGTCGAGCGTACTTACGTGAACAGTCACAATTTGCGTATATACGGAGCTAAACTTTTTGTACGTTTTATAATATTACCCTTTTTGCACAACGTCACCTTTCGATCTGAACTGCCTGTCTAGTATGACTGCTGTCACAGTCGATCATCCATACTTTACAGAAAAATTAATGTGCCTGATTTGAAAATTCTTTTCACAAAAAATACCATAATTACATTTTTTTAATTCGAGATATGAGAAAAATATATGGTGTTTTATTGAAATTTTTACCAAAAATAGTTTGCGTTCAATATTTTCCCGAGAACAGCACCAACCGAAAAATGACTACAGCGAAGTATATTATTCGGAAGTTATAAGGATGAGATAAGGAATATTAAATGATTATACATCCCCCAGGCTTAAGATTTTTAGCCGACCATTGAATTCAAATTCCCCTGACCTGCAACATATTTCATGTATTTATCACTTTTAAAAAAGAAAAACACGATTTTTCTTAATTTTCCGATGTTCAGTGTACGCCTGTTTCATTGAAGGATCTGGTATGAAACCTGTTCTCTAGAACGAATCATTGTTCTCACGTTATACTAGCTAAAATGTCATAAAAACAGATTATTTCAATATAATGAATTTTTTTCACGAATGTGACTAATTTGTTTTCCCGTACAACATCATAATTTTTGGGTTCAAGTCCAATACTCACAGAATCTATTGAGTATACAATTCATAGAACCAGGTTAACTTTAGTGCTGAAATTTTGCATTTTTAAATCATAGATTTGCAGAAATTTCGTTTTATTAGCCTGAATAAAAGTCAGAATTCCCCTATAATTCTTTCTACTCAAAATTTACAAACTGATATCAATTCGAATCATAAATAGGCCTTATCCAAGGCGTCAAAATTACCAACAGCACTAACTTCACTTTATTGCATTTTATATGATTCATAATATATATTTTAGTTTATTTCTTATTACATCTGTATACATATACAAAGCCTTCGGGGTATACAAGCGCGAGGAAAAGTTGTGAACGTCAAACTGAACTACATTTGTAAATATCACATAAATATGGAAAACCAGTTTTTATATCGATTGGAATTTCTATTTGTCTACTTTCATTTTTTCTGTTATTGGTAGTATAAAAAAACTCGGCGCTTCAACTGTATTTTCGAAGTAAATATGGTATTATTCCACTGCATTGATTCTGTATATCCAAGTTTACGCAATAAATTCAAATTTGTAAGTTTTATTTTTAAAACTTTTGTTATATATATATAGGACTCGTAACTCAACATAGTTATGTGCTTCTTAACAACCCACGCGATTACGTAATCTAGCTGGTACATTTTTAGAATTACGTAAAAATGGTGTTTATTTCACTCACTTTTTGAATTCTTCCCGTAATTGACATTAACCACTAACATCCGCGGGGGTATATTTGACCTTTTGCAGCTTTACATAAAAAAAATGTACACGATACAAATGTATCACATTTGGGTAACATATAAATGCACTATAACTCGTATATGAATAATTATTAATAATAAATCTATTCTTTAGTTTACTAAGCCTTCATACATGATCACGATTTGACAATTGTATTTAATATCCCGCCGTGAGGATGACATCATTGTTAACCAGTCGATGTGTATTGAATACACGTATATCGCATATTATCCTTATAAAGATATGTTGCGGCGTGACGGTTTAAACAAACGTGGCGTTGTGTTAATGCCAACAAAGTTTCCGGTCACGTCGTTGAATTTTTCATTTCCTTCAATGGCTACATAAAAGGCGCAGAATAATATGAGCAATGCTAGGGTGCTCTCATTACCACCTTCTCAGATTCCCCATCAGTTTTTATTAACGATTTCCCGTTTCTTATTTTTCTTCACTTTTCCAATATCTTCTGTATTTGCATCTTTTTTTTTTAATTTTGAAACGTCCATTTTTTTTTTGCCTGTTTTAATCTGAAAATCCCGATAAATCGGACTTAGTCATTCCTGAACGTTTTTACTTTCACTTCGACAATGTCTAATTCGTGCGACAGCTTGGCTTTCTATTCAGAACGACGAAAGCGTGGAACTTTATTTTTCGTAGTGTCGTCACGCAGTGAATAATAACGAATATAACATTCTGGGAGGTAAACAAAACATTTGCAGTGTTGTTGATAAATATAATAAAAAAAAAACGGAAACTAATAAATTATATCTAATTTGGGGAAGAACTCAATTACACTATCGTATATACACACCTTCATGTTCTATCTATTGTGGAACTGATTATGAACATGGGTTGCGGATGAAAGTTTTGCATTCCGAATATATGCCATAATTAACTTCTTTCTTGATTTATGGAATATATATGATCGGTTCATCTATTGATTATATATTATTCGCCATTTTCCAGATCGCCTTCCGATGGGGCCCCGAATCCACTTTACTTCTTTTGTTGTTTAGCCTACTTGTCCAATGTATGAAATCAGCAATGACACATGAACACGGTGTTGTTGTTTTTTGTTTTTTTTTAATAAGATGATTGAAATTATATTTTTTTCAATTCACAATTTGGGTTGAAAATCGTGAATTTTCTTTACAAAATAAATATTTATGAAGAAGCGCATGGTACTGTGTGTAAATGAGGAGTACACCAGACATCGCTCTGCTAAATTACCCCTGCGTGGGTTGGCAGGTTCGAATTCCGTAGGAATTATTTATGTGTGAGAGGACACTGAACCGCTCGTCGACACAGGATGGGTAAATAACCCATGTTCGGTTGCTTTTCGCCACCATCCAAGCATTAAGAACTGGTAAATCAACTATTCCCACAAACGGCTCGGTAACCGGAAGAGAGAACATGGTTAGCCATGTCAGGTCGTCATTATTCTCACCCGTGTAAATCCTATTTCAAACTTGCTATGTCACTTAGCCTTAACTATAGTTCTAACAATAATCAAGGATATCACCAAGATAACAGATCAAAAGTCTTTCTTTTATAAAACGCAAAATTTTCACAATTAGCAGACAAGAGGAAACCTGCTAAATGTACTTGTAACCAGAACGAGTCTGTAAAGAGCCTTTCACGTGTTTGAAAATCAACGCCCTGCGTTACTTTACCGCAAAATGTCTTTTCCACCCTCTCAGACTCGTGTCAACCACTTTTACTAAACAGCTTTATGAAAAATATAGAATAAAGATAAAAATACAATTTTTTTGGTAATATATATATTTTATTAGTAGACCAGGAAGATAAAAGAACCTATGAGAGAACCTCGTCGTACTACCTAAAACAAGTTCCGTATATTGTAAACTCGATTAGCTTCAAATACATACGTCACACTCTAAGATGTCACTCTCTTCAAAAATTAAAGTAATAGGCGTCATGCATTTTTGACTACAAGAGAATAGAAAATAAATCTTTGAATAAGAATAAAAACTATCATAATATATAAACAAGAAAGGACGGAGATGCATATCGCAAGTGTATAACGTGTTCAGACGCTTGATAATCTTTTTCGGTGAATGATGTAGTGTAGATATGGTTTCGATAACGAAAAGTTTAACTTCCTGGGATTGAAATTATAGACTTACTACAATCTGGTGTCCAATTTTCGATTGAAAAAAATAAGGCTGGCTAACATCAACCGCCGGCGTACGGGCAGCTAAAAATCTCCGAATCGGATTTGGAAACTAAGGTTTAAAAATTGTGCTAAAACCCGGAGCATCATTTAGAAGTGGCCCAGGGTCCGGATAAACTTCCTCAGTCCTCACAGAAGCTCCAGTTAAACTACAACACATTTGCTACTGCCCCAAAAGATTTATACTTTCGTGTAAAGTCGTACAGATATTATATGCTGGAAGAAAGCAAGAAATAGTTCTAAGCGCTTCTTAGTTTCTATCATGTTTGGAAAAAAAAATAAATAAATAAACTTGATTACAGAATAAAAATAGTTATTTCAGACTTATCACAGACAGATTACTAGACTAAAATGATCAGTTTTAGATGAATAATGCTCATTAAAAATCATACACAAGGACCTGCTGCAAGAAACATAGTTTTGACTGGGTTTGTCTAAAAAGACAACACAATGATAGGCAAAAGGAATTTATTTACTTGTACATACTCGCTTACTTCACACCATTCTCGCTAACCCCAACGCACGTCAGAAATATCCCCGATAATTCAACAATGCGTCACGATTTTCATCGCTCAATTAAATATCGCTCAATTAAATATGGTAGCAATATGAAATACTCGAAAATCACCATGAATCACTTTTCAAGAGCCTGGTCAGATTACACGCGACGATGTAATGGTAACAGCACCATTGTACTGATTCGCAGAATACAAAGAATTTTGCCGGAAATCGGAAGTGAATAGGATGAAGCTCAATAGGTAATGTGTATATTGGTATCGAACGAATACCATTCCTGAAACTGTGAATTCCGTAGATACCAGGGAATTTGTGACAGAAATTGCGGTATAATAATTAGTTTATTGGTTATAATGGCGGGTATGATAACATTAAATACACCCCTTTTCAATACGGCATCAGATCAAACTTCCAAATCAAATGCCGTCAAACGCGATTAGTTTAAAATTGTACATATTAAAAATAGTATTTACGGAAGCTGCAAAAGAAAAACCGTTTAAAATATTTTCAATAATAATATTAATAAAAAAATTCACACTGAAACACAAAAGCATTATTTCTAATAATATGTATGGTCTATGATAGCTCCAAACTGCGTTGTAAAAGCACTAAAACAGTGACAAAAAGGAAATTCGGTTGTGCATATAAACTAAAAAAGGTAATTCCTGTTTTCACTAGGCATTTTCAAATTATTTTAGATTTTGAAACAAGCCTCGATTTTCAATCCATACTCGACTACGCATGGGCCGTTGCTAACACAAATAACTCATGTTTAGTCGAAGATGGCATTCATTCCGGCACAGGGGATGTGTCATCAAGATCCGACTTGGTTAATTTCCCATTGTTGAGTCTTAGAACCGTTGCAAGGCGACAAAAACACAGTATGTACCAATTCACCGCGATCCAAACATTTTCCTGATGGCGTGTGACGAATTGCTTTGTTCTCCTATTAAAATAGTAATAAATAATTATAAAATAATAATAAGAATGTTATAATCGACTTCTTGTTTCTTTCCGTAACATTATCCAATCAATGAGTTGGTAACGAATAAAAATTAAGTAGCCGCTAAGAATAGATACATTTCAGGCATGATTGCAAACATTGACTCATTTTAGCACTTATAGGTGTTATTTGTTAGTTTTCAATAATGTTTTTGAAGTTCCAAGTATATTTCACATAACTCGGCAGGTGCTCGACCATTTTGGGGTACAACGATAATGTTAAAATGTAAACCAAATTACAGGCACCAACTCGCGAAAACTTGCTGAAGTATAGGAAGAAATTTTCTTGCGTCAAGGTGACATCAATTATTCGAGGCCCGGAACCCTGCCCGGTCAAAACAGATAAGTCGATCATCGAAAGTAAATTCAAGTAAAGTAAATTTACAAAGACGGACTGCCATAATACATAAATTATCTAGGGCCACGCAAACTTGGGTTGAATGGGTAATAATGCCTAACACGTGATGTGGTGGGTTCTGAAAACTATTTCAAGCTCAACAAAACTAACACGGTGAGTGTACTTGTTCACGACTTGTTCAGTGCCGAAATTTGTTTCCAAAACGGGATAATTGGAGAGGTGCTCTTAACATAATAATTTAAAGTAGACCCTTAATTTATTCTCTACTTTTAAATCCATAAAAAACGTTTTGTCCCAACCAACCTCGTCGTGATCCCATTCTTTATATTCAGTTGTATCACAGTGCACCAGAGTAATCATTCCACGTTTACTGGTTACACATTGGTCATATTGCGCCAACTGATTTGCGTCCGAGAGTCGAAATAGTTGATTTCCGCCCATACGATGACAGTATCCGTGTTCGACTGCACCGTCCCCGTTTTTGTGGCCCATACTGTCTAAACACTCTTTTGTGCCGATCGCACGAATCTGAAACGACGAGAAATGAGAATGAGTTTAATGGGATGGTATTCACAATGTTACCACTTGTTCCCTCCAAATAGGACCTTGTGTACACGCGGCCCTGATATGCAATGAACTACTACTTTGGAGGACAAAAATCTTTCCTTTTCGGTACTGATCCCAAATTATATCGGCTATGAACCAACACTCTTACCAATATGCCATCGCACCAACCATTTATATATACGGTCGTTATTATTTTCAAAACAAGCAGATAGTAATATGACGTATGCCGGCGATCGATTGAAAAATTCGGCACAAAAGGGTAAAAATACCGACTATCGCTTGATAACGCTACTTTCTGGATGGACATATTTAATAGGCAGTCCAACTTCCCTTATAAAAATAGTAGCGTCGATAGTATTAGCTGCAGCTTTGCTTATTTAGGTCGGGTAACGAATGTGCGCAATGGTCTCACCTCTCCCCATTCCTTGTTTTTAGCTGGTAATGGATAGTGTTCTGGAATATCGTAGGCGATGTTTTCGATAAACCATTTAAAACTCTTACAGTTGTGATCTCGTCTGTATTTCACCTGATTATTAAAAGAACGAGGAAAGTGTCATCATTCAATAAATATTATGAACACTTAATATTGTAGAATTTGTGTTATACAGTGTGATGTGTATATATAGGGATAAACGATGAGATACTGTCATTATTGAATGAAAATTCAACGTTGTATTGTAATCATAATATAGTTTACTATTGCCACTGCAGTATGCAGGATGAGAATAGAAAATAAGCATTTCGATTTCTAAGGCGACACATTTCAAATTATAGGAGACATTATAGGACTCAGTCAACCTCTCAGTGGCGCACAGAAACGCAAAAAACGGGCAGAAGAGGAAGCACGTATGAAAAAAATTAAAGTAACCAAGATAAACGGCAAATTTTAGATTACCATCGCCTTTTAATAGCGACATGTTACGCTTTTTAACGAAATAAAAAAAAGCGTTGTTTTAGCTTATGTCCGAGAGTTTTTAGGGTCATTTCCACAAAATATTTTTGCGGGGGGGGGGCACGAGAGTCTTGCTACGCCACTGAATGGAATACTCGAAACAATGAAACAAATAGGAACTTGGTTACCAGTGCTGTGTACAACAAGACCCAAGGAGTTAACAACGTATCCCTGGCGAAGATTGCGTGTGAAGGAAATGACAATCCAAATTTGGTGGAAGTGGAAATACATCCAAGCCTTGAAGTGGTAGACCTGGACTATATAACGTACTGATTCGAAATTCGTAATCGTGCGAAAATTAAGAAACATTTTCATCTTTTGCATGCTACTTCCTGCAGTTTTGATATTGTTAGATTTTGTATCTGTTTTTCAAATTACGGTAACTTTCTAACAAAAGAGAAATTTTTTTTTTTTTTGAATGGAAATAACGAATTTCTGGAGAGTGGCTGACAATCTAATCGTTAGATAGATATATTCTATGTGGATTTACCTGTTCAGAGATATCACCATACGGCATATTGATAGTTTCTGGTCGACTTGCATAGAAATATTCCTTGTATTCATCCCACCAAGTTTCCACCACACGAATGTAATTCTAAACGTAGAACAAAAAACAAAATGGCGACAACTTGTTTACGCAAAGGGGAATACAGGCTCATTTATAGGAAGGAAATAACTGTAATATTCTGTCTTTCTTCTGATATCTTTCATTATGCTTATCTTAGGCTAGGCTAGGGAAAAATAGTATGGGAAAAATAGAAATAACCGAATAGAGATACCCAGATAAAGTAAAACAGTGGGGGATGAACAGCACGAAAATATTAATTTATAACCACGATATGGAACTGTACTGCTTAAGAGTCGTAACTAACTCTGATCCGAGATGAGTCTCCATTACTCCTAAGTGAGAATGAAACACCTTGCACTGAGCACATTCTATTGAATATAAATACGCGATCACCATAGAAGACACGGAGACAAAACGGTCTTGAAGATATTGCTTCAATGACATAAGGAATGATTAAAGAATAATAAAAATACATTGATAGTTATCTAGAAAACGCTTCCATCTTCCGATTACTGAAATAAGAACTTGAATATAGGCGCACATGCAATGATGGGATAATATTTAGGTACGGTACTTCAAGAATGCAAGAGGTCCTAAAAATAAGGCTAAGTATTACTTCATTTTATTATCATTTTTGTTGAGCCCCTTTGGATATCATCGCAAATTTAATTGCGGTGTAAATTGGTCAATTTTTCGATATTTTTCAGTACACAAGTTACAAGTTGCGACCTTTGTAACTAGGGTTTCCATTTCTGGATACATCAATAATTTGTGACTTGGGAAAATACACAAAGGAGAACTTTGTTACAAACAGACCATTGCCTCACCATCTCTGTACTATATAGGCTCATTATTGTGGTAGAGCTTGCAAAACAAGGAGATACTGGGCATATGCTTATGCTAGCAGCATGATGTAATAAGAAAAAAACAACATTTTAATTGCATCCGGTTTACAATAAATGAAATTTGCTTTAAGGAATATGCTTGAAGACAAAAAAATTACCTCATTTAAATTAAATTGATTTCGATTAAAATAAACTACCAACTGACTACGACTGCGAAAAAATATTCCCTTATATATTAAGGACTAAAACCGTTATTACCAAACTCGGGACTTTATTTATTATCTCGGACTACGTTTGATTTCGTAATTCAGAAAGTCCAAGTACATAATACACGCGGAGCTGACGAGCGATAATTGGTCGACGCTGTATCTCGATCAAACACGATCGTTGGAGCTAAAGTAAGACGACATTCGCATATTATGCTTGGTCTGGTTACTGGTATGAAATCTGGCGCGTGTTAATGTGAAACAGAGCACAATTTGCCATTCCTCAAATATTATCTATTCCTACATGTTCGTTATGAAATAAGCGAAATGTTTTATTCCTCGCTTATATCGTGCTTAGCAAATATTACATTTCTTTTAAAATGTAACAGCTGGAAGAAGACACTTACATGTTCCATCACATGTTTGCCTTCATTTCATTTACCGCCACTCAAGTGGAGGCACAGCAAATGCTAATAAAATGGATAAAATATATATTTTAGGATGAAAAACATGATTGTCAATTACCATGACCGGCTAATGAACTTATTTAGTAATAGTTTTCTTCAAATATACGCGAAATATTCCTCTCTGAACGAAGTTTAAATCAAATTTCAATCAAAATTAAATATAAGTCGGTAGCTGATTTTTCATCCAATCATGCCAGGGCGTACCATAACTTAGTCGCAGCGCAGGTGTGCTGTTGCAAATTATCATCAAAATTGGAAAGAATATTCAGGGATACGATCTATTTAAATTTGTGTATAAGCGTATAATAGAAACTTAGGCCATTCGGTGGAATACTGAACTGGCAATTTGAAAGAAATTACATCACACGAATGACAGCAGATCAGTAAAAGTCAATCACGAACAATTCATTCACAGTCCCGTCTCGTGATTTGGAGTGCCGCATAAACGCATTTGACAGATTTAATGCCGCCGATAACAACGATGAACAAGCGTGTTTGTTTTTCTTCGGTAAATCGCTCTATTTTTCCGAATTGCGTGAATCTGGTTCGAATCAATTCGATTCGTAAATCCAAAAGTGGCATCCCTATTTGTAACTCATTTCATTTGGCGCTTATTCGTCTTGGACCAAAACCTCAATCTTAGGCGAACTGGAGATAATACGATTTACCTATAAATATCAGTAAATTAAACGTGTTTTGTTACATTTTAAAGCTAATCCAATATCAGGAAAAAAACAAGCTTACCCTCAGACTTGGATTTGAAGGAACATAGTCTGGAGGAGGGTTCCCACTCCAACCAGGCAATCTGTATATATGGCCCACCCTTGAACATGGTACAAAAAGTACTTCACCGCCACACATCCATATCTAAAATAAATTGGAAGTATAAGATATGACAGCTGATGCTAAAATATATCCCATGTCGTTTCAACCTATTGTACATAGGATTTACATTGGTATTGTAAAAAAAAACGATTTGAGATTATTTTAGAACTTTTATGTTTCTGGATTTCGGAGTGATCAACGCAAAGTTAGTAAAGAATCGCAACCGAGGTGGTCGGGTTCCAGATTGTAGATCGAAGACTACACTAAATTCCGGTTCTGACTTATGGTTAACAAATTCTTTTGACTCCGACTCCGGTTCCCAACACAGGGTTTAACGGGGTTCTGAGGAAACTTCGAATCCAAACTCCGGGGAGACCAAATTGTGATTACAAAGACTGTAGTATGTAAGGTCCACTGTAATTGTCTCTATGGAATGTCATCTCAACTCCTTTTTAGTTTCTGTCGGAAATATCGACATTCATTTCAGACTTTATTATAAATAAAAAAAAAACAGTCCGTCACTGGGTTAACTGTGAACGGTTTGATCGCATTTCTTAACCCTCATCCCGCCTACATACTTAATATACAAACGTACTATAACGTAACATGGGTAATATAAAAATTTGGTTTCAGATTTAGGTACATAAGAATTTTAATCATTGTGAATGCATCCCATATCAAAAATATATACCTTCACCTCATCAATGAACCTTATCATTATGAGACAAATAAACATTTATTCATACAGTATGACGATTCTTACCTTGTATGAAAGTTCAAAATTTTCTCCACCCCAGATTTCCAAACCAGGATCATAAAGGCCGATTTCGAAGAAATAATCCCGCTCGATCGCGAACAAACCTCCCGCCATCGCAGGTGATCTGATAAAAATAATGAATAATGAACAGTGTTAACTCTAAGCAAATTATGAGTGCGAAAGTGCTTCGCAGTCGAAAAAAAAAGTGCGAAAGTGCTTTTGCCGATTTTCACATGTTATGTGCCCTAGCCTTTCATATAACCCATTTAAAACGGCATAGATACTCGAAAAAGCGCTCCTCCGGTTAATATTATGAATTAAAGAGAAGCCTTTTCGTTAACCGAGTTCCCTTTAAGCGAATTCATGTTTAATTAAAACAAGCGAATTCATCGGCAACGAAATAACATCTGCTAACACCTGAACTTTCATGCAATGTATCACGGTGTCAGTTGGTGTCAGTTGCTTACTCGCCTAAACAGCAAAGACTTTCACATTTGTTACTCCTTCCATCTAACAGACACGAGGCAGGCTGGAAACCATATTAGTTACAGGGAGGATCGTTTGTACAAATCCCGTGCAAAATAATCCCCCAAATATAAATAGCCTAATTAGGGTTAGGTGCGCTGGAAAAACAACTTTTCGATTTATCCCTAAACCTAATCTGATAATTATTAATTTGTGATTTTGAACCACTTTGAAAGTCGCCACCCGCTGTTTTAAAAGATAGGTTAACCTACGTTCCCTCCGAAATATTAAGCAGGATACTCCCCTGTTTTAGGAGATAGGTTGACCTACTTTCCTTTCAAACTTTTTTCTCCGAAATATTACACAAGATCACTTTGAAAATCCTCCTGTTTCGTGAGCTAGCGTGACCTAATTCCTCATTTACATTTATATTATACTATTTCAGAGCTTACCCAAAGACAAGTAATTTTTAAAAGTCGACATGCCTTGGTTTGCGTGCGAGTTAGTTTAAATCGGGCAAAAAACATCATATATTGGCAAAATGTTCAGTAATGTCATGTACTTTCAGCATTCATAAATAGCACTCTTTGTGATGCTGCTGACCTAGTATCAAATATTCGCATCACAACGCCACTTGCGAGGTTTCCATATATTTCAATTACACTAATAGGAACGATGACACCAAAGAGTTTTCTATTGCGACGGTACACTAAATATAAGGAGGGTGATTCTTGAGAAAAACATGAATAAAAAAAATAAACAAATGATATGATAGTGGATCCCAAATAATTTTGACAGTGTCCCGAAATACCAATCCATTTGATAAATAATTTTTATTCGACCACATGAACGCTGATATTCTGAAAATTAATGTTGAAAGAGAATTACGCATTCTCAGATATCGGACATCCAGTCGCGATATTCAATCGTTCATATGCACAAATCTCACATTAATAGTAATTGCTACCCAAGTTTGTAAAATTTAGAAACCAACAAACAGAAAATAACTTATCCTAAAACACAATTAAAATTCAGTCGGCAATAAATTCATCGCCAAGACGATGCCATACAAAACAAAAGAGATTTGGTCTCGAGAGTTACGTGAGATGCTGCCGTTGTTTTTTAAGCAGAATGAAAAATAATTTATAATTAATAAACGGGAGTTACGACGCCCTTTACACATCGTGTGTATTAAACTTCCCTGGTAAGTACTTTGGTAAGTACTAATATTATTGTACTTATACACCTGTTGGGAGTATTTCGGACAATTTCGAATTTAAAATAAATGAAAACCCGACATATAATAAAGACGCAAAAGTAAAATGAACATTTATTGAAAAAGTTATTATTTAAGAAAGACAACATGATCGTACAATTCCGCCAAAACCTCGATGTTCGCAAGTGAGATGATAAATAAATACTTCCCTGTATTCGATCAATTAACTTTAGCGTATCGTTGTTCTGCCAACAAACAGCCGGGTGCAAAATATTTCAGTCCTGTGATATGCTCACAAATATTCTCGATATTAATATCATACCCTCGCGTATGTACTTTCTATTAGCTCTTTAGTGATCCCTTCCATCCTTGGCCAAGTCATGTTTCGAATATGTGAACATTTTATTCGACCATACATGGCCGGCGGGATGTTAAAATTGTAAACAAGAGAGAGGTAAAATCAATCGCGAATTTCGTTATAACGGCTCGTTTACGAATTGTTGCGCCTGTTATCGTCGAAAATGATTACATTTGTTGTATTTTGAGGCATTTAAGCAGAAATAATTAGGGCATGACATCATCAAAATCGTCAAGTGAGATCTTGAAATTGCAAATTCCGTAAATAAAATTGTGAATTATTCGGTAACGAATTCAGCTTTAATGACCGTCGGGGTATTGTTTTGTTGAAAATTATTATTAATGTGAGAGCACCAAAAACATACAGTCCATACCGATGCGACTGCAATTTATATGGTCGCAATTGGTGTGGTGCGTTTATTAATCGTGTAAAAAAAAATTTAACGAATATCAATTATAACCAAGCCTGTCAGCGTGTTTATTTTCTGTGGGCAGGAATCGTAAAATACCATCTTGAGACGAATTCACTTCTATCATAAAATCTTAATTTTCAGTTACTATCGTTATACAAATAACGTGTGGCAACTTTTTAATTTATCGTCGACCAAAAAACCGCCCACACACTCGTCCAAACGTGTGTCGAGCTTGAACGACAGGAACAGTTTCATCGACGACCTTAATTAGGGAAAATATGTATTTTATTGGGAATGCAACAAAACGCATTTTTTTGTGATATAACTTTGTATTTTCGGAAACGGGTTGCCGAGAAAGGTAAAATTTGATCTAAATTAATCGAAAAAATGTTTTATTTTAAATGTAACAAAACACATTTTGCGATATAACCTTGTATTTTCGAAAACGGGTGTCCTGAAAAGTAAAATATGATCTAAATTAATCGCAAAAATGTTTTATTTTAAATGTAACAAAACACATTTTCGCGATATAACCTTGTATTTTCGGAAACGGGTGTCGTGAAAAGTAAAATATGATCTAAATTAATCGCAAAAATGTTTTATTTTAAATGTAACAAAACACATTTTTCGAGATACAACTGTATTTTCGGATACCGGGTGTCATGAAGAGTAAAATATGATCTGAATTAACGGTAAATAATGTTTCATTCCAAATGTATCATAACGCTTTTTTGCTATATAACTTTGTATTTTCGAAAACGGGGCGTCACGAAAATTAATTATCTAATGTTTTATCTATCGTCTAACTAACGTCTGGAACACATCATTTTCGGGGAGAACTCTAGCCCGCGAAACGTCATTTAATTTAAAATAAAGAATGTTTCACGCATTTCAAAACGGAAAATCACCAGTAAGTGGACAGGGATTCAACCCTCTGGATTCAGTATTCTATATCCCCGTGTCAGAACTTTCTGAAGAATAGAACAAAGAACCCGTCAAACCGCCGCGGAAGAATGGGAGTATTTTTTGCACTAATAATTAGGGCGTGACAATATCAAAATCGTCAAGAAACTGGTGAATTTGCAAATTCCATAAATAAAATTGTGAATTGCTGGGTAACATTTTAGCTATAATTATCGCCGGGGTATTGTTTTGTTGAAAACACGTTGAAACTTGAGGGAATTAGTTACAATTAGCGCCTGACCTCTATTAGGCACTCGTGCACTCGAAAAAAAAAGCACTCGAGCCCAATCTTTTCAGCATTAAGTCGCATACGTAAAATATCCTGTAAAAGAAGTGCTGTTCATTAACGCCATCTCGTCTTATGACCACGCAGAAATGCCTTTATAGCCGAATTATTCAATCACTATTTTAAATCAACATTCAGGATTGGCACAATTTCAGGTTTGCGAAGTTTATCACCATAGAAATACATGACAAAGTTAATTATCGTCTTAATAAATATCTGCATCACGGTATGGACAATAATATTACCATTTCCATAAAATTGGGACGGTAAATTTACAAATCTTGATAGGTAATATTAAAGCCAACGCAAATGTTAATTTGAGTCCTCAATGTCTTCAACAGCTGTTGCCGATGTGAACAAACGGGTAAACCCGAAATATAAAACTTTGATGACCGCCGACCCACAAGAATTCATATTTGTAAAAAAGAGAGGGCGGGAATATAGATTACCCAAAACCTGGATATCGCCGCCAAAACGATCGGTGACAAGAACAATTAGCCATTACAACGGAATTAACCAGTAAAAAGGCTTTATTGCCGATTTTTTAATGTTTCCACCACGTTTATTCATTTTTCGAATGATTGTGTCCAATTAAGCCAATGTGTAATATTGAGTTCTATTTATCTATTTATTTTTTTGTCTTTTTGTATGATCGTGTTAATTTATTAAGTTAATGTGTAATATTGAGTGTCCCGTTTCTTATATTTGCTGCTTAATTTCAGCTACAAGGTGTCGCTGACTAGATGACTCTATGAGTCTTTTCGCGACTCCGCGTCAACTGCAACAAGCCGATATCCATTTGACATTTTGTTACATTATATTATTTATTCATTTTTCATATCGCGCATTGTTTTTTGCATGACGAAAATAAATATCTGAATCTGAATCTGAATCTGAATTTATTCGGTACTCCTTAAAAATATTCGATTCAAATTTTGCCCACCTGTCCTCGCATATCAATGAGAAATAGTTGTGTAAATATCGCAAAATTCCGGAATATGCCACCTCCTTTCAACATTGTGATTACAATAAAATGGCACTTAATGGTATTTTGTGAATTTGGTGATTTTGCAAATCTGTGACATGCTGCTAAAAGTTTCGTCTGATTTGAAAATCGTGCAAGTTTGGTCACAATTCATCCAAAGTGACTATAACACGTTACTAACACTTTTATAGTCATTTTGAATTCATCGATATCATTGATAGTCACATGACCTTCAAAGAAACGCACTGCCTAGTATTCCAACATCTGGTTTCAAACACCCGGGAGCGTTTTTTGCGGGAGAAGCGGAATCGGTGTGCTTGTATAATAATTATATTATAAACAAGAATTTTGCCGTTAATGCAAAAGCTTTATCTCCTTTGTCTGCATCTCATAGGTTAGAATTCCGATAAATATCGTTATGATATGCAGAATTGAGTTACAAAAGTACTAGTATGTTACTTATTCGTCAACTTAATACTCGAAAATATTTGTTAACTTTGAATTTTTATTCCATTCAAAATCGGAAAAAAGTGCTTTTTCTCTTCAAAATCGGAAAAAAGTGCTATTTCGCAGTCCCTAAAAAAAGTTGCGAAAGTGTTTCGCAATTTTCGCAAAAAAGTGCGCTAAAAGTGAACACTGATAATGAAACACAAGAACATATAGTATTTTTGTCTTTATGTATGCACTTTTTTTGAAAAAAAGAGGGCGCATAGAATTGTCTGGTGGCACGTTTTGCAGTGTGACAATATAGCCGGGATGCGGTTTGTGCGGAGCACGCCTGATTTATGTCGTTTTTATAATGCAGTCGTAGTCGGGCATTGAGATTTTTTATTTTATGTTAGCAGATCACGTTTGAAAGGTGAAAAAAAAACCTGCGGCATCCACTACTGATTTTTTTACTTTCATACATATGTTAGCGGTGTTTTTAAATGGGTTCCGTGATAGGCCCAATTAGAGGTTCCAAAGGGATATAAGGCTGAAGAGCATTAAATTGTAATGAAAAATTAGTGTAGAAATAGCTGTGATAGACTAGGCTAAAATTCTTTACCGGTACTTTTAAAAAACAGATTGTTGTATGCGAAGAATCATAATGATGGTTTGAAACACATACTCCATTTTACATGCGCCAACTCGCAAAAGCATTCTCAAAATAGTCCCGAAAATTTTGCAATGATAAAGTATGGGAAGAATTTTTCGGGGGTCAAAGGTCGGGGAAATCCATATGGAGATGATTTTACAACGCAAATAAGTGCTCAGCAAGCGAGCTGCTTCTTGAAACCAGACATGGTATTGTCTTCGTCAACTTCGGATTTACGAAAGTTCGACGTCAGACTGTAGGGAATTTCAAGGTAGGAATCAATTTACAGACAATTTCAATTCATATCTAAACAAGCAAGTAATACACAAATAAAGTGCGTATACAAGTTCGATGAACCATTGCAGTACTACAACAGCGCTCCCGAAACTGAAACTAATTTTATTTCTCATTTTCGTTAACGTGGCCCATGACTTATATTCGAATCCGTGATTATTTAATCCAAATACCGCATGTATGGCTTACAACCTGTCCATATCGTAATTGTGCGTATGTGTGACTTTTAGGAAAATGTACCCGCCTTAAAAAGTAATCTTTTTCGTAGCATTTTTATGGTAAAAATAATAAATAAAATAGCCCTAGTTGGGATAATTAGTAGTCAAAAATGCGCATCGTATTGTACATAATCATAGCGGGTTTCACTCAATCAAATCAGGACTTATTCGGAAGAGCAAGCGATACGCCAAAGAAGGCAATACATATAACATTGAAGGGAATACATCTCTTACCAATGAGATATCTTTATCTGAGAGCGACATCGGGCGTTTCGTCTAGTACTCCACTCAACGAGCATCGATTAATTCCCATATATGGGCATTGTTATATGCTACGCGCCGTTGACCAAGCGTTACAGAAATGTGTAAACTGTGTGCCTCCAACTCTCTATCACACACACAAACACCGCGCATTGACGTTTCAAGCATATGAGTGCGTGTGCAGTAAAAGAATTAGCTTTTGACAATAATTTTGCGAGCGCATGGCAACAGCGTATGAATGTCGTGGGCTAATAAAGATGTATGAAGTCGTTGAAAGTGTTCATCGATATGACAGAAAAGAGCTGGCAGTTGACAGCGACAGAGTAAAGTCAGAAACAACTAGTACATATCGTCAAAACAACCTAATCCTGGCAGTAGTTTTATGTCGTCAGGACGTAAAATAGTGTATTGACGCTCAACAAACTATATGTACTAGAAAGTTGAGACCATGTATCATAAAAAGTATGTACAAAAGTGGTATAATAATATTCACTCAAGATACAACTGCAAGCAATATATATAATCGTCTTTTCAAGGTAAATACACTACAAACTGGCATAAAAAGGACTTTACAATTGGGCCAGTTTTGCTTAAAATCGATTTTATCTGGTAGTACGTTTTTTGTCACCGTTAATGGTGATACATCAGTAGACAATATATGGAAACATATAGGTCAGGTCAGCCAGCGGAAGCTACAAAAATTGTGTCAAAATTTAAAACCAATTATCGCCTTATATGGCGCGTTTAAGCCATAACGCTGTTTCCGCTGGAAGTAGAAATACTAATTGTTGACGATATGTTGAAATGGACTAAAAATTAAGTTTTGAATAATTAAACGAACGCATTTGTAAAAGTCGTTTATGGACTTATCATTTTTGTTCCCAAAAATAAGAATTTTTAAGAGATAATTGAGTAAAACTTCAGCTAATAAGTGAGTTTTGAATTTTTATTCAAATAGATTAGCACAAATTCATTCCCGCATAAGACTAGTCCTAAATCCTTATATGGGTCAATGCGACTTATTCGTACAGGCGACATTCGTATATGGAACGGACTTTTATGGCAGATTGGCTTATCTATAATGACTTGCTTCAGAAAAGAATGCCAAATTTAGACAGTTAGAATGATATCCTAGAGTTTTTGAATTTGTTTTTTGGTAAATGTAAAGTCATAAACAACAATACCGAAACAAGTGACGATTGAGCCAAATGTCTTTGAAAATTTATTGTAGTTTTTTTTAACCACGAAGACGCGCGCTGATGACTTGAATAAATACGATTAATGTAGCTGAGATAGAAAGAATAGAAAGTCGAAAATTATCAAGCAAGAACACCGTGATTAAAGAACACGATAATATGTATGAGTTTCATGCTGGGGTAATCAATTCGGTTTTGTTTCTTGTGCCGACACTTAGGTATTGTACGTCGCTCAGTTTAGTTACGTCGATTAACTCTAGCTGGTTACGTACCACGTTCTGAGCAACATTATTGTAATGGTCGCACTCGCAGATTATCTAATTCTGGCGTTTTATAAATTAAATGACAACGGTATATATTATTTGAAACAATTGGTTTCAAGCATATATTTGCTGATGGAAACCCATTCCGGGAGTATCAAGGGCAGCAAAAATTCTGTCGTCGAGTGATCAGTCATCGTATTACCTATCTGACAACCTATATTACCATATAAGGTCGATGATTTGAACAGATCGAAGGTGATCGATCACGTGATAAGGTCATTTCGTCGCCCGTAAGCCTTAATTAACAATGTCGAGTGTTTAATCGATTGTATGTTGATGAACGTTCAACCCGATGCGGCCTCATAAAATAGATTAGTTGTCATATTTGAAAAAACAAGAACTACAATTTTGTCTATAGTGGATAAGATAAAATCAAATGAAGATTATCGGAATTAAGAAAACAGAATAACGCGATTATTTGGTTTGAACGTTGTCACTCAGGGTGTACATCCTTTTACTATTTGCACTTAATCAATCGAATGCGCCCCACCCGCCAAATTTGGAAGTGTTTACAAGCAAGGATCGCGAATGAGGCCAAGCTTGCTTGATTGTAACTACTGGTAAGGACAATAATTTTACTAATATGGTTGAATGAAAGAATCCCAATAGGCCGATGAGTCATCGATTACGAATTCATTGAAGACAATTCTCAATTCATAAATATCTGAAGGTGGGCACAAGTTGGTAATCACCGCGTCATTCCTTTAATATACGGACAATACTGTATATGCTTGTATGTTAAGTCTAATGGGAAACCTAATATTTTTGATATTAAATTGGATGCTAAACTTATTAAAGGTAATCAGGCTATAAAATAAGTCGGCAACATAGAAGTAATTATTTATATATTTTTTTCTGCAGTTATAATAGAATAGTAAATAGTTATGGCCGGGGACACGGGAAGTCCTCAATGCCAACCTACAGATTTAAGCATGAAGTCGAATCGTGACAACAGCATACGTGAGTCTGAAAAATTAAAAGCGTACGATTACGTCACCGAGAACATACACAAATCCCGCTTTAAGTTCAAGACTGATATGGCGGCGTATTACGCAACATTTGATAAGCCTTTCGACTTAACAAATAACAAATCCGTCATCACGAAAACACCTACAGCTGAAATGAACGATCAAGCTATTAGAAATGCAATTACAGCGATAACTCAAAGTTTAACCCCGACGAGTGCGTCTTGTTTAACTAAAGAAGGTGGTATTTCTGGCAGAACACCTTCGGATGAAGAAGTATTTGTATATTCTGGTAAAATTAGAACTGCGGGTGTCGTCCGCACTGGCGGTGCGTCATCCTCTCGAAGCCCAGATGTCGAAATCGTGGAAAGAGACCGGGTGTTTCGTCGAACAGTCTTGACGCCAACAACACCAAGCGATTCTGGAAGTACGTCTTCAAATTTAGATGCAACTCGCTGGCGACTACCAACGACTGACCGCCCTCAGTATTTGGATTTACGAGACGTTGTCGAAATCCGGGAGACGTCACCAGATAGTGGGTTGGGATCCGCCACGCCAGTTTATTCAACGGCGGGCTCGACCACGTCACCCGAAACACCTAGCGGTATACCGAAAAATGGAAAACGACGTAAAAGAAAACTTGGGCCCGGGAGAGGATGGAAATTCCACGATTTGTCAACCGATGGCGGATCTAGTAGAAAACGTACCTATGCCCAAAACAAGTTGGAAATCGGAATACTACAGGTACGCATACATACAACACATATTTTGATGCCATAATAAAGACTACACATTTACATAGCCCCTTGCAAATTCTCCATTCCATGAATGAATTTTAAACAGAGGCTTTACCATAAAGTTTAGCGATTACTGATATAATAGTTTTCAACTGACATGGTAAGCTGGTATCAGAGCTGCAGTCAGAGACAAAATTGAAATTTATTTTCTAATTACAACAAAATGCTAATAGCCAATAACCAACTATTTAATTGAATTTTTTAGAGATTTCAGGATCATGTCTGTGTGAAATCAGTGCCAACACCAGATGGAAGTAAAGATAAACTAATAATTGTCGAACCAAGTGAAATAACTGATAGTGATTTGGTTCGTTGCGGGACTTCATTGAGATTATTGTTTGACAAAGATGCAGGAATATATAAGTTACAGGTGAGGGCTTATTTCCAAATGATATTAACAATTATTGTTAAAAATAAATACCATTTCCAAGCTTTGCAATGATCGAATTTATTAAACCTTTTTCACAATACTCGAAAGACTCAAAAATCTGCAAAGAAGAGGCCAAAACCTAATTATCTATATCCAAAAACATTCTTAATAATGGAATATATTTCAGATAGTGATTAACTTGTATTTAGAGATTAAGTGAAAGCTTTTTCAGTCACTGTATCTGTAAGACTACCATTGTTCAAAATGCTAATTTTGATAAATGTTGTTAAATTACTCCTATAAGCAAGAATTCAAAATATTGCATATAATCAATTCCCAATTGGTTCATCCATTTGTTTCATTTCATTTCAACTAACTCGTAGTCCAATTTGCCATAATGATACTGATCAGCTTCGCAATATCTAGCCTATCTTATATATTTCTATTATTTATTGCAGCTTTTACCATACACACTTGAAGAAGGTCCTCTCAGTGACCACGAAAGAGTACTTCAAGCAGTATCAAAGATGCTGGGATTTAACAATGAAGTTTTATGTCCAAGCGCCTTCAATGCATTATACAAAGTTGGAAACAACATTATTTTTGGGGACAGCAGTGGTGAAAGTGAACAATATCCAAGGGAATTACAAAACCAAGTAGGAAGGACGCTTTCATTAGGGGCAGCCGATGCCAATTCTGTAAAACTTTCCGTTCCATTGAATTTAAAGCAACAAGTCGCCAAATCTCCAGCTCACCAGAGAGACGCGTTGTTATGGTCATTGAACAGTGAATTGACAAGATATAACAAAGTGATCGCGGGTGCAGTTGCTGCAGGAAGAAAAACTTGTTTGATGTGGCACACACCAAACAGAGGGAATGTAAGCGGAAGACCTCCCAAAAAATTTACTCCAGTAACTAAATGGTGTGTAAATTGCAGACCGAACCCACCATCACAATCTTTGCCAAAGACTACATGACAAGAGCAGTGCTGGTAGATGCAAAATTATAAAAACCAACGGTACATTTTACTTTTCCCACAAATGAGCATGGCTGAAATCTATTTATCATGATTTTCACATTTCAGTTTTGTATTAAAATTTATTCAAATAGAGCTGTAGATTTTTGTTTGTACCACCAAATGCACAGGTTCGCAAACGGCCAGGCCATGGGTTTTATGGTAATAACTATGCTGCAGCGGGACAATCATGGGAAATATAAGAAAATCATGTTCTGTTTTGTTCGGGAATTACATCCCATAAAATTACTGCCGTCTCACAGTTGGGGCACAGGCTTTATTTTCCTTCAAAAACGAAGTGGTAATAAAATTTTAATCGCACATTTTTATGATAGAATATCAATTCAGAGGTCACCTGAATCATTCCCATTCCTAAGCAGGATATTCGAAAAGACTTAATGACATTGCTGTCATTTTCAGAGAGAAATATTCAGAATCAGATGTACAGAAAAGCAGTGTCCTTGCAGGTTTACACTTTTGAATATGCAGAAAATAATCATGGGTTATTCAAGAAGCCAGTTGCTGATTATTTTCTGTTCTGAAGAAATGGTTGATCCAGTATAGACAATTTCCATGTGCCTAAAACCTTAATTAAATTGCTAAATATAACAAAACCTCACCTGTAGGGATCGGTTTTGTGTTCCCTCCTTTTAATTTCTTCTTTTGTGATTGGTGTGCGTTTCCACAACATACTCCAGTCCCATGCACCTCTAGCAAATCCATCCAAGTTACCACCAGCTTGGCCCGTGAAGGTGTAGTCTCTCCCGCTAATTACATCAATGAGAGGTACAGTTGTAACCATTCTAAAAGACAACACAAAATGTTAAATGTAATGGACATTGATTTAATCGTATAAGTTGACCCAAAACAAAACAGAGTTCCAATGAATTTAAAAAAAAATGATGCGCCATGTTTTTTTGGGGCTACCCTGCTGTATTATCTCTATCTCTATTCATATGAAACGTTCTGGGAGTCTTGCTGCACACCAACAAATCGCCTACAATAGTTATCTTCACTCTTGCTATGGCTTTTTTGCATTATATGCCTACGGATCTACCAGCACAAAAATATAGAAGAAGGATAAGTAGTTAGTCCCGCAGAAACCAAATAATTAGCGCATATGAAACATTCTTTTAAAAATATTCACGATGGATGTTGTAAACTAAAAGTGAAACCAAAATTGCAAAATGCATGAGAACAGTCAGCCATGAATACTTGGTATATCAAAATTAATGAAGCGTATATAATTACCAGTATGCACTATAAAGTGGGCTAGAATAATTGTAAAGCATGGCAAATCTCATTTATTTCTGTATGTGGCAGAGATCCTGAAGTTTTTACACTTGATGCAATACATATTTGAGTTCAATGAGGTTGAACATAGCTAGTTTCTCAGATTTAAGAGGTTCTAAGCATACATATTTCCAATTTAATTCATCGCGCATGCTCAAAATAAATTCAATTCAAATAAGTGTGTCAAAAATTACTTCAATCAAATTTCAAAGAGAGTACTTGTTTATAAATATTTTCTAAAATTAATCCCATTTTAATATTTGTGTGCTTCAATTGTGAAAGAGGTGTTAAAATACAAAGTGATGAAAAGATTTTTTTCATAGTTGTTTTAAAACATCAATGACATATTGGACATTGGGAGTGTTATTGATTCAGATGTCCAAAAAAATTTGCATGGAGTAATTTAAAAATAGAGCAATTTTACTATAAACATTGACATTCTGATAGACTAGAAAACCGAGATCACCTACCTGTTCATTGCTATAGGAGTAATGAGTGGTGGTAACCAATTATACCCACATTCACAGTGTGCATCAAGATAAACTAAAACTTTGCCAGCCGATGCTTTTTTGGCTCCTATACTTCTTGCACGAATCAAACCTTCTCTTCTTTCATTTCTGAATAGTTTGACAAGACCATCCCACCTCTGAATGTAATCTTCGAGTCTTTTCTTAAGGTGTTCTAAAAATAGGAGTTGAAGAATTGGGCAAATGCAATTGGTTATGGGCAAAGATATGGTATAGTCAAACTATCAAAGTTTTTTATTCGGTATTGAACCTGTCAGGAATTCCAAAACAATGTCTGCATCTAGGTTTGACAGTATTCAGACTCCTTTACAAGACAAGGCACATTCACATTTAAATATCAAAGTTTACATCTCATTTCCGATGAATCTCTTAATAAAATAATTTCATTCAATTGAATTTTTTTCGAAACTGTGAACATGTAATAACTGAAATGATGTTGATTGTGGGATTACAAGGATTCTGCGACAAAAGTTCAAATATTCGTTAGCCAGGAGTCATTTTCAATGACCTGGAGTTTGGTCCAAATTGATAAAAAAAATGTTGTAAAAATATTCTTCTTGCATCTGCTTCCTGCTGCACATTTGAGAACAATATACTTCAAAATATATCTCATTTTTACTTTTTCCACTCAAATAAATCACTCATCCCGTTATTCAGTTTTGTTCACCCCCTATCAATTCTCACCTTTATTGCTGCGATCATCAATCATCACAACTTCAGCTAGTAATTCTTTAGGAGTAAAATTCACCACAGAATGAATTGTCCTCATAAGTGTTGACCAACCTTCATTATGAAATACAATTACGACACTAACTGTTGGCAAATCTTGTGCTGGTGCATAATTCCAATGTTTACATCTGCAACAAAAAAGAAAATAATATCAAGTTTGTGTTTCTTTTTTTCTATTTATAACTCCCAAAACAATCCCCCATGCCGCTTATGAATGATTGTGGTAACAGCACCCCAAAATAGAGATTTCAGGTCCATGGGTTGTCATATTCGCAACCGGGACATATTAAAATAGGTAGGATATGTGGACATGGGAGAATTTGTTACACACCAGAAGTCAATTCTTTGAGCAAAGTTAAGATGGACCATTGAAATATCAGGAGGTGGAATTCGCATGAGAGTTAAGTCATCATTATCAGATTAGTGCACATAATATGTCCAAGTTGATAACCATATAGTTCTCTGTTTGAAGGAAATTTGTAAGTGATATAATACAGTAATACTATCCTTTTCGAGAAAAAATGGTCATATCTCGTATATAATAGTTGATTTTTAAAAAAAGATCATATATCAAGTAAACTCATTTTACTTATATAATTATTGACGCAGCTGTGTAAGCTTATAATTGTATTAAGACTAATACAGTAATAGTACTCACTCTTGATGCCTTAGATCTTTAGGATATCTGTCCATAGATATTTTGTCACTGTTGACCATATTGAAACCAAATTCTTTAATAGCTGCATCAACAGCATCTTTTTCTTCACTTGTGTGACTAACAGCCACACCATATTCCCCTGGTCCCCTATGAGTTGGCAATTCTAATTCATAATTTCCAGGCACTCGCCAATTGAGTGTAGGTCTTAGATGTGAAACGTCCACTTTTTTGCGATCCTCTGGATCTTTTGCAATAGGCACTATTTGCTGTTGAATATCTTTTTCAAATGTTTTTACTCCGCCGTGTTTAACGTCAACCTCCATTCCAGGAATATGAGGAAAATTGATTTCATCACCAAATTTACTTTTTCTACCCTGATTTGAGTCCAAAAGGCTATCTGGTAAAAGTCCACTTCTTGATTTTGACATCTGAATAAAAATGAAAAATTTATGAAGCAGGACATAACGAACGAGACAAACTACTATAAAATGTTTATAGGTGATTCATATCCATCAGCATTCATCATCCTTATGCATTCTAACGTTACAGCTCGCAGACTTTTTAGATAACAAGGTGGCATTAGACAATTTGAGTAAGAAGTTTGATTTTCAGTCCGCTTGGGAGTTGTTTAAAATAATAACATAAAAATGTGTAACACAAATAACAAGGAAGCAGTTAATTCTGCAATTGTTTCTGGGTTTAAAATTTATTTTGTTATTTAAAGACTCCTGGCTGTGCTGGTTTGTAGAGAGAAAAGGGGTTATGGCAGGATACTCATGCTTAAGTACTTACAGACTTACCTTTGAAATTAAAAAAGAAAAATGAATAGTAGAAAAAACTCACTTGCGATATTTCGTCCCAATAAAGATGATAAACAGCAAAAAAGCAAACACATACAATAACGACTTTGACAACGTTAGATCCTCTAATCCTCATAGTTGTAGGATATTGTATTCTTTGCTTTTACAAAGTTTTTATTCTTTTTAAATGTGAACTCTGGATTCTTGGGATCTGCGTATACACAGCCGGGGTGTAGGCTAATGTGACAAGACTACAATAGCGAGAAAACCGTCTTGAATGCATGAAAAATGTAATACCGGTAGTGAAAGGTTTAAATAGACATAAGCACAAACAAGTTGAGAACGGACAAAAGACCAAAAAACAAACCAGCAACTGGCGATAACGTCTCTATCTTTATATCCGGTTCTTCGTGGCAGGCTGGCAGTGGCATGTATGTCATGCTTGAGACGTGGTTCGGAATAGGCGTCACAAAGGTCCGACCAAAATTACAAGAATCAATATAAAGCAATAATACAAATACTTCTAATTTCGACATTGTTAAAACAAGATACTGAATGAAACAAACAAAACATATAAAAGAAATGCCTGGAAAACCAGGTGAGTTCAATTGCGAGATAAACAAATGAACTTCTGAGAAAATTCTGAATATTGAGTTGTCCCCGACAAAAGTCGCTACTAACGACCATGTAGAACCAGCGAATCCACATGTAGTAGAGGGAGGAACATCTCATAATTAACCCATTGAGGTCTCATGATACACTTGAACAGCGCAGAATTACGATAATTTCAAGTCGAAGGAGCTTTGAGTCCATTAAATTTAAACATATCAGAATCGGTGTTTCTGTTTCCCAAATATTTGAGTCAGAGGTTCGACCGTAAACACTTGTACAAGAGGTGGAAAGGTGAGCGTTGTAGATATCTTTGCAATTAGTCAGTAGTTTGTTTTATCACAAACCGAAAGTAAATAATGGACAAACATAATCAAGAAAGACAAAAAATTGCATTTCATAAACCAGAAATGATTACTCCGCGTTGGCCCGCAGGTACGAATCCCGTGGGGGATAATTACGGTACGTGCGAGAGGATATCTTTTCACCTCGCCGCCGTACGGTGGTTTACGTAACCTCTGGATAGTTGCTTCTATTTCTTAAAGAATCGATGTTACGAGATTTTTGTAGTCAATTGATCAAAAATTACAACACAGTTTTATTGTAAATGTACACATACACTGTACGAGCATATACATATATATATGTATAAATGAAATCATGAATATATACGTATAAGGAAACCATGCATTTTTTGGTAAGAAGTATTCAGAAAACGCTAGTATACAGCGAAGTCAAAGTCCGCTGAAAGTCGATAACAATATTCCAGATTCCAGAACCCAAGAAGGAGGATATCGCAAACAAATAAGGAAGAAAAAAAAGAAATGGGAATCTACTCTCCAGCGGCGAAAACATTCAAACTGTGTAGGCCAGAAGCTAGAGGTTACAGAAGAGCAGGATTTATTACTGTTTCTACAATGAATTCCACGTGAAACACAACGAATCAATTGTGGAGTCGTGTTCACACGTTTCTCATTTTGCCCTCTCGACATTTCTTGGTCTAAGAAAGTAGTTCAACACGAAATGGTCACTTTTAAAGCGCTTGAATTCCACTTTAATGGCTTTTAAATTTAGTCGGTTAAAATACATAAACCTGACTCAGATAAAAAGATTTATTTCGGTTCAAATATCTATACGCAAAAGGGGTAGGGCAATTGATACACGGGAACTCGGAAAAACGAAAAAACAAAACAAAGTTAAAACCTTGCACATAACATGCGTTCGTGTACCAAAAAATTTGATCGGAGGCTCAGCCTATTTTTACGCTTGAGTATTTTGAAATTCAAACTAGTTTATTTCATCATAAAAGGCGTTCCTTCAATACGATGTAAAAACTAAAAGCCACACCCGACCAAAAAGCAACAAAATCGGTAATACATGGATCGCACTTCCAATAGTATAGGCGTAAGTTATTCATCCATAATGCACCAGATAAGGAGCAGCATCGAAATGTACCACCCAGCCGCGCCAGACCACAAACAAATACCAAATGTAGGATGGGACTGAGGCCATCGCCGACAAGGCCTGATGATGCATAGTCTATGTTGTGTCGATCGTGCATTATTGGTGTTTTGTTCAGTCCCGTACCAAATTACTCCCAAATCCCAATGGCAAAAATAGCGACAGTAAAATATAATCATCACCAAAACCGCCATCCCCAGACCGCCCAATTTTCACACCAGCCGTTTAAAGCTTTTAAACTGAATTCGTTTACAGCGCTGCTTATACTTCCAACGTGATTTATTAATTTAAGGGAAAGCGCCTTTCTAATGGATAATAATCACCTTTGTTTTGCGTATTTTGTGGTGTGATAGTGAAGTTCGCTCCAGCATTTTACGGATGGCTAAAATATGGGCAAAGTAGTGTGAATAAAAGTTGTTATTATATGCTCTGGGGGATGCCGCCACCTAAGACCGACCATTCGAAGAATTGCCTTTCACTCGTTACATAGTTGGTGAGTAGCTTTGCAGGGTAAGCAGAGATCTGGTGGCGACCGTGTATCCTGGTGCTTAGCACGATGTGCCACGAGTGAGAGAGAGAGAGAGAGATTTATTGCCACGAAAACAAAATCAACACTAATATAAACATAATACAATAACGAAAATATTCCACAGTAATTGATTATTGCTTTGTGCGGGTCGGTGTGCAAGACCGATTAAAGTCATCTAGGCTCCCGACCCTTGTGTATGTGCTTTATATAAGTTCATCATAGGTGGATACAAATGAGATTAAATATAAATATATAAAAAATAAATACGAGGAAAAAAGGAAACGAGTCGGCAATTTAATGGTATTATGGAAGTTACTAAGGGCAATTTAGGATTTAGAGAGATCATGTGTTGGTTAAAGCCGGACATGTCCAATGGAAATATTTTCACGAAAAGCATATTTTTTGTTATTGGACACAGACCGGGATCAAAAATGAATACCAAGGACGAAAAATAATATTATCACAGATTCAGTAATAGACATGATGTAAAGTGCATGATGTAAAAATATCATTACTTATCGATCTTGTTCATCGATTTTTGTCTGTTTGTCTGTCTGTTAGATGCAAGCGATATCTCAAGAAAGCGGGGTTTAATCTCCACCCATCATATCACGGACCAGATGGCTATTGATTCTGGTCGAGTTATGTCGTATAGAGGACTTGCACGGGTCACGTGACTTTGTTACTGGACGGCAATAAAACAAAAACGTCCATTTGGCTCCTGTCAGTTGCAAGTCGGATTATACGTTTCCGTTTTGTTTGGCTGTTGAAAATGGTTATTTCGTATTGTTTCGTTGGCTGTACGTATAGTATAGACAACAAAATGGATCTTCAGTTATATTCCACTGTTTTCAAAAGATTCGGAACGTCGCGCAATGTGGATATCATCTATTGGCAGGACTGCTGGGTGTCAAGTCCAGAAGCCATCTCACTTGTGTTTCACTGTTTGCGGACAGCACTTCGTTGATGGTGAGTCATCATGTGCCGTTATCAAATTTTTAAATATTCATAAGCTCCCTCATTTCAATGGAAAGCAGATGACAAAATACTGTTATTGGTAGGCATAGGCGTAGGCCTACTTGCAGACTTGACTCGTGTAAGGTATTAATCAATAATTGCGATAAGGTATTGTTTACCTAGTTAGCAGGTAATCTATCAGTAAGTGTGAAAAGTTGAATAGATAACTGAAGTTTAACTCCAGTGCTAATGCAAAAAATAACCAGAATTCAATTGAATTCTCCATCTAAGAATACGCTCGCCACTGCATCTCTGATCCCCCTGGGAGTTTCACAGGTTCCAATCCCATGCGGGGATAGTTATGTGCGAGGGGATTGCAGCTCTCCTCTCACTGAGGGTGGTTCCCACGACCGCTGGTCGATTACGACATCCCCCACCATCAAGTATATGCTTCTAAAACAAATACCTGGCTAACTAATCCCGACATAGAATGGTAATCGTACGATGTTGCACCTTGCAATCTGTCCCCAACCACAGATAAATTCTATCCTGAAAACTACCCACATTTGTAGGCATAGTTGCGTTTTAAATTGAAAGAAATCTTCATTAATGGTCAGAAGGTGTTGTCTGATTGTTTTGTTAGTTAGCAGGTAATTTATTACTGGTCTGATACACAAACTTGGCACTGTCAAATGATAATTAGTGTTTAATTTATTTTCAGGAAAAAGGGAAGATAACCCATTATCAGCTGCTTATATGTCCCATCGATATTTGAATTTTCGCCATCCCCAGAGAGGAAGAGAATAGTTAGAAAAAGGGGGATTTTGAAGAAAGGCAAAAAGCAGGACCATTTCAACAAATTCTGTTACCTTGTATGCGTTGCAATATTAATTTGCAGTTGTTAGCATAAACATTTAATGTGTCTTTCGACTAGACCTACCACACTTCAAAAAAGCCGCCACCCCTTTTCACTAGAACCATAATACTGTTTAATATTTGATAGAAATTACCCCCGAGGCATCATATCTTCCATTTGAAGGGGAATGGTCGTAACCGATCAGCGGTCATGTGAACCACCCTCGGTGGGAGTAGAGCTGCAATCCTCTCTGGGATTGAAACCTGTGAAACTCCCAGGGTGATCAGAGATGCGGTGGCGAGCGTATTCCTAGATGGCGAATTTAATTGAATTCTGGTTATTTTTTGCATGACCACTGGTGTTAAACTTTAGTTATCTATTCAACTTTTCACACTTAGTAATAGATTACCTGCTAATTAGGGAAACAATACCTTATAGCAATTGATTATTAATTCCTTACCGTCTTACACAAGTCAAGTCTGCAACTGCAAGTAGGCCTACTAATAACAGTAGTTTGTCATCTGCTTTCCATTGAATTGAGGGAGCTTGTGAATATTTAAAGAAATTGATAACGGCACACTATCACCACATTATCACTCACCATCAACGAAGTGCTGTCCGCAAACAGTGAAACACATGTAAGATGGCTTCTGGACTTGACACCAAGCAGTTCTGCCAATGCAATAGGCAGTAGATGATATCCACATCGCGCGACGTTCCGGATCTTTTGAAATCAGTGGAATATAACTGAAGATCCATTTCGTTGTCTATACTATACGTACAGCCAACGGAACAATACGAAATAATCATTTTCAACAGCCAAACAAAACGGAAACGTATATTCCGACTTGCAACTGACAGGAGCCAAATGGACGTTTTTGTTTTATTGCCGTCCAGTAACAAAGTCACGTGACCCGTGCAAGTCCTCTATATTTAGGGAGCTATTAATTAATTGGTGTTTGGGCACACGATGTCACTATAGAGTCATGAATCGAAACCGCAGTTTTGATCGATAAGTCTTTGGTCTCCGACCGATACTCTCGTTTGACACCTTAATTAGTTCACGATATGAAAAGGTTATTGAATTAAAAGTGGCTACCAACATTAAGTATTAATTCATACTTGAGAAATAGAATAGTAGTTAATATATGATCCACAGTTGAATATACAATAACTATGCAGTTCATCAGTAATACCACAATAACTTTTAATGACATAAAAAAGGTAATTACAGTATATTAGGCAGTACTATATGGATCAAGGGAGCAAGATTTTATACTCAGTTACATGGAGAAATGAAAATAACAATGAGCCAATCATATTATCACATGTTTAGCAATAATTCAAAAGATAATAATATCAATAACAATGGCTTTTAAAGTCGAACATAGTAATCATCAAATTGATGCCAATGAAAGAGAAGAGGACAGCAATTTTATTATACACATACATGAGTTGGAAAAAAGGGCTATGACCCTCAGTGTGCAGTGTTTATATGAAACAGTTAAATTTATGGTAATGTAGTAATTTATATAATGCAGTTTTCAAAGGCATATTATTTAAACTACAGATATTAGGACAAGTTAGAATATTTCAGTAGGAAATATTTTTTCAGTTTCTTACTGAAAACATGCACAGAACTTTTTTGAGTTTCAGGTGGAACATTGCCCCAGACCTGTACACCCATATACTTCAAAGATGTTTTGTCCACCTCAGTGGACACTTGTGGAGTAAAGAAAACATTGTTTCTTTGGGACCTGGTGCAGTAATTGTGCACTTTTTTTAATGGGGTGAAATAATGTTTAAAAACAGGAGGGACAAGGTCATTTTCATACCGATGCATGAACTTTACTATTTCTAGCGTATGCATATCAGACAGCTGTAGGAATTCATACTGGTAGTAGAGCTGCAAATTAGTTACACGAACTTTCTCTGCAAATGCCATACATCGTAAAACCTTGATGCTGAGCCCCAACTTAGCAGACCATATTGCAGACGTGAGTGAAATAGACTAAAATATACTAATTTAAGTGTTTTAGATTTCAAAATATGTCTTAACCTGTAAAATATTCCAAGAGTTTGCGATAATTTCTTGGATAACTCGGCAATATGTGGCTTCCAACTGTATGTATGTATGTTTATTCGTCTCGTAAAAGCAATATAAAAGAGTAAGTAATTATAAATACTGAAGACGGGATGTATGCACAAGACCATATTGGCCTAAAACACAGATGTGCGGCACACACCCCTTTTGATATATATAAATTATAATAGGGTAAATCAAATATGTACAATATGGTTCTTTATACAGGCAGTTAGTTGTGCAAGGAGGGTGGGTGGATGTGGTAACAGGGATAAGGGTGGAGTGTACAAAACTGTTTGTACAAAGGAGTTTGTTAGACAAAACAACATCTATAAATAGAGACACAACACAACATGAAACACACTGCAATTTGGATGAATGTACAACACCATTGAGTGATGATACCACATACTATAAAACGCGGGAATGGTCAAGTTTAAAGGGTGTGTACATATATGGTATGCACCACTCAAGGGTGACAGTGTTATAAGTGGTCTATGGCTGTTCTGGCCAAAATTAATAAAAAGCATTTCCACAAAACCTATTATGGTTGCATTTCAGCCAGAAGATTAGAAAGATATAAAGGTACAGTGGGATAGGAAATGATAAGTTATAAAGAGAAGCCATTTTACCATGTCATGGATTTTCCAATGTAAATTAAAATAATAAAATTATATGGTATCCTGAGATGAGCAGAAGAAAAAGTGTGATTCGGTGATAGGTAGCAACAATGGAAATAAATTGAACAGCATGCTACTCAAACAAAAACCATTGTCTACTACTCTCCCTACTATTTGAGCATTGAAGTTCTATTGAATTGTACTATCTATAACCTAAATTGCTGTGCTTTTGTTGTTGTCTAATTACGCATGATAATGAAATTAGAATGGTGTGCTAGTTATTAATTCAGTCCATTGTTCTATATTGAATCCGGGTGAAGTATCCTGTGGAGTTATTGATCAACTCAGTTCGTCATCAATTGTAATTCCCAAATATTTAATGGATTTTGTTTGTTCTATAATGTTGCTGCCAATGTCAACTCTAAATGTGGAAATACCTTGCTTTTTATCACAGAACAACATAATTTTTGTTTTAGAATAATTTGTTCGCTTTAAGCCAATTATCGGACCTTCTGGGGTTCATGATTCACCACAGTTTGGAGTTCTAAACCACAGGATGCTGATTTTAGCAGAGAAGTATCATCGGCAAATAATGTCGAATAAAAAGTAGATGCCAAATGTAGATCGTTTATGTAGCATAAAAATAACAGCGGGACAATCGTGGAACCCTGGGGGACCCCACATTCAATAAGGCCCATTTCAGAGATACAATCCCCATATTGGACATATTGTTTGCGGCCACTTAAATATGGTGCAATAAGATGATATGCCTTTCCTAGAATGCCATAATGATATAACTTATCTAGTAAAATTTGGTGGATAACAGTATCAAAAGCTTTCGCAAGATCCAAAAAGATGGCACATGTGATCTTGTTATTGGCCTTATTTTCTATTATCATTTCTTTGAGCCGCGCTATGGCTAGCTCAGTTGAATAGTTGTTTCGGAAACTAAACTGGGAAAGGCTCAAAGTTCCATGTTTATCGAAATAATATTTGAGACGATGATATAAAAATTTTCCATAAATCTTGGCAATTTGTGATAGCAGGGAGATAGGCCTATAATTATTCGGATCATGCTTAAGACCCTTTCTTATGGAGCGGTATCACCTTAGCTATTTTCAGTATATCTGGATACACATGATCTGTAAAACTTTGATTAAAAAGAGAGGATAAAATTGGCGATAAAACAAGCTTGGCGATTTTGAACATTTTCACTGGTATATCATCACTACCTACAGCTTTATTACTATCTAATTTATCTATTTGTTTTTCAATTTCCAGTGGTATGGTATCACGAAGAAAAAAGGATTCACTGATGCTTGGTCCAAGAGTATGCATGTGGCTGTTCACAGCTGGACTTATTTTTGACGCAAGCATTGGACCAACTCTTAGGAAATGATGATTCAGGGCAGCACAAATGCCAGTACCATCAGAAATTTGCTTACCATCACTTATAATATAAGGTGGTAGTTTGTTAACCTTGGAATAATTACCAATTATTTTGCGACGTAGCGTCGTATTAGGTCAAAACCTCCATGGAGCATATTTCATATCAATTATGGGAAAGGAGTCCAACAATCCTCTCCCGCTATATTTGCGTCTGTGGAACCACACAACTTTTCTGTCGAGAAAAATCGTTACGAATGAGAAAGAAACAAACAATAACACAGCAAATATGAAAAAATTCAATAATTTATTTAAAAAAAAAAAAAATAAAACATCAAAATACAGGTGCGAACAAAGATTTCATTCCAAGAGAAGAACGAAAATAACGTACATTCGACATATAGATGGAGACCAGGGTTTTGAAGAGACCAATAGGTTCCCATATTTATCAACATCAATTTGGGTGCCACCCTGTTATGAACCACATCTACACCGAATGCCTATTTTTTAATTAACCTAAACAGTGACCGTAAGGAATAATTTGAAGGAGTTCAACGAGGCTAACAGGTGGTAAGCCGAACAAAAAACGTATTTGTACAAAATCACTCTACAATCAGAGATACAGCAGGAGGAATTTTACTTGAGTTAACGATACTCTAACAGAGGTTAAATTCAATATTTCTCGAATTTCAATTATGAGTATTGGCAAAGGTATCAAAATTGTGTCAAACAGAAGAATATAAATGCAGACGAGAGAGACCAATATAAACAAATGAAGTAAACAGGACCAGAAAAGAAAATGATCAAAATAGTAATTCGCACGCCTTCAGTTTTGTAATAAGCAATCCAGAAGATGAAAGCAGAGTTTTTATCATAGTGCTATAGGAAATCCACTCACAGAAAACCAACCAAAAATATGTCATGGAAGGTTCCGCACATATAAAAATTTACCCTATTAAATTTATCATCCAGACAAAATTAGACTCTGACCATCCATTGTCTTTTTTTGGGAGGGGGGGGGGGTGATTTTGTGAGTATGATTTCTTCTCAGCAATTGAAAGAGGCCTAATAAAAGAATGTGAATTGAAATATATAAAATTGGTCAAAGGTTTATGAAGGGACAAATCATTGTAACAATCTTTGTAAAGTGGGCATATCAAAAGTTTATTACGCTCGTTATTGATGTTACTGTTATGATTTATTTTTGAGAACACAAAGACATGAAAACTCCATTGAGTGTCTTCACGCTTCACAGCATTAAAACAATTATATGTGAATAATAAAATACTAATCTAACAACCTTAACCTTTTTAATTTTGTATGTAACTTAATGAAATCTTGAATTGATTTAGTCAGGTAGGCAAATGAAAAAGTACTTATTAGTTCAGCTGTAACAGTTTGTTTTAGAAAGTACCACTACCAGTAAGCCAAATTTTCTGAGTTATTTCTAAAATTACAAAATAATGTTATTTCAGGATATGGAGTTAGTTCTTAATACAAAATATTAAGGATTTTTGCGTACCATAAAAACAGTGATGATGGGATGGAGATGAGTAAGCACAGTGTCCTAAGGTTATATCTTTTAAGCAATATTCATTAAACAATGTTAGCTGTTATACGAGATCTACGCAACATTTCCGCTTGGATTAAATTTTGTGCCGTTAGAAGCAAAATGTCTTCTTAGAAATTCAAATTATTAAAATTTCCTTTCTATTTTTGCTAAGAAATCATAATTTATGCCAAACCTCATAGTAAAAAATTAATTACGATCAACACAAATTATTAAAATTTGGTACAATAGTGGGTACTCATAGTGAAGAGTACTCCTTACCCAACAAAGATGCCAACTGAGATACGAACCATATTCAGGTAAAAAAAATCGCAACAAAAATGGCTGACATCTTTTAATGAATTTTAGTACTTGAATCAAGTGAACACAGATATGCAGACAGAGCATAAATCTATTGGAGACAAAGTTTGGAATAAAATCCCATTTCAATTACTAGCAAATGTTGGTGAATTTTCCGCAGGTTCAGTAAAGGATAAAAATAAAATTCAAGCATATTCCAGAAAATAGAATTGAAAGAAATCTATCTCTACCAACCTACGGGACAGAAAAAAAAAGAGGAAAATTCTCTTACCAAGCATTCGGGTGGTCTTAATCCAGGAGATATTATAGTAAAATAATGCTGGATATTAAAGGTATTTTCACTTTGACAAAGTCACGATAAACTCAATTGAAACCTGTGAAACTTATAGTTGAAATTCCCATCAAAAACATAATGAAGATGAAAAAAATAATGAAAAAGGAGGTGCCACAGCAATATTAATACGTTCAAATTAAAGAAAGAGGTTAAAATTTGATTATGAAAATAAACAAATGAGGAAAACAGTTTATTAATAATTCGGAAAACTGTAGCGATATGATTTATTTAACTATGCAAGAGGAACGACCTTTTCTTCTTTTTAGAAATAGTTACAGGATTGTCATATAAGCGATCGAATTACGAAATGACTGTTTTTTAGTTTTATTAATTTTATCTGCCGTTACTGAAATGAATACAAGAAAAAAATTGACATTGGCCACAATTTTGCTTCTCAATGATCTACCCCGATTACTCGAAATAAATTTTGAACATTTAGATATAGAAACTCCTCCTACTAAATTTGCTTCTTGCAGGATATATTAGAATTAGAGTACTATTAATAAGTATTAATCAAAATGAGAAAAATTTGAAACATAAAATATCAATATATGCAGATATGCAATCAATCTTCATCATAATGAACAACCAAGAATTTCACTGTGCCAAATGAAAAGAATGAATGTAACTAATAGCAACAGAGTTCAATGACATAAAGATAACTCAAGAATTTTAGTTCAGATTTATAACCACACCAAGCTTTCACAGACGCTACAATATAATAAAACAAAAATAAGACGAAAATGAGGACGTAGTAAAAATAAACAAAGTATAACATTGGGCGCTCAAGGAATGTGTGTACCATTATGGAGATAACTAATTTTGCTCGCCTATTTTAGATCAAGTTGTGTAAAGGGACTGAAACCTATGGGCAGGGGTTATAATCATTGGCTAACACAGACAGTACCCGAAACTCGTAATAGAACTAAAATAAGGTAAATCGGAATAAAATTATGGCCTAACCCTAACCTGGTACACACACTACGAGAGTACCCAACATTGTGTGTGTAAGATAGTTCCTTCTTATTGTATCTTTACGTATTGTATCTTATCCATCATCCTTACTTTATCCACTATGATTTTTATGGAATTTCATTCCTCTGTCATTTTCAATGTCATTTTCATTAGGTAAGCTTCTTACAAAAGTACAGATTGCAAATGAACTTAGTCTGGACGATAAACTGGAATCTTAGGTATAAATTCTATCAAAAGAACCTGTAACAAAATAAATAAGATGAATTGTGATTCAATCTCCATTAAGACATTCAAGTTCAATCTAGTGGTGAGTGCATTGATATTGACATCTGAGTTATTAAAAATAACTTCTACAAAGAGCATAGTGGAATCTCTGAGCATCAATGGCTGCTAACTGACATTGCTTATATATTTATGAGATATGCAAATACAATTCTCTGGGGACAACACCATGAATTAAAAACTCTTGGCATTTCCAAACATTCATTAAACTTGTGATTAAAAAGTTATATTAGCAATAAAGATAAGATATGAGTTTCTGTCATTATCTCTATTCTCTAGTGAGGGGAAAGATGAAAGGCATAGACAGGTCGCAGGTCGGGGAGGGAATAATTAATCTACTAGTTTATAGTGCATGGACCTTGGCGCTGGGGAAAGCAATAACTAATCAGTGGGAGCATAAACAACCCTGCAGTGATGAAGAGGAGTACAGCAACCCTCCAGTCTAGCATATTTTCTCCTCTACAATATTTCAACCACTGCTTACTCCTCTTGTACATAAACCAGTGTTGAGACGGAAAGCACAATTCTAACATGTAGCTTGGTGTGCCATCAGGCCTCGTGGTATTGACTTATATCAGTCATACTGGCCATAAAACTAAAATAAAGAAACCATTTTTTCACCACTGGTTAATTTTGGTACAAAACTTCTAGTATAAAGAGTAAAAAAGTTTTCACACATTTATATTATTAATTACTTACATATTCTAACATTGCAGTGTTACTATGTCGTTCCTTTGATAATTTCCAATGAAGACCAAGCTAAAGTATAAAAAATAAGGTAATAAATGAGGGAACACAAAGACAAAACAAAATATCAAACTGGGAATTTTTCACATTTGAATACTATAAGCAAAAAGGTGCATAAATTCATGCATAGATGTCCTAAACAAAACAAATTCTTAAGTTCAGGAACATCTAAGAATAGTTTTATTTGAAAAATTAGCATTTTGAGCAGTTAAAGTCTCACAGTGTGAGCAAGACAGCGTTTATTCAATTTTTGAAATCTGAAAAAAATTCAATCAAATCAGTGTTGATCGTCAAGTTTCATGCTATTCAAATTTACACTCATTGAATAAACATTGACGAAGAATATTTTCGATACTCTCTTTTCAAAAAAAATGCTATAGAATCGATTCGAAACAGTAGATTATTTGATTTTAGCCATTCCTGTTTCATTTTATACTGATTTTATCAAATCATAATGATAGGCCTAGCTTACAAAGGATTTGTGGTAAATAACAGAGACTATACTTGGAAAAACACATGCAAGCAAAAAGCAAATTCTACCTGGAAAACTCACTAATCAATTACCAATTTCTATTTCTACAAATATTCTGCACGTTACATAAATATTGTCATATCATGTTTGTGTAAAATTAGAATTCATTTGCATATCATTTTCATTTGGATTAAATTTACTATAAAATTAATAACAACTATAATACCAGAAATTAAATTTAGATAATTCAATAAGCAGAAATCCATATACCCTTATACTGTCTACCATAATCAAGAATAGTTATTGGTGTATAATATAATGAATTTCATTTAATGTTACCAATTGCAAATGGAATGTTTTTATACAATAGACAGTAGTACTGATATGCATTTACTTTGAAAATGGTGCTTCTGTTGTGAATAATGTGTTATATCCAAGTTAGGCTATCTAGGTATTACACGACCCATGAATATGATATAATACTAGTGTCACCAATCCTTACCATTGTCCACCATAATTGTAAAATTTGAAATTCTAGAGTTATGTTTCGTAATAATTTTCCCATTAATCCAGATTTCAGTTTGGAAATAACTAATTTACTAAAAATTCATTACTTCAACTCTTAATTTTTTATTAATTAATGAAATATCATTACTTTGAATCTTGTTTTAACTAAATTCTTTCACCAAACTTAAAATGCATAAAAGAACCAGCATAATCTATCCCAATCATAGTCATTATTAATGGGGCAAAATCATCACAGAAAATCTAAATTCGATCAATCTACTTTACAGGATTATAAGCACAGAACATAATATAATCAATAAGTTCAATATTATTACATAATCAATACTGAAAAGTCATGAGTATTTGTATATCCAATTACAATATTGGGAAGGTGTTGATAAATGAATAATAATATTGGGATTCCCTATCTCTTTACACAACTTTTATCAATGAATTAGAAAGTAGTGATTTTTGGCTATTTGTGTCTCTATCTGAAGTGTAACTCGTAATTTGAATGTATAATTTCAGGAATGGGACATTTGATTACCAGAGGGCATTAGATCGCATGTCATATGGGATGAAAAGTGTATAGGGAATATAGCTGTTGACATATAGAAACCATTGTGATGGATATATTTAAAAATAATATATTGGAATATGGCATATCATAGTAATGCATGGTTTGATTAATATTCTATTTTTTATAATTTTCAAGGTAAAACGAAAGGCTTTTCGATCTTGGACAACTGCCTGAATTTAATAATATTTAATCCAATGGTCCAAGTACTCGCTTTAGGCTTCCACCCGACCTATTGCAATTGAGCTCTGTACATTGCTGATCATTGATCCATGCTTGGAAAGCACATTTAATACAGCTTAGTTGGAGCCATATAAAAAATGATCCCCTAATCAAAGGTGTAATTTATCAAGTAAGCAATGTGGAACATGCAAATTCATGGCCCTTCCAAAAATAACAGATATAAAGTAAAAAAGTCTCATAATTACAAAATCAAGTTAAAAATGATATGAACATATATTTCATCAATAACTTATATAGCTAAAGCACAGATGGACTATAAGTAATATTTCAAGCCAAGTAGCCAACCCACCTTATGATATAATTGCCTATTTTCATGATCTAATGCTTTTCTGATGACAAGTTTTGATCGTTTATTCAAGAAGACGACAGGACAAACAGAACAGCCTAACGTACAACAGCAACATAGACATCCTATAATCAACCATTTGAAATTTAGAGGAACCATTTTCTTTAATATTGAGTTTATTCTGTTGACTGTGGCCCGGAATTCTTCTGGAGCAATCTGTCAAAAAATGTTGAAAGAGTTCGCTGCTAATGTTTTTGAATCTCTAAATACAAAGTAAACAAATAGTAGTAAGGTTGTTTTAAAAAAACATTGCTTCACTTGGTTATTAAACAAATTGCTTTCAAATTTTAGAAGTTAATAAAGATTGATAGTTTATTATGTTTTTAAATTTTCTTTGGGTTACCGAGACTCAGAGGCACTATGACTACACATTGATTATAAGCTGATTCCTTCAGGAGAGCTATTTCATACATTGTTAATGTCATCTTGAATTAAAGGTAATGGCGGTTCCTGTCCTATATTTAACATACTGTAGTTTACCAATACACAAAATTAGAAATCTTTATTAAATTAAATCCAATTAAATGAAAATCTTGTATTAATGTGATTAATATTACGATGTGTGTTCGGAGCAATAGTCGTCAATCATTATATCAACAAAGATGTACATGTACAATGTCTAAAGAATACACTATGAAATACGGATCGGGAATCACCATGTTAATATGCTATCAATTATATCAAGAGTTTATAGTTGGAACTATGAAGAGTACATATACAATGAAAGTACAAAGTACACAAGATATCTTCTTGTTTGCATTGCTGTGTGTGTATATAATTCTGACTATTGGAAAGTTGAATGTTCAATATCAATCAATTATTATTTCACTCAAATCTTTAAAAGGTTTAATACCAACACTGTAAAGAAATGATGGGAATCATGGCATAGTTTTGAACAAACCACAAAAAACTACTCTATGTAAAGGTGACTCACTCTTCCTATCAAAGCTCCAGGAAACTCATTCTCAAATCGATTGCTGAGACCAAATCTGTCAATATAAATATATACTTTTGTAAGTTCATACAAATTTAATTACAATCTCGAAATCTTGGTGAAGGTTGGACACATTGCACAAAAATCAGTAATTATTACTGTCAATTTTCAATTACCGTAATTCAAATACTTACACTGTCAAGTGACCAGAACCTTTCACAACAATTGGATCAGGAACAGTAATGAGTGATTCCTCTGAAATATCTGAATCACCAGCATCTTCTGCAATTTCAATATCATCAAAATCCACTCGTACATCCATTGCAGGTAACCACTACACTACCTCCCAATTGAAGCTAATTAAGGAAAGCAATATAGGACTATTAAGAAAAATGTGGATTTTTATCATGAAAAAAATGGGCATAAAATATAACTGTAAAAATATGGTAGCGTGTTAAGATTCTCAACAACCGATTTTTCTTGTTCCTAATCTAATTCTGGATTTTAAAATTTTACCTGCCATTGGTTTTCAATTTGCTGCCGCAGTAACGGCAGCCTGTCATTGGTTTGTGGCAGCTAAAAAGTCAGTCGCCATAGGGTTGGCCGTAGCGGCCATGGTATGAAAATACCGTCAAGGTTTTGCGGCAGCTGCAGACGTCACAGAATACTTAAAACTGCACTTGAAATATATAGTTTAAATTGTATAGCGAAAAATTTCACAATTTTAAAGCAAAATAAATTTATTCAAATAAAAGGGGAAATTTACAAAAAGTAATTTAAAGCATCTAAATATGACTGACATTTTCAAACCAAACTATTACTTCATTACATACAGACATGTGAAGCTTTTTTTCAAGTAAGTTAATTATTCCATTAGTTGACTCAACCAGGAGTCAGAACCATAATCCTATATTCAGATCTGCAGATTTTAGAAAATCAGATATAGGATAGAAATATAAAACAGTAAAAGAATTTATATGATTCACTATAAATTACCGGTATGCTCATTGCTGCATTGTTATGTTGGGGGCTCATGTAGTTTCGTAACTAACGTACTTCTAGTGGGCGTAGCATAACAGCATAACAATTTTTTCACCCGTCAATCCTAACCCCCACCTGACTACGCCATCAAAAAATTACGTCACTACGACGTCACAGTGACGCAATAGAGCCCTTCAAACTACCGTATACGAACTGTCATCAGGGTTGCCAGACCCCAGCGATCAAAAAATGCCAAATCAAGACATAAAAAAGCCAGAAAAAGCCAACAATTTTACTAAGTACAAAAGCCCCATGATTTGCCAGATTTTAAGCCCTTGGCAACGTACTGATGATGATGTAGAGCCATCAGTTCATTCAGTGAGGCACACAAATTGAACTGTAGAAAGTAAAATAAATATCAAGCGGGCAGCATTATTTTACCATTCAATATATACAATACAGGGTGCCGCTTCAGTCTGTCAGTATGTAATATACCTACAATATGTTTCTACTTAAACTTGTGATACATCTTAAAAAATTCTCCCTATATCGTACTTTACTATTGAAATTTTTTTCACTTTTAAAATTTATAAACCATCAATTTTATTAAAAAATTATCTGACCCCCTGCCGCTCACAGGTGGACCACTGATATCTAATTCAGTAATTTTAGCGTAGTTAATCACATCGTTATTGCAATTGCAGAATTAAACTAAAGCTGAAAGCTCACATAAACCATATCAGGCCTAATGAAAATTGAGTTATACAACTATTTTTTGGAAACAGAACGTAAACTGACAGCTGACAAATAACACGCAAAACTATAAAAACGAGGCAATGTTTACAACCCTGCTTGAACATCTGTCTGCGCAGCTGCAGAAACTGCACTTATTTCTTATTGGGTATGGGTAAGAGTTAATGTAACTAACAAGGAAATCGACTACAGGAGTGGTGACTCCTCTACGGCCCATGGGCTGGGGCCACGGCCCATCTAATTGGGCCACATTTTCCTGATGGGGCCGTGGCCCATCAAGCTATGGGCCACGGCCCCATCAGGAAAAATTCAATTATCTTAACAAAATTTTCAATTTTTACCAAATTGTCAATATTCGAACCAAAAAAATATACTCCTGTAGTATGTGTACCAGGTTAGGGTTAGGACAAAAAGAAATTCAGATTTTTTACATTATCGTTCTATTATGAGTTCGGGGACTGTCTGTGTTAGCCAAGTGAATAGTTTCTTTACACAACTTGATGGGCCACGGCCCATAGCCTGATGGGCCGAGGCCCAATTCGATGGGCCGTGGCCCCGGCCCATGGGCCGCAGAGGAGTCACCACTCCCACTCGAAATCGACGCTCCAGGAAATCCTAATGTTAAGTAGCTAAGTACAGGTAATAGGCTATTGTTCAGTTGTTACACACTAAATATTCTATTTCATATGATTTTAATAATAGACACTAGAATAGACATGAAAAAAGCCAAAAAAACGCCAAAAAGCCAAACGGAAATTCTGACGCCAAACGCGTTTAAAAAAAGCCAAAAATGGCAACCCTGACTGTCATCCAAGAACCACTGTCAACTATCCCGATAGGAGAAAGAATCGCTGACGTTGGTCAGTCCTTTATCGTCAAAGTGGAGGCGCAGTTCTTACCACTTCATGGCAGCTCCTGCCACAAACGAACCGCGGCAGCTCTTGCCATGGTTTTATAGCGCTATTCAGTATTCAGTAATCAGTATTAACGGTATATTCACAAATTAATGTACCAGATTTTAATTGATCATGTGGAATTATATCTACTTAACCCTAACCCTAACCCCAAATCAATCAAAACTGTATCCATAAGAAAAACGTTCCAACTTACCCAATATTTGTCACCATAATAGATAGCCCTGTCTTTACGGCCCACCTGCCGCGGTTACGGCAGCAAAATTTTACCTGCCATTGGTTTTCAATTTGCTGCCGCGGTAACGGCAGCTCGACCATTGAGGTGTATGAGCTCGACATTGGTTTGTGGCAGCTAAAAAGTCAGTTGCCATGAGTTTGGCCGTAGCGGCCATGGTATGGAAATACCGCCATGGTTTTGCGGCAGCTGCAGATGCCACAGAATACTTAAAACTGCACTTGTCAAAGTGAGTACCGGTAACACTTCATGGTCACTTTGTTTATCGTCGGCGCCGTCCTAACCCCCATCTGACTACGCCATCCAAAAATTACCGTACGTCACTACGCTACGACATTACAATCACATTATAAATACGCTCGCCACCGCACCTCTAACTACTCTGCGCGGGTTCGCAGGTTCGAATCCCATGCAGGGATGGCTATGTGCGAGAGGATTGCTGGACTCCTCGCCGTCGTTGGGTGGTTCACGTAACCGCTGGTCGGTTACGGCTTCCTCCACCACCAAGTCCATGCTTCCGAAAACAAACAATACAGTAAATCTAATCCCATACCCGACTTGGAATGGTAACCGGACGAGAGGCCGTGGTTCGCCATATGGATAAGCCGTCTTATCGGCTTTCCTCTCCCCCGGGATAAATATGTAAATACTATCCTACTATAAGGCTTGCCAAATATACGTACAATCGCCCGAAATGGAATTGGCGCCGACGATAAAGAACTGACTGACGTTATCGATCTCTCTCCTATTGGTTGTTCGATTTCGGGTGCTCGTTTGCGCGTCTTGGATGGCAGTTCCTATAGTTTAAAGGGCTCTAATACGTCACTGTGACGTCGTGTTGACGTAATTTTCAGATGGTGTAGTCAGGTGGGGGTTAAGATTGATAAGTGGAAAAAATTGTCATGCTACGCCCACTAGAAGTATATGTTAGGTACGAAACTACATGAGACCCCGGTACTAAACTAGAGAGTGGATACAATGTCAAGATACATGTACGATGGCGTTTCAACTCATCGTCTTACACTCCAGTGAAGTCATATTTCTATACCATGACAGCAATCGATAGGAAAACAAGACTAATGGTGTCAAAACAACTAGTGGAAATTGGGCGCTCTTGTAGTATGTGAACCAAGATGGCGGACACCTAAACATAGTATGTGTACCAGGTTAGGTTTAGGCAATAATTTTATTCCAATTTTCCTTATTTTTTTAGTTCTATTACGAGTTCGGGGACTAGTCAAGTAACCTCGTAGTATTTGTACCTGCAATTATGGCCTAACCCGGTACACATACTACGTTCCGATGTCCGCCATCTTGGTTCACATACTACGGGAGTACTGGAAATTGTTGACAAATGTACATTATGTCGCATATATTGTACACTTATTGGACACGTAGTGGACATAACGATCGTTTCAATATTATGTTGTTGTTGTTCTTTGACACGTTTTTAAAAAGTCGCTTTTCTCTTCGAATACTGGACCAATTGCTTTGAAATTTTCAGTGGTTAAAGATAAAAATTTTCTCCAGAAGGCTATTACTTTTTTTTTCGCTATGACGTCATCAAAATTATGTGACTCTACGTGTCCATATATTTGAGCATAGCTCTCTTGTTTATATATGTTTTATCTATCAGAAGTTCATTTTGCCTTGTTTTCATGTCCACCTTCATGCACTTGCTGTTGGCGGCCATAATTCAACTTCTCACAATGCCATATTAATTAAACTGAAGTATGTGTGTACATTGTCATATATGGCAAACAAATAAACCCCGTGATGACGAGTTGTCTTATTCTTATCTTTGTCATATATCTATCATATAAAATAAATATAAAAAAAAATAATTTCATATTACGCATTTAGAACTGTGAACAATCTCGATGAATTTTCAATATTGATTACTTCATTTAGCCTTTGTGTTTTAAATTTTAAGATTTCCATCTCTCATTATCTTTTTTACATAAACCCGGATTTGTACTGTACTGCAACATAAAAGTTCAACGCAATACATAACACGTGTTTTATCCTGTCCGGAAATTATGTTTGTCTTTTAATCTTTATCGGAATGACAAATAAAAAACGATTTGATTGATTGATTGAAAAATCCACATTTTTGGTTATACACTTCGTACGCTATCAATTTGTAACCCATTACTCCACTTGTTTACAGACGTACTGTATTATATAGCCTATCACAAGTGAGAGGAAGATTAAATATACATTGTTACGTTGTAGTTTTATGGGCTGTACGTTTTAGCAAGATGACCCCAGTCTAGTAAGTTACAACGCTGAGTTACGACTACATACAAAAAGGTTCTTGTTTTGAAACTTCTGCTAGCTGCTAGTCGCAGGGGTGGGCAACTTCTCTAGTCGGCGGGCCAGATGTGAAAAAATAAAGCCCTCGGCGGGTCGGATTATTACAAAAAATACTTCGGTATCCAATGTTTGGTAAATGCTCGACACTCTCTGTCAACTTTACGTTTCTTGGGATATTCCATGGTTATTAAAACTTAATATAAAATCTAATTTCTTGGGTTCCAAATATAACTCATAACAGTAGTGGGGAATGTTTACAACGCTCTCTGCTCTGACCTTATATTGATTGCTTAACAAGTTTGCTAACGCAATTGTTTGTTCACTAAAGCAATTGTTTATTTCACCAGCTCGCACTGACAGTGCGGTGAGAGTGGAGCGATCGGCAACTTTCATGAATGATGCGTCGGATCCAACTACTAACATACCGGGTCGGACCACATTACAGAGTGTGGTTGGATACAGTCAGCGGGCCGGTCAAAATCTTGTCGCGGGCCGTATGTTGCCCACCCATGTTAGCAGGTAACATAAATTAATGAATAAAATTAGAACGTGGCAAGTGTAATCTTAATGTAAGAAATCTTTCCTGCTCTTATCAGTATAAGTCCGCTGTGTTTCAATTTTCTGTTACACGATAGATTCTTTTGTTATATGGTATAAATACCGGAAGTTGTTTAAAGAAACTGTAAATAACATATTATGTGTTTGTTCTCATAGAAATGGTATTAAAAGAATACAACAGACTTATTTTTGAATATCCTGTTTGAAATTTACCTCCATTTTCAGATAGCAGGTTTCAGACATGGATTTTTCTTGTTTTTATAGGCAATTACCTCTCAATTAGATGAAATAGATTGATATATCTACACAAGTAATATGATGAGGTTTTGCCCTCTCCAGTGCATCAAATCAGCTAAAAACAATGCTGAAAAAATCGCAGTCACCATTTTAAACATGGACACAGGATGTGATATTTCGCAGTCTATATTTCACCGGTTGTGGGATCAGGCAATCTTTCGAGCTTGTATTGATGGTGGAGCAAACTTCGTGCATGACATTATACATAAAGATACAACTTGTGGCTTCACAAGACATATGCCTGATTTTGTGTGTGGCGATTTTGATTCCATCCGCCCTGAGGTGAAACAGTTCTATGAAAGTCAAAGCGAGACAGTAGTAACGCAAACACCTGATCAGGATGCAACTGATTTTACGAAAGGCTTGCGTTTGATAGCAGAGAGACTTCATCAAAAAAACCTTGATATTGATGTTATTGTAGCATTAGGCGGGAAACAGGATAAACTCGACCACAGTATGGCAAATATTGACTCTTTATACGCGGCAATGAAATTTTTACCACGATGTGTTCGAACTTGTTTGATATATGATTCGTGTTATATATGCTTGTTACCTATGGGGAAAAGTGCAATTGAAGTAAATACTGGTATGGAAGGCGATTGGTGTGGGCTAGTACCGATTCGTCGTCGAGTTACATTGACAACAACAGGATTACAAAAAAACTTCAATAATGATAAACTTGAATTTGGAGGAGTTGAAAACGTGTCCAATAAATTAGATGGATCAGAAGAAGTAATTGTTGAAACCGACCACCCACTTGTGTGGACAATGCATTTTGAAGCATAAAAATATTTTTTTCGTTATATTAGTTTATTTATATGTTTTTGTGTAAACTTTCAGTTTCTTTTTGTAAACCTCTTATCTTATCCTAAATGTGTTAAGTAACTGTGTATTCTAAATCAGTGACTCTCCTTTTCTTCGTCTGATTTGCATTTGGAAATTTTTGTGTACGTGAATATTTTTAAATATTTCACTTTTAGACAATCTTTAGGTTAATTTCATTATTATTATAGATATACAATGTTCAAAAATGGTTAAAGTGATCATGTGATGTCAGATTCATATTATGCTATGGGTTAGAAGGTCAGAATACTTATATTACTTTGGCTATAATACAGAAGATTAGAGTAATCATATACATTGAGATTGATTGATTCGACTAGAATTCGATATTTTATTTCAACATAAGCCAGTGTCGAAAATTTTTTTCACAAAGCAGTGGAAGCAAAAGGATAAAGAGTAAGTATGAGAATTTAAATCGCTAAGTTATGCAACACATTTTTATTGCCAAGTTATTCGTCCAAAACTGCAACCTATTATAAATATTAACTTATCTACGTTTCAACTGCCATTATTAGAATAATTACTGTTACACTGCACACAACCCAGTTACTACTAACTACTTAGTTAGATTTAACTTTCCTCATTACCCGGTAGCCTATATTTCGTTAGCATGTTCTTTAAACATGTAACATTGGCCAATCAGCACGATACAAAAGGTGACGTAACAATATATCCTTTTGCATCCGATCAGAAACTTTTGTCGCTCGGACGGATTTTCAGTCACGGTTTTTAAACAATGCCTCGTTTTCGCGATTCGGAATTCTATTCGATAGTTTTTGGTGGTGATTCTCAAATTCAGTATGAATCGAATAAGTCAATCGTCATTTTGCCTTAGGAGCTGTAGTTTAATTGCAGTAATCAAAAATTGTCTAAAAATAGCTGTGATGAAACGTAACGTTTTCTGCGAGGGATGCGCTCGTACACTCGTGGCGCGTGCCTTCGGCGAACCTGTTGCTGTGTACGTTTCTCGTGCTAAAATGAACGTCGAACGTGCATTTTGCGCTAATAGTACAAGTCACGTAAACTTTTTTACTGCTCACATGCGGATATTCAGGACAGCGGCTGTTTTGCTAACAGCTAACCTCAGGATAGCTGTCTAGAAATCTTGTATATTTGTTTTGCTATGATGTTCTTGATCTACATTCTGCGATATAGAATTTAATATTCAAATCTTGAGAAATGTAGAATTTTTATTATTGAATAAATTCAACGTATTTCCCAACTTTTGGGAATTTATTGTATTACATTGACAAAAATATTTGTCCGGGCTGTTTTCAACACAGTTTGAGTCATATCTGGCCCGCGGTCAAAAAAGTTTGGTGACCCCTGCTCTAGGGCCCAAGGGTTGCCATACGCCAGATTTTTCCCTGACATGTCCGAGATTTTAGTGGTCAAATTTGAGTCAGGGAGAAATTAAAGTGCTGAAAGGTCATGGATTTTCTAATACAGTGAATCCCTGATACAAATCCTCGAGTTTTTAGATATTGCACATCCACGAAATCTAATTTTCAGAGATATGTCACATGAAAGCATTTTTGCGAAACTCGGATTGCGTTGCATTCAGATATTTGTGATGTCACATATGACCTGAATTGCCAGCATTTTGTAATAGGTATTTTGTTCGTACTATCTGTACTTTATTCCGTGCCAGATTTAGTCACCAGTGCTAAAGATTAAGCAACAATTTGGCTCCTTTCGGTTTGTTCTGTATTTATTCTATTCTCACGAGAAAGCGACGACAACTTGTACCTTTGGTCCGCTTTGGATACATCGTGCATTTATACCATAATATAAGTGTTTTGGTTGCAAAATTGGTCAACGTGGTACTTTTGTCTTTCCAGATATGGTAACCCTACTCTAGGCAAAGTTTTCTGAGTCCATTCAGTGCGTAACGTCAAGCTTCGTCACGTCAAGATCTGTTTGGAACGTTGTCCTGTCAATACTTTAATAATGTTCTTGAAAATACCACGACTCTCATTGATCTCTACTGCAACCCAGCGAAGAGTCGGTACCCTCCAGTTTAAAAAGCCCTTGGAAGCCCTCCCTTGGATGAAAAAATATCTGATGACCGCGTAATCTTTAATTCAAAATATTCGGTTTGACTTTTTTATAGTTTCAACTTCAAGACATTGTTACTGTAGTTCTCAAACTTTTTTGCTCGCGGCGCACTAAGCAAAAAAAATAATTTGCGGCACACTTGTAAAAAATAAAGTTAGCTTTGAACAAATTATTCAGCAAATGTTAATGCGATGTGTGACAACAACCCTCGTACTACAACGATAAGGCAAATGCAATAATATTTTCAGTCTAATATTGGTCTCACAAGCTTGCCCGTTACATGCATGTCATGTGTAATGCGAATATCTTATTTTCTAAAATTCCAAAAAGCTCCGCGATACACCTGAGAATCACTTGCAGCACACGAAGACGAAATCCTTGCTTTGCTAAGATTTGAGGAATGGCGAATAGTGCTGTACTTGACTTGGTGGTATATTACAGAAGTGACTCGGATCGTTGCTGTTACTGCAGTTGTGAGTCGGACCATTTTTCAATTTCAATTCACGCTGTCACAAGACAGGAACTTCTAATAGGGCAGTTCCGGTATCGTAAAACAGCGCGGTGACACTGAACTAACTCGTAACTGTCTCGTAAAAGCGGGGTTTGCAGTCACTATTATAACTGCTGTCTTTAAATGTTGGTGCTTTTTTGGAATCGGTAAACGTGTTCATATATTTGAGCATAGCTCTCTTGTTAATATTCAATTACAATCAATTGAAAAAATTACAAAACAATAAGTAAAATTGGTACTCCTGAAGTATGCGCACCAAGATGTCGCATAACCTGAACCCTAACCTGGTATACAACCTGAGTTCAGGTTGTGCGCCATCTTGGTGCGCATACTCCAGGAGGTCCGTGAAATTTCTAAATATTGATAAATTTTTAAAACGCAGAAATAACACAACTATATAAACTATAAAATTATTAAGACATATGGAGCAAATTGCAAAACATTTGTCATGGTATACATTTCACGCGGCACCACGTTTTGTAACTCGTTGAATATATCGAATTTAAATTTTTTTCATAAATAATTTTGACGCGAAACAAAAAAATATACTTGTTACAAACTGATCAATCATGAGGTATTTGGAAATGTTATTAGAAGAAGTACAAAAGGCCTGATAAATTGTCGATTACCTTTTAGCATTGACGATAAAATACATCGAAATTAGATTAGATTCAAATTGTGGTGAATTCTCTATTATAGCATATTCGCTTTTAATTTTGCAGTGATTAGTACAGAAAAACCATTAATATGTATTACAGTTATGAAATTGTTGCTTCTACAACTAAATTAAAGTAAAATAATAGATAGAAATATCTGTGCAAAAAGTAGTGAAATTTGAGAAAGGGTGGCTTCCGGTTGAATGGCGCTTCCGGTTGTTGTTGACTCTATTTCTAAAAATAAATTTGTTTATTATGATATGCATTTTTACTAACAGGCATTGATATCAAGTGGTCTTTGTGTGTATTCAATATTGAAAATACTGCCATTTCACGTCAATTATTTTTATGTAAGAGCATGGTATTTGTGAGGACAGTATTTTTTATTCGAAAATATGTAGCAGTTATTTTGCACCTAAAATGTACATATTTTTACTCTTTTCGAACTTAACAGATATATCGTACCAAGGTTTGTTTGAAAAAAATATCAATAGCAAACATAAGCTTTTTCAAAAATGAAGCTTATTCCAAGTACCGGTACATCAAAACCCGTTCATACTAAGAAGTGTGAAATGATGTAAATGGGACTAAATTCTACAAAGTTAAATTAAAGAGGAATAAAATGTGATGTGTACTGGCGTATTGCAGACGAGAGAGAAAACAATTTTTTTTTTCAAACTTTTTCTAAATGCTTCAAATCACACAGTTTTGACAGTTTAAATTGTGATAAATCAACTACCTTCTTCAGGTTCCTCTGTTGGGATTGGCGTCGTAATGATTTTCGGAGATGTTTTTATTGTGGTTGATTCAATAGAAGAACTTGAAGTAATCACTGTTATGCAAAAATGGGTGAAATTATAATATGATTTTCTCAAATCGTGATTACCAGCAGGAAACTTTTACACAGAGTTGAATCAGTAAAGCGATTGTCAAACCGGTTCAGCCTGTAATTTTGTTTGCCATTTTATAAATAAGCCCAGCTGGTTCACGCATACATTAAGTATATATATATAATCATTCAACAATTTTTTTACAGTACGTATCGTTCATATTAAACTGTTTAATTTGTTTATATGTATACATAAAAAACATAACAAAAAAATGTAAATAAGAGTAAAGTAAGCCAAGAAATGTTTGGAAATATTATGAAATCTCATCTCATACGTACCACTGTCTTTTAATTTTACATAAACTTATCTGCATTATTTTCTAGGTAACGTACCTTGATCGCATATAGTCCCATTATACCCGTCGGCGCAAGTGCAAAAGTATGCATTAACACCATCAGTACAAATGCCATCATTCTGACATGGATTCGGTGAACAATCGTCAATGTCTAAATGTATAATACCGCTGAATCATTTCGTTGAGTAAAAAAGATGGGGAAAAACAGGATATTTTTTGAATTGCTCATTGATGGTCATAAATATTATAGAATAAACATACATTATCAATAATTGTACAGAATAGCTTTTGCTCTGAACTAGACTTTACCTTTTCGCAAATGTCACCGGAAAATCCGACTGGGCACGTACACGTAAAACTGTTAACTCCGTCTTGACATTCACCTTCATTTTCACATGGGTTTGGGCTGCAGTCGTCAATATCTAACAAAATACCAATTTGAAGATTAGTGAGAAGATGCCACCAATATGGGTAATGTATAAATAATTACAGTAAACAATGTAGCACGGCAACATAAAATATGATTCTATGTATCAGTATCTATGGCTACACATCGAAAACTGTGTCTATTCTGGAAGTAATCACAAAATATTAATGTCTGTATTTTTAGGTATATACATATAGTTAATACTGTTTTGTTCATAAATGTGATGTTAAGATCCAGGGGGTTTCGATTTGAGAATGTTCTAACATTCAGCAAATACTTTTTTTTTTTTTGTTTTGGATGTTAAACGACCTCAGCAAATGGACAACGTATACCGCGCTGGCAACTATTGTTATATTTGGCGTTTCAAAAGTTATTTATTAGGTTCATGTAGAGCGTGCCATGTATGAAGCTTACGTAATGGTAACATATATTTTCTGAAATGAGGGAATCTGTTGGTAGTGAGTTCGATACAATGATAACCCGTTCTTTAAATTTTGAATACCACCATTACATAAATGCATATACAATTAAAATAATCCATGTATGTAAGCTCTTACTACTTAAAAGTGTCAAGTATAGAAAAATGATGTTTGAATATACAGTGATACCTCGGTAGTCGAACGACTCGATACTCGAACATTTTGGTGGTCGACAACAAAATTCTAATCAAAAATGCTTTTGTACTCGAACGGAAATTCGGTGCTCGAACACTCAAGCGCTGCCGAGTGATCTGACGTCACCTGGAACGCGCATCTCAGCTGCATCTTGACCATTGAACAAGAGAGCGATGCCTAAATAATAATCCTAAATAATATTATATAGACAAAGAAGCCAAAACGGAGTGGTAGTGGGATGCAATCTGTCACGGTAGACTGCTGATACGGCCATCTTTACGACTAATGCAAAAGCCTAACTGCCGCAAGGTGCGCAATTTTTGATGACGTCATCGCACACAAAATTTATCCCATATAACCCCGAGAAATTTGCCCAGACGTACAGTAACTGATTCAAATTTTTCCATGTTTATATCTTTATTATGTTTATCTTTATGACGTACACATTTGAAACCCGAGAGAGCAGAAGCAAATATGCCTCTAATATGATTGGTTCGTAAGTGTTAATATCCTTTACGTATACGTCTTATCGTGAACTATGTCAAAACAAAAGCAATAAGACACTTTTGCATCGTTTTCAAGCATGCTATATGCTTGTCCGAGTGTTCGTAATCAAGGTAGCGTCTCATTTTTCTTCATCATATTTCCGATTTTTTTTGTTTTATGTCTGTAAGTAATTGAAAGCTAAGAAATATACAATAAATCTGTTATTAATTGAAAGAAAGTAATTTAAGCGAGCGCACAATCGTTTTCCGCGCGTAAACAAGTTAGCAATCATTACCCCCGCAAAAGTAAACAAACAATCATTGCGCTCATCGTAACTGCTCGGGAAAACAATCGCTCTCTGTATCGTTTAAAATTTTACGTTTCATTTCGCTTCAGATGGCAAGACTGGTCTCGTTTGAAAGGTGACGTAATGCTCTTTTTCTAGAGTATTTAATGTCGAGTCAATCTCTCTTGTGTTTATCACTGCGATATCAAATACAAAACATTTTTCCATATTTTTTTAAAATTTCTCTCGTTTTCAACGCAACGGTAGAAAAACGTGCACGTGTCTCGAGAAACGGCTGATGTGAAGCGTCGTAAATATGATTTCTAACAAAATATAAGTGAAGTTTCTCGCACGTTTGAAAAAAAGGTTATGACATTTTTGGGAGGCCTATACAAGTTCTCAGTGGGAGGGAGGCTTTATTGGGTTTTAAAAGAATTATCTTTCTTTATATTTGGGTATTTTAGAATGCTCAACAACGAATTAAAATATTTACTAATATTTCTTATGACAAAAAAAGTTTTGGTATTCGAACAAATCGGTAGTCGAACACCAATCCGGAACGAATTATGTTGCGACTAGTGAGGTATCACTGTATTTCAATATTGAGTATAACTCGTTACTGCTTTTAGTTAATCCCATAATCGCAATTATATACCACAATGTGTCACTTGAGTTGGATCTGAGATATTGTGTAAAAACTGCGAGTTTTATTGCATCTTGTGCAAATCCAAAAACCTTCAATAAATGTTCTGATTCACACTAAATTATGAGTATTTGCAAAGATGATCATTGTCTTGAACTAACCTATTGAACATAAAGTTCCATTGTATCCATCAATGCATGTACATGTGAATGAATCGACTCCATCAGTGCAAGTACCTCCATGCTGACATGGATTCGAAGAACAATCGTCAATATCTAAATGTATAATACCGCTGAATCATTTCGTTGAATGAAAAAGATGGGGAAAAGCAGGATATTTTTTGAATTGTTCATTGATAGTCATAAATATTATAGAATAAACATACATTAACAATAATTGTACAGAATAGCTTTTGCTCTGAACTAGACTTTACCTTTTTCGCAAATGTCACCGGAAAATCCAGCTGGGCACGTACACGTAAAACTGTTAACTCCGTCTTGACATTCACCTTCATTTTCACATGGGTTTGGACTGCAGTCGTCAATATCTAACAAAATCCCGATTTGGAGATTAGTGAAAAGGTGCCACCAATATAAGTAAGATGGGAGAAGGCTGGATATTGTTTTGAATTGCTCATTGATACTTATATAAATGTTGTAGAATACACATATATTCTATAAAAATAAATGTACAGAATAGCTTTTGCTCTGAGCTGGACGTTACCTTCTTCGCAAATTTCACCGGAAAATCCGACTGGGCACGTACACGTAAAATTGTTAACTCCGTCTTGACATTCACCTTCATTTTCACATGGGTTTGGGCTGCAGTCGTCAATATCTAACAAAATCACGATTTGTAGATTAGTGAAAAGGTGCCACCAATATATATAAGTAAGATGGGAGAAGGCTGGATATTGTTTTGAATTGCTCATTGATACTTATATAAATGTTGTAGAATACACATATATTCTATAAAAATAAATTTACAGAATAGCTTTTGCTCTGAACTAGACTTTACCTTCTTCGCAAATGTCACCGGAAAATCCGGCTGGGCACGTACACGTAAAACTGTTAACTCCGTCTTGACATTCACCTTCATTTTCACATGGGTTTGGGCTGCAGTCGTCAATATCTAACAAAATACCAATTTGAAGATTAGTCAGAAGGTGCCACCAATATGGGTAATGAATACATAATTACAGTAAACAATGTAGCACGGCAACATAAAATATGATTCTATGTATCAGTAACTATGGCTACACATTGAAAACTGTATCTATTCTGGAAGTAATCACAAAATATTAATGTCTGTATTTTTAGGTATATACATATAGTTAATACTGTTTTGTTCATAAATGTTATGTGAATTATGATTATTTGCAGAGATGATCATTGTCTTGATCTTACCTATTGAACATAAAGTTCCATTGTATCCATCAATGCATGTACATGTGAATGAATCGACTCCATCAGAGCAAGTACCTCCATGCTGACATGGATTCGAAGAACAATCGTCAATATCTAAATGTATAATACCGCTGAATCATTTCGTTGAATAAAAAAGATGGGGAAGAGCAGGATATTTTTTGAATTGTTCATTGATAGTCATAAATATTATAGAATAAACATACATTATCAATAATTGCACAGAATAGCTTTTGCTCTGAACTAGACTTTACCTTCTTCGCAAATATCACCGGAGAATCCGAATGGGCACGTACACGTAAAACTGTTAACTTCGTCTTGACATTCACCTTCATTTTCACATGGGTTTGGACTGCAGTCGTCAATATCTAACAAAATCACGATTTGGAGATTAGTGAAAATGTGCCACCAATATAAGTAAGATGGGAGAAGGCTGGATAATGTTTTGAATTGCTCATTGATACTTATATAAATGTTGTAGAATACACATATCTTCTATTAAAATAAATGTACAGAATAGCTTTTGCTCTGAACTGGACGTTACCTTCTTCGCAAATTTCACCGGAAAATCCGACTGGGCACGTACACGTAAAATTGTTAACTCCGTCTTGACATTCACCTTCATTTTCACATGGGTTTGGGCTGCAGTCGTCAATATCTAACAAAATACCAATTTGAAGATTAGTCAGAAGGTGCCACCAATATGAGTAATGAATACATAATTACAGTAAACAATGTATCACGGCAACATAAAATATGTACCACAATATCATTACCAATTATATACCACAATGTGCCACTTGAGTTGGAGATCTATGGTGGCCCATCGTTGTCACGTGTAAAATTTAAAAAAAAAATGAAGAAATAAAATGAAAAAGCGAAAATAAAAAAATAGTTGTAAAAAAACATAAAAATTATTGAAAAAAAAAAATTAAAAAAAAATTGAAATTAAAAAAAAATTGAAAAATAAAACAAAAAAAAATTAAAAAAAATTAAAATTAAAAAAAAAAATTAAAAAAAAAAAAAAAATTGAAAAAAAAAAATTGGATAAAAAGAAAATAAAAAGGTTGACAACGATGGTTCGCCTCGTGGCCCATCGTTGTCACGCGTTTTTATTTTTGAAAAATTTGATGCTGCTTGGGACCAACGTTGTCAGGCTTAATCCTACACGCACAAATGTGTTTCCTGGGTTTCTAACTCACTACTGATTTTCATGAGCAATATCCAATAAATTCAACATGAAAATGTTCTATAAATTCTCCATGCTACAAGTTCAACCACAAGCAATATATTTATAATAATGATAAGAGAATATAGAATTGGATACGAAAATTTGTTTTTACGTGTAGAAGGTAATTTAATTGGAAAATGCTGCTTAACTGCTCAGACACTCGTGCGATGCCGGTACGGTACCGTCTGACCGTACCGGTACCCATGCAATCACTCGTGAAAGAATGGGAGATACGGATAGTCTCGTAGAATATAGTCTACTGAAACACTCTCTGCGCCTGCCCCATACCGTACAGCCGTAACGTACCGATCCAGACAAATGATAAATCGCCCGTGCTCAACCATTTATTTCAATCCATACCTCGACTCCCTATATTCTACTAGAATCATGGTATGGATTGATATAAATGGTTGAGCACTGGCGATTTATCATTTGTCTGGATCGGTACGTTACGGCTGTACGGTATGGGGCAGGCGCAGAGAGTGTTTCAGTAGTCTATATTCTACGAGACTATCCGTATCTCCCATTCTTACATGAGTGATTGTATGGCTACCGGTACGGTCAGACGCAAAGCGACTATAACCGACTACCGGTATTTGGTAAGATGGTACGGTACCGGCATCGCGAGTATCCAGACAACTGAGTAGTTAAGCAGCATTCTCCAATTAAATTACCTTATACACGTAAAAACAAATTTTCCGAATTTTCGTATTCAATTCTATATTCTCTTATCATTATTATAAATATATTACTTCTTGTTGAACTTGTAGCATGGGAATTTATAGAACATTTTCATATTGAATATTGCTCAAGAAAATCAGTAGTGAGTTTGAAACCCAGAGAACACATTTGTGCGCGTAGGATTATGCCTGACAACGTTGGTCCCAAGAAGAAGCAAATTTTCTAAAAATAAAAACGCGTGACAACGATGGGCCACGAAGCGGACCATCGTTGTCAACCTTTTTATTTTTTTTTTATTCAATTTTTTTTTTAAATTTTTTTTTTTTTTAATTTTTTTTTTTTTTTTTTTTTTTTCGTTTTTATTTATTTTTTTTTTTTAATTTTAATTTTTTTTTTCATTTTTTTTTAATTATTTTTATGTTTTTTTACAACAATTTTTTTATTTTCGGTTTTTTATTTTTATTTTCAATTTTACGCGTGACAACGATGGGCCACCATAGAGATCTGAGATATTGTATAAAAACTGCGAGTTTTATTGCATCTTGTGCAAATCGAAAAACCTTCCATAAATGTTCTGATTCACGCTAAATTATGAGTATTTGCAAAGATGATCATTGTCTTGATCTTACCTATTGAACATAAAGTTCCATTGTATCCATCAATGCATGTACATGTGAATGAATCGACTCCGTCAGAGCAAGTACCTCCATGCTGACATGGATTCGAAGAACAATCGTCAATATCTAAATGTATAATACCGCTGAATCATTTCGTTGAATAAAAAAGATGGGGAAAAACAGGATATTTTTTGAATTGCTCATTGATAGTCATAAATATTATAGAATAAACATACATTATCAATAATTGTACAGAATAGCTTTTGCTCTGAACTAGACTTTACCTTCTCCGCAAATCTCACCGGAAAATCCGGCTGGGCACGTACACGTAAAACTGTTAACTTCGTCTTGACATTCACCTTCATTTTCACATGGGTTTGGACTGCAGTCGTCAATATCTAACAAAATCCCGATTTGGAGAATAGTGAAAAGGTGCCACCAATATAAGTAAGATGGGAAAAGGCTGGATATTGTTTTGAATTGCTCATTGACACTTATATAAATGTTGTAGAATACACCTATATTCTATAAAAATAAATGTACAGAATAGCTTTTGCTCTGAACTGGACGTTACCTTCTTCGCAAATTTCACCGGAAAATCCGACTGGGCACGTACACGTAAAATTGTTAACTCCGTCTTGACATTCACCTTCATTTTCACATGGGTTTGGGCTGCAGTCGTCAATATCTAACAAAATACCAATTTGAAGATTAGTGAGAAATTGCCACCAATATGGGTAATGTATACATAATTACAGTAAACAATGTAGCACGGCAACATAAAATATGATTCTAGGTTTCAGTATCTATGACTACACATCGAAAACTGTGTCTATTCTGGAAGTAATCACAAAATATTAATGTCTGTATTTTTAGGTATATACATATAGTTAATACTGTTTTGTTCATTAATGTGATGTTAAGATCCAGGAGGTTTCGTTTTAAGAATGTTCTTCCATTCAGCAAATACTTTTTTTTTCTGTTTTGGATGTTAAACGACCACAGCAAATGGGCAACGTATACCGCCGCTGGCAACTATTGTTATATTTGGCGTTTCAAAAGTTATTTATTAGGTTCATGTAGAGCGTGCCATGTATGAAGCTTACGTAATGGTAACATATATTTTCTGAAATGAGGGAATCTGTTGGTAGTGAGTTCGATACAAATGATAACCCGTTCTTTAAATTTTGAATATCACCATTACATAAATGCATATACAATTAAAAGAATCCATGCCTGTAAGCTCTTACTACTTAAAAGTGTCAAGTATAGAAAAATGATGTTTGAATATACAGTGATACCTCGGTAGTCGAACGACTCGATACTCGAACCTTTTAGTGGTCGACAACAAAATTCTAATAAAAAATGCTTTTGTACTCGAACGGAAATTCGGTGCTCGAACACTCAAGTGCGCTTCCGAGTGATCTGACGTCACCTGGACCGCGCACCTCAGCTGCATCTTGACCATTGAACAAGAGAGCGATGCCTAAATAATAATCTTAAATAATATTATACAGACAAGGAAGCCAAAACGGAGTGGTAGTGGGATGCAATCTTTCTTGGTAGACTGCTGGTACGGCCATCTTTACGACTAATGCAAAAGCACAACTGCCACAAGGTGCGCAATTTTTGATGACGTCATCGCACACAAAATTTATCCCATATAACCCCGAAAAATTTGCCCAGACCTACAGTAACTGATTCAAATTTTTCCATGTTTATATCTTTATTATGTTTATCTTTATGACGTACACATTTGAAAGCCGAGAGAGCACAAATGTGCTTATAAAAATATGCCTCTAATATGATTGGTTCGTAAGTGTTAATATCCTTTACGTATACGTCTTATCGTGAACTATGTAAAAAAAAGCAATAAGACACTTTTGCATCGTTTTCAAGCATGATATATGCTTGTCCGAGTGTTCGTAATCAAGGTGGTGTGTCATTTTTCTTCATCATATTTCCGATTTTTTGAGTTTTATGTCTGTAAGTAATTGAAAGCTAAGAAATATACATTGAATCTAATATTACTTGAAAGAAAGTAATTTAAGCGAGCGCGCAATCGTTTTCCTCGCGTAAACAAGCTAGCAATCATTACCCCCACAAAAGTAAACAAACAATCATTGCGCTGCTCGAAACTGCTCGGGAAAACAATCGCTCGCTGTATTGTTAAAAATTTTACGTTTCATTTTGCTTCAGATGGCAAGACTGGTCTCGTTTGAAAGGTGGCGTAATGCTCTTTTTCTAGAGAATTTAATGTCTAATCAATCTCGCTTGTGTTTATCACCGCGATATCAAATACAAAACTTTTCTCCCTATTTTTTTAAAATTTCTCTCGTTTTCAGCGCAACGGGGTACAAAGAAACGTGCACGTGTCTCGAGAAACGGCTGATGTGAAGCGTCGTAAATATGATTTCTAACAAAATATAAGTGAAGTTTCTCGCACGTTTGAAAAAAAGGTTATGACATTTTTGGGAGGCCTATACAAGATTCTCAGTGGGAGGGAGGCTTTATTGGGTTTTAAAAGAATTATCTTTCTTTATATATTGGGTATTTTAGAATGCTCAACAACGAATTAAAATAATTACTAATGTTTTTTATGACAAAAAAAGTTTTGGTATTCGAACAAATCGGTAGTGGAACACCAATCCGGAACGAATTATGTTGGACTAGCGAGGTATGACTGTATTTCAATATTGAGTATAACTCGTTACTGCTTTCAGTTAATCCCATAATCGCAATTATATACCACAATGTGTCACTTGAGTTGCAGATCTGAGATATTGTGTAAAAACTGCGAGTTTTATTGCATCTTGTGCAAATCCAAAAACCTTCAATAAATGTTCTGATTCACACTAAATTATGAGTATTTGCAAAGATGATCATTGTCTTGAACTAACCTGTTGAACATAAAGTTCCATTGTATCCATCAATGCATGTACATGTGAATGAATCGACTCCATCAGTGCAAGTACCTCCATGCTGACATGGATTCGAAGAACAATCGTCAATATCTAAATGTATAATACCGCTGAATCATTTCGTTGAATAAAAAAGATGGGGAAAAACAGGATATTTTTTGAATTGTTCATTGATAGTCATAAATATTTTAGAATAAACATACATTATCAATAAATGTACAGAATAGCTTTTGCTCTGAACTAGACATTACCTTCTTCGCAAATGTCACCGGAAAATCCGACTGGGCACGTACACGTAAAACTGTTAACTTCGTCTTGACATTCACCTTCATTTTCACATGGGTTTGGACTGCAGTCGTCAATATCTAACAAAATCACGATTTGGAGATTAGTGAAAAGGTGCCACCAATATAAGTAAGATGGGAGAAGGCTGGATAATGTTTTGAATTGCTCATTGATACTTATATAAATGTTGTAGAATACACATATCTTCTATAAAAATAAATGTACAGAATAGCTTTTGCTCTGAACTGGACGTTACCTTCTTCGCAAATTTCACCGGAAAATCCGACTGGGCACGTACACGTAAAACTGTTAACTCCGTCTTGACATTCACCTTCATTTTCACATGGGTTTGGGCTGCAGTCGTCAATATCTAACAAAATACCAATTTGAAGATTAGTCAGAAGGTGCCACCAATATGGGTAATGAATACATAATTACAGTAAACAATGTAGCACGGCAACATAAAATATGTACCACAATATCATTACCAATTATATACCACAATGTGCCACTTGAGTTGGAGATCTGAGATATTGTATAAAAACTGCGAGTTTTATTGCATCTTGTGCAAATCGAAAAACCTTCCATAAATGTTCTGATTCACGCTAAATTATGAGTATTTGCAAAGATGATCATTGTCTTGATCTTACCTATTGAACATAAAGTTCCATTGTATCCATCAATGCATGTACATGTGAATGAATCGACTCCATCAGAGCAAGTACCTCCATGCTGACATGGATTCGAAGAACAATCGTCAATATCTAAATGTATAATACCGCTGAATCATTTCGTTGAATAAAAAAGATGGGGAAAAACAGGATATTTTTTGAATTGCTCATTGATAGTCATAAATATTATAGAATAAACATACATTATCAATAATTGTACAGAATAGCTTTTGCTCTGAACTAGACTTTACCTTCTCCGCAAATCTCACCGGAAAATCCGGCTGGGCACGTACACGTAAAACTGTTAACTTCGTCTTGACATTCACCTTCATTTTCACATGGGTTTGGACTGCAGTCGTCAATATCTAACAAAATCCCGATTTGGAGAATAGTGAAAAGGTACCACCAATATAAGTAAGATGGGGGAAGGCTGGATATTGTTTTGAATTGCTCATTGATACTTATATAAATGTTGTAGAATACACATATATTCTATAAAAATAAATGTACAGAATAGCTTTTGCTCTGAACTGGACGTTACCTTCTTCGCAAATTTCACCGGAAAATCCGACTGGGCACGTACACGTAAAATTGTTAACTCCGTCTTGACATTCACCTTCATTTTCACATGGGTTTGGACTGCAGTCGTCAATATCTAACAAAATCCCGATTTGGAGATTAGTGAAAAGGTGCCACCAATATAAGTAAGATGGGAGAAGGCTGGATATTGTTTTGAATTGCTCATTGATACTTATATAAATGTTGTAGAATACACATATACTCTATAAAAATAAATGTACAGAATAGCTTTTGCTGTGAGCTGGACGTTACCTTCTTCGCAAATTTCACCGGAAAATCCGACTGGGCACGTACACGTAAAATTGTTAACTCCGTCTTGACATTCACCTTCATTTTCACATGGGTTTGGACTGCAGTCGTCAATATCTAACAAAATCCCGATTTGGAGATTAGTGAAAAGGTACCACCAATATAAGTAAGATGGGGGAAGGCTGGATATTGTTTTGAATTGCTCATTGATACTTATATAAATGTTGTAGAATACACATATATTCTATAAAAATAAATGTACAGAATAGCTTTTGCTCTGAACTGGACTTTACCTTCTTCGCAAATTTTACCGGAAAATCCGACTGGGCACGTACACGTAAAACTGTTAATTCCGTCTTGACATTCACCTTCATTTTCACATGGGTTTGGACTGCAGTCGTCAATATCTAACAAAATCACGATTTGTAGATTGATTAAAAGGTGCCACCAATATATATAAGTAAGATGGGAGAAGGCTGGATATTGTTTTGAATTGCTCATTGATACTTATATAAATGTTGTAGAATACAGATATATTCTATAAAAATAAATTTACAGAATAGCTTTTGCTCTGAACTAGACTTTACCTTCTTCGCAAATGTCACCGGAAAATCCGGCTGGGCACGTACACGTAAAACTGTTAACTCCGTCTTGACATTCACCTTCATTTTCACATGGGTTTGGGCTGCAGTCGTCAATATCTAACAAAATACCAATTTGAAGATTAGTGAGAAGGTGTCACCAATATGGGTAATGTATACATAATTACAGTAAACAATGTAGCACGGCAACAAAAAATATGATTCTATGTATCAGTAACTATGGCTACACATTGAAAACTGTATCTATTCTGGAAGTAATCACAAAATATTAATGTCTGTATTTTTAGGTATATACATATAGTTAATACTGTTTTGTTCATAAATGTTATGTGAATTATGATTATTTGCAAAGATGATCATTGTCTTGATCTTACCTATTGAACATAAAGTTCCATTGTATCCATCAATGCATGTACATGTGAATGAATCGACTCCATCAGTGCAAGTACCTCCATGCTGACATGGATTCGAAGAACAATCGTCAATATCTAAATGTATAATACCGCTGAATCATTTCGTTGAATAAAAAAGATGGGGAAAAACAGGATATTTTTTGAATTGTTCATTGATAGTCATAAATATTATAGAATAAACATACATTATCAATAATTGTACAGAATAGCTTCTGCTCTGAACTAGACTTTACCTTCTTCGCAAATGTCACCGTAAAATCCAGCTGGGCACGTACACGTAAAACTGTTAACTCCGTCTTGACATTCACCTTCATTTTCACATGGGTTTGGACTGCAGTCGTCAATATCTAACAAAATCCCGATTTGGAGAATAGTGAAAAGGTGCCACCAATATAAGTATGATGGGAGAGGGCTGGATATTGTTTTGAATTGCTCATTGATACTCATATAAATGTTGTAGAATACACATATATTATATAAAAATAAATGTACAGAATAGCTTTTTCTCTGAACTGAACGTTACCTTCTTCGCAAATTTCACCGGAAAATCCGACTGGGCACGTACACGTAAAATTGTTAACTCCGTCTTGACATTCACCTTCATTTTCACATGGGTTTGGGCTGCAGTCGTCAATATCTAACAAAATACCAATTTGAAGATTAGTGAGAAGGTGCCACCAATATGGGTAATGTATACATAATTACAGTAAACAATGTAGCACGGCAACAAAAAATATGATTCTATGTATCAGTAACTATGGCTACACATTGAAAACTGTATCTATTCTGGAAGTAATCACAAAATATTAATGTCTGTATTTTTAGGTATATACATATAGTTAATACTGTTTTGTTCATAAATGTTATGTAAATTATGAGTATTTGCAAAGATGATCATTGTCTTGATCTTACCTATTGAACATAAAGTTCCATTGTATCCATCAATGCATGTACATGTGAATGAATCGACTCCATCAGTGCAAGTACCTCCATGCTGACATGGATTCGAAGAACAATCGTCAATGTCTAAATGTATGATACCGCTGAATCATTTCGTTGAATAAAAAAGATCGGGAAGAGCAGGATATTTTTTGAATTGTTCATTGATAGTCATAAATATTATAGGATAAACATACATTATCAATAATTGCACAGAATAGCTTTTGCTCTGAACTAGACTTTACCTTCTTCGCAAATGTCACCGGAGAATCCGAATGGGCACGTACACGTAAAATTGTTAACTCCGTCTTGACATTCACCTTCATTTTCACATGGGTTTGGGCTGCAGTCGTCAATATCTAACAAAATACCAATTTGAAGATTAGTGAGAAATTGCCACCAATATGGGTAATGTATACATAATTACAGTAAACAATGTAGCACGGCAACATAAAATATGATTCTAGGTTTCAGTATCTATGACTACACATCGAAAACTGTGTCTATTCTGGAAGTAATCACAAAATATTAATGTCTGTATTTTTAGGTATATACATATAGTTAATACTGTTTTGTTCATAAATGTGATGTTAAGATCCAGGAGGTTTCGTTTTAAGAATGTTCTTACATTCAGCAAATACTTTTTTTGTTTTTGTTTTGGATGTTAAACGACCACAGCAAATGGACAACGTATACCGCCGCTGGCAACTATTGTTATATTTGGCGTTTCAAAAGTTATTTATTAGGTTCATGTAGAGCGTGCCATGTATGAAGCTTACGTAATGGTAACATATATTTTCTGAAATGAGGGAATCTGTTGGTAGTGAGTTCGATACAAATGATAACCCGTTCTTTAAATTTTGAATACCACCATTACATAAATGCATATACAATTAATCCATGCATGTAAGCTCTTACTACTTAAAAGTGTCAAGTATAGAAAAATGATGTTTGAATATACAGTGATACCTCCGTACTCGAACGACTCGATACTCGAACATTTTGGTGGTCGACAACAAAATTCTAATAAAAAATGCTTTTGTACTCGAACGGAAATTCGGTGCTCGAACACTCAAGTGCGCTTCCGAGTGATCTGACGTCACCTGGACCGCGCATCTCAGCTGCATCTTGACCATTGAACAAGAGAGCGATGCCTAAATAATAATCCTAAATAATATTATACAGACAGGAAGCCAAAACGGAGTGGTAGTGGGATGCAATCTGTCTTGGTAGACTGCTGGTACGGCCATCTTTACGACTAATGCAAAAGCACAACTGCCACAAGGTGCGCAATTTTTGATGACGTCATCGCACACAAAATTTATCCCATATAACCCCGAAAATTTGCCCAGACCTACAGTAACTGATTCAAATTTTTCCATGTTTATATCTTTATTATGTTTATCTTTATGACGTACACATTTGAAAGCCGAGAGAGCACGCATGTGCTTATAAAAATATGCCTCTAATATGATTGGTTCGTAAGTGTTAATATCCTTTACGTATACGTCTTATCGTGAACTATGTCAAAACAAAAGCAATAAGACACTTTTGCATCGTTTTCAAGCATGATATATGCTTGTCCGAGTGTTCGTAATCAAGGTGGCGTGTCATTTTTCTTCATCATATTTCCGATTTTTTGAGTTTTATGTCTGTAAGTAATTGAAAGCTAAGAAATATACATTGAATCTATTATTACTTGAAAGAAAGTAATTTAAGCGAGCGCGCAATCGTTTTCCTCGCGTAAACAAGCTAGCAATCATAACCCCCGCAAAAGTAAACAAACAATCATTGCGCTGCTCGAAACTGCTCGGGAAAACAATCGCTCTGTGTATTGTTAAAAATTTTACGTTCCATTTTGCTTCAGATGGCAAGACTGGTCTCGTTTGAAAGGTGACGTAATGCTCTTTTTCTGAGTATTTAATGTCCAATCAATCTCGCTTGTGTTTATCACCGCGATATCAAATACAAAACTTTTCACCCTATTTTTTTCAAATTTCTCTCGTTTTCAACGCAACGGGGTACACAGAAACGTGCACGTGTCTCGAGAAACGGCCGATGGGAAGCGTCGTAAATATGATTTCTAACAAAATATAAGTGAAGTTTCTCGCACGTTTGAAAAAAAGGTTATGACATTTTTGGGAGGCCTATACAAGATTCTCAGTGGGAGGGGCGGCTTTATTGGGTTTTAAAAGAATTATCTTTCATTATATATTGGGTATTTTAGAATGCTCAACAACGAATTAAAATAATTACTAATGTTTCTTATGACAAAAAAAGTTTTGGTATTCGAAGAAATCGGTAGTCGAACACCAATCCGCAACGAATTATGTTCGACTAGCGAGGTATCACTGTATTTCAATATTGAGTATAACTCGTTACTGCTTTTAGTTAATCCCATAATCGCAATTATATACCACAATGTGTCACTTGAGTTGCAGATCTGAGATATTGTGTAAAAACTGCGAGTTTTATTGCATCTTGTGCAAATCCAAAAACCTTCAATAAATGTTCTGATTCACACTAAATTATGAGTATTTGCAAAGATGATCATTGTCTTGATCTTACCTATTGAACATAAAGTTCCATTGTATCCATCAATGCATGTACATGTGAATGAATCGACTCCATCAGTGCAAGTACCTCCATGCTGACATGGATTCGGAGAACAATCGTCAATATCTAAATGTATAATACCGCTGAATCATTTCGTCGAATAAAAAAGATGGGGAAAAAGCAGGATATTTTTTGAATTGTTCATTGATAGTCAAAAATATTATAGAATAATCATACATTAACAATATTTGTACAGAATAGCTTTTGCTCTGAACTAGACTTTACCTTCTCCGCAAATGTCACCGGAAAATCCAGCTGGGCAGGTACACGTAAAACTGTTAACCCCGTCTTGACATTCACCTTCATTTTCACATGAGTTTGGACTGCAGTCGTCAATATCTAACAAAATCCCGATTTGAAGATTAGTGAAAAGGTACCACCAATATAAGTAAGATGGGAGAAGGCTGGATATTGTTTGGAATTGCTCATTGATACTTATATAAATGTTGTAGAATACACATATATTCTATAAAAATAAATGTACAGAATAGCTTTTGCTCTGAACTGGACGTTACCTTCTTCGCAAATTTCACCGGAAAATCCGACTGGGCACGTACACGTAAAACTGTTAACTCCGTTTTGACATTCACCTTCATTTTCACATGGGTTTGGGCTGCAGTCGTCAATATCTAACAAAATACCAATTTTAAGATTAGTGAGAAGGTGCCACCAATATGGGTAGGTAATGTATACATAATTAAAGTAAACAATGTAGCACGGCAACATAAAATATGATTCTAGGTTTCAGTATCTATGACTACACATCGAAAACTGTGTCTATTCTGGAAGTAATCACAAAATATTAATGTCTGTATTTTTAGGTATATACATATAGTTAATACTGTTTTGTTCATAAATGTGATGTTAAGATCCAGGGGGTTTCGTTTTTAGAATGTTCTAACATTCAGCAAATACTTTTTTTTCTGTTTCGGATGTTAAACGACGTTTAACGATTTAACGAGGTATCGTTACATTTGGCGTTTCAAAAGTTATGTTTCAGATTCGGGTAAAGCAGGGGTGGGAAAATACTTTTCTGGGTGGTCCGATTTCTGATAATAAACTTGCTTACTGGGCCGGAAGCTCAATATGAAGCTATGAATAAAAACAGTTTATTCCCGAAAAATCAGCGTAACTGGTATTGTACAACAAACAGCTAGTGTACCAAATTGCACAATGATTAAATGGGAGTGATGTAGCCTACTTAACGCGTCCACTAGATCGGGTCCGAGCTGCTTGTGCTGTTTCCGTAGAGTAGACCGTTCGTAGGTTCGCTTACGTCAGAGATATGCTTTTATTTTGTTAATCTTCATATTTTAGAACAATAATTCAATTGAGTGAAAATGAGGTGGTATATGAGGTGGTTCGTTTGGCATTTTATATTCATGTGCGAACATTGCGTGATGAATAGACCTTAGTCATTCAAAACCCATCCTACGCGCAAAAGTAAAAGTGGCTTAAACAAAACAATTGTAACATTGGCTCTTATGGGGAAATGTGATCACTGGGGCTGGGCATTTTCGAATAGCCTACCTGATGATTTCAGAATCGAATCGAATAATTTTTTCGAATCGAATCTCGAATACTTGGAAGGTATGAAATTGTATATAACTTTCTTAGGTCCTCCAGACACATAAATTATTGAAAACATAGAATACATCACTGACAATAAAAAACACGTTTTCATCAATACCTCAATACAGAAAAGAGTCATATGTCAGAATTGTGTTGAAAAACTATGGCTTCAATGAAAAAAAAATTGAGAAATTTACCTCGACCATTGGCGGAAAGAGTAAAACAAGATGGCGGCGATTTGAAAATTTGCTCTTAACCGATTCAAATAATTTTCTATTCGATTCGAAATGCCCAGCCCTAATTTGCATTTTTTGGGATTTTCTAGGTATCTTTCGTTGTAAACTGGGCAGTTTTATATATAGAGTGATTTTTAGATATTCTTCCACGTTTTAATGACGATAAACATGGTCAAGTTTTTTGATAATCGCACATTAAAATATAAAATGGACGTGGTGATGCCGCTGACGTCACTCCACCTAGATCATGACATTCTGCCAACCTGTGAAATATGCGCGGTAACTGCAGCGCTAGTGTCGCCTTGGGTACCGGTACTGGAAGCGTTTGACATTGACATTCTTTTATCTATACCATTTCACTCGAGTTTGTTTACTGGTTTTACGCATTTATACATGTACAGTTAGCAACCATCTATTGAAGGCATGCTGACGTGATATTTAATGTAAACTACCAGTACCGTACCAAGGGCAGAACGCAGAAGTGGGTGAAAACTAAATCATAACGAAAATGTTAGCAAATAGGTCCCAGTATAAGTTGTATACAAAAACAAAGATAAAAATCACCAACCCTATTACAATAAATTTAATAACGGTACAGTACCGGTATCCTAACTAGGTTAAAAACTTGTCAGCATATGTGGCGCACAGGGTACTGAAATAGACGGAAAACTGGCCAAAACAAGATGCAACACGAAGAAACTTTGGAAGCACAAATACCAAGATGGCGGCGATCAAATTGTCCCGCGCTGCGACAACGCAAAGCGAGAGAAAATATTGCTCCATGTATTTACAGTTCAGTGGCGCGGCGCCACATTATCAGGGGAAAAAATCACCGCGCACTTACACCAAAGTGACAATGAACCAAACCAAGTGAAAACAACGAGTGCAATGGTGCATATTGGACGCCATTATGTGTCCGGCGAATCGCGGGAACGCGGCAGCCTCGGTTTGTTTTAGCTTCGCAAGTCTGCTGATCAGGTTTCGTTTGTCGATTTGTTCGGAGATTTGTTACTGTTTTGCATTTTATTCGGGTAAGTTCAGTATTTTTCTTTTGCTATTTGCCTAGTGGAATAATACTGGTATCGTGCGGTTTTGTGAAAGTTGCGATATTTATCTATCTTATTATCCCGTGTGAGTTATGCAACTTTGAAACCTAATATCTCGCTAATCTTATATTATATTTAGACAGGTTTTATATTGTTTGAGAGACAATACGCAAGAGGCTTTCAACGAGGTTGCGATGCTGCGTGTGAAAATGTCGCGTTAGCTTTGCGGGTTTCATTGCGTCGTTTGAAAGAATTTTGGCGCAGACTAGGTACATGGGAAGCGGTACTTTTTTGCTTCTGGGAGCAATAGTGAAACCTAGCTCCTATACGTCTTATCATACTTCCCAATAAAGTCTCCTTTTCGTTTTTTGCTTGTTTCTACGTGATCCATATCGATATCAACATTGCTGCAAGGTCGTATCGGGGCATGTTGTAAAGTTGGAGTAGCAGTCTCTTCCTCTGCCCTGTCAACATCACTAACTTGGTTTTCACCGCTGGGTTTCTTTTGAAGGAACTGAATAATACTTTGCTGTTGGTTTGCCTCCATTTTACTATCAAACCTCGCTAAATTATAGACCTACTTTCAAATTACGGAACGTGCAAACTGCGAAGTTCTCAATCAGGTACCGTACTGTGTGCTATCACGGTGGTTCCCAAACTGTGGATCGCGACCCTGGGTGGGGTCGCCCAATTTTTGTTAAACATGCGCACACAAGTGACTAGGCTCTGAAAGTGAAATTTGTGCTGGTCGGCGGGTCGGCGCGACGATGTTACGAACGACAATAGTATTTTACTTTTTTTGATCATGTTACATCCGAATGAGTAGTTGACCTTGGTCATTATCTTTTCATTCGTGATTAAATGCAGGCTGAACCAGTGGTCCCACCGCAGGTTCGCGGACCGGATTTTTTGCCAGGCTGCGAGAAATTAAGTTGGTTGGTTTGTTATTATGTAGCCTACATGTGTAGTCGGTTGGTTATACAAAGCAAAGTTGCGTTATTTGGCGATCGGACCCTAATTAGGTGTTTGACAAGTATAATGTATTAATTGCCAGGGCGTGTCTTGGCCTAGTAATGACCTTGGGTTTCGATCAGTTGCAAAAGCGCACAGAATTCAAGAAAGAATAATCTAATTAGTTATATATCATCATATCCTTGATACATAGAACTTAATTTATAAAGGACAAGTAACAAATGTTTCACAAACCTATAGTACAATTTACGCCAGTAAATCCATTTTTACATGTGCAGATGTAAGAACTATCTCCGTTGGCACAAATTCCTTCATTTTCACACGGATTCGTGTAACAGTGATCAACTGAAATTCGGCAGATAAAGGTTAATAAAAGTAGTAATAGTAATTACTACAACGCTACAACGCTAGCACAATTGTGCTATGCTAAAAATGTTGATTGTAATCCTGGCAATATTAAGTGACCTGCAACTTAATATTATATAAAGAAAATTGAGGAAAATATTTTTATTTTGTATGTGAAAATAATAATGTTAGTTTAAAAAACTCAAATTTTGTTTAGAAAAACGATCAAAATTATACTAATAGATTTAATTAACAATCTTTCATTGGGTCACTGTATTTGTATTTTTAAATATCTAGACAATTTTGCAGTAGGAGTATACAAATCTGTTTCGTTTTCTTGTCAAAAAGTCATCACGAAAGGTTCGGAGAATCCCCATATAAGGTATTTTAATGGTTAAGTTCATATCAAGCCACTCAAAATCCGGAATGGCACATTTCAATCACATGGATTTAGGTTGATCTCTCTCGCCGCACGTAAGCCCATATGGGCTGTCCAACGCTATTAAGGCTAGCGCATGGTAACCTACTGTTAATATCGCTCTTTGCTGTTTAATGACGTAATGTCCTGATATGAGAGAAGCAATAAAACCTTCCAGCCGTGACGCAAAGTGCGAAACGTATAAATAGCGTGGATTTCAAAATTGCCTGTCAGACGTCTGAAAATGTCAACTCAGCTCAGACAGGAAATGCTCCTTTATAACGACTTATTGGACACGAAGTGGACATAACGATCGTTTCAAAATTTTGTTGTTATTGTTATTGTTATTTGTCTCCGTCTCCATTTTAAAAAAATCGCTTTTCTCTACTACTGGACCAATTGTTTGAAATTTTTAGTGGTTAAAGATAAAATTTTTCTCCAGAAGGCTATTACTTTTTTTCTCGCTTTGACGTCATCAAAATTATTGCCATTGGGTGGCGTTACGTGTACATATATTTGAGCATAGCTCTATTGTTATTGGTTTAGCATGTATTTTCAGTCATACATACCATCCCAGACCATCCCTGGCGCTGTGTTGTTTTGATAAATATGATTTCGACTGCTCCATAATTGGCAGAGGTATGGAGATTTTTTGTATGTAAAAAAACGTAAAATTATTGGTAATTTTAACGCGTAAATGCGCGTATGGGATTGTTTACGTCGTTCTACGCGCATTTCCGTCGAAAAAATTTAATTTTTTTTCATTGGGGGTGGTCTGTGCAGTAATAATAAGAGCTGTGACGTCATCAAAATAGGTAATTGGACCTTGAATTTGATAATACTGTAAATACAATCGTGAATTTCAGAGTAATAACCATTTATGCTATAATAGTCGTTTCGGTATTGTTATGTTAGGAAAAACTTGACGAAAACATTGAATAAAAAATTAATTAATTAGGAATTAATTATTTACCCTCTACTGTACACAGAATATCTCAAAGATAAAGTTTTTTATTAGAAATTTTCAAAATTAAAAAAAAAATAATATTATAGGAGTGTGTTTTAAAGATATATTGCTGAATAGAACTCTAGCAGACGCTTTTAAAAAGCCATGAGTAAAGCTTTAGGGCCTAATGGTTGACAAAAAAAATAAGTTTAAAAATACCCATAAAATGGGCATGGATTTGAGCGGTCTGAAGGATATGTATTTAATTTTAAATATTATTGGTTCTAGAATTCTCGATCTAAAGACAATGTATGTGAACATTGCTATCTGAAAATTGACACATTGGGCAACATTTGGATGAATACCTGTGACTACAACAAATTCTACTACATTTTTATATATTAAAATCATATTTACTTAATTCACAATTAGTTCCAACGAATCCGTCGCTACATGCGCATGTATATGAATCCTCATCAGCTCCACACAATGCTCCATTTTGACACGGAGACGACAGACACGGATTGTCTATTAAAAATATAAATTTTTGGAAATTTATGTCATGGGTAGAATGAATGTACATATATGGAAAGCAGATGCACTCGATCATGAAGCACATAACAGTAGACGTGCGTATTCAGCAGATCAGATGGTAAAATTTCAATATTATTGTAAAGGAATTTATGTTATAAATGTAAATACATATATATAAAATATTTTACATTCTTCCCCAATTATGGAATAACAAGTGTACCTTATATTTTTGCTCCTTATTCAGGAGGAACCTTTTTATAACATTTTGTATGAACAGAACAATTAAGGATACTTAGTATCGGTCTGTATCCAACGCTTTAGTATAAACGTATACGTTGCAATTACAAAAACAAAAACCTTTCAAAAATTTACCAGCTGATTCCAGTAGAAGATTACTGTGATCTCTTTTAATGCCGCCTCTTGCTGATACTTTGCAACTAATTGTCAATAAGCTTACGACGAAGAGCTTTCAAATGAAGTAATAAGTTATGATATACGCATAAGTGGCTATTCTATGGAAGCATACTCGAACGAGACTTTTATTCGATATTATACTATTAGAAACTGTTTTTCTCTGCATTTATATCTGTTTTAATTCGGGAAGTGTACGATTCAATTTGGAATTGAATCTTGGAATAGATTTCTCATTACTTCTACGGGGGATGTGGTCGAATACTGTATACTATGTATAGCTATCTACATGGACTGCATATGAACAAAAATACATAACCTTAAAACTAAAGTCATATTATGTCATTACAAATTGGAAACGTTTTGACTCTAAACAAATTGCTACACAATTGCATTAAAAATGAAAACTTTTTTAATATTCTTACCGTATATGCCATAGGCATACATACATGCTAATTGCATACACTTTTACAATATTTGACTAAAAATGCATTTCTCTGCCTAGTTCAAAAACTTACCGCAATTGCTGCTTCTCGATCCATCCCAGCTAAAGTTTAAAATAATCTGGGAAGATTTTCGTTTGTACTATTTAAATCTTTTACCAACTAATATACCGATAAAAATGGCGTTGAATAAATAGTCAAATTGAATACCCAGTTTCAAATTTTTTCAAATGTTTTTATATAGTTGAGCTCAATAAAACAAGCCTATTTTCCATTTCAGGGCGAGTATATTTGTTTTGCGATAAAAAACGACATATTATTACAATTGTCTCATACAAATATGTCAATATTTAATATACTTGTGACACCTCCGATAATGTGTAAATAAATGCACAAATGTACAAATAACACAAAATAATAAAACATAATGTGGAGACACACCTAGTCCTCAATCGCACATAATATTGATAAGAAATTCCTTGCAAGCTTGTGAAAACTATAATATATTGAGTTAGGATATTTTAAAAATGATGTTTCGTGCCCATGACAATCTAACCTGTCAAGTTATGAATAGTGAAACGAGAATATCGGTCAGAGACCGAAGACTTATCGATCGAAAGTTAGGGGATCCCCCAAAACAGCGCTCATACGCCATAGTGACACCTTGTGTCCCATTACTAATTAATTAATAACTCGCTAATTACACGGCATAATTCGCCCAAAATCAATAGGCTTCTCGTCCAAGATAAGATGAATGCACATGCAAAACCTGGAGCAGATTCAATCTCGCTTTCGTGAGATATCGCGTGCATCTAACAGACAAACAAACAGACATACAGACAGACAAATACCTATCAACATACTTACCGATCAAAATCGATAAGTAATAAAGGTACAACTTATGGCGTTCCAGAAGTGTGTGTACCAATATGAAGGTAACTAATTTTGTTTGCCTACCTTACATCATGTTGTATAAAGGTACTAAAACCTATGGGCAATAAGAAAAATCGGAATAAAATTATGGCCTAACCCTAACCTGGTATACACACTACGGGAGTGAGTACCCAACTTATATCGTGTCACATGGATAGAAAGAATTCAATTCCATCGGTTGTATATGCATATAGAATTGGCTGTATATACACATTGAATTCGGTATAGTGCCTATTTATATATGTTATTGGCTGTATATGCACAGTAGATCACAGTCTAAGACAAGGGTGGGTAAACTACGGCCCCATGTGTCCGCCAAAGCATTTTGTTCGGTCCCTTGCTCCAGAAAGTTTTGGAACTTTACTGGTAATGAGTTATTTCATTTTTTTATTTTGTATTTTGTAAGTTGATGTTTTCACTCAATCATCCAATATATTTCTTTAAAAATCTTCAATTTATTTTTAAATATTTTTCCTATTATCATATTAATATACAATTCAAGGTAATCCGTTTTGAAAAAATTGCATAGAATATTTCATGAATGC